GTCCTGCGCAGCTCGCTCAGGGCGGGCTCCTGGGTCTGCGGAGCTGACGGAAGTCATAGCTCTGTGGAGGACACTGGTCCCCTGACCCTGGGAGAGCCGTGGAGAGCAGGGTGTGGAGTCCTGGGTTCAAGTCTTGCATCTGCCTGTCACCTGCTCTGTGGCCCTGGGCAGGTGGCTTGGCCTCTCTGGGCCTCTGGAACCCAGGCTGGTGATCAGCTTGTTTCCTCCTGGGACGTCAAGCGCCTGCCGTGCGCCGTGCATCCATAGACGGGGCTGTCACCTGCGGCGCCCCGGCCTCCCTGTCTGGGGACATCTGTGGCTGTCATGACTGGCGGTGCTGCTGGCATCGAGTGGGTGGGGGCCGGGACGCAGCTCAACACCCCGCAGTGCCTGGGGCAGCCCCCCCCCGAGAATGACGTCACCCCTCAGTGGTGACGGCTGTCATCCGACCCTCCCACGTCCCCCCCGGTGTCATCGTGCAGGTGGGAACGCTGAGGCCCCAGAGGACGGCTGTCGATGCTCAGGTGTGAGCCGGGCTCCCTGCAAGGGCAGGAGACCCAGCGGTGGGGCTGACGACGGATTGGCTGGGGGTGGGGGTTGCCACGATCCCAGCTTTGCAGGAGGAGGGGTGGAGCGGGGACGTGTTTGTCAACTGACTGGTGAACCGAAGCACTGAATGACGGGAAACGGTACCTCCGGAGGTGGTGACGAAACCAGGTCTGGCGTTGCGCTCACTACTCAAATAAAACAAACATCCCCAAAACTAATGCAACGTTATATGTCATCTGTGTTCAGTTAAATAATTTTTTAAAAATAGGACCAGTAAAAGCAGAGCCGTGTTTCAAGTTACAGCTGGACGACGCCGGCACACCCGAGGTTCTGGTGTGCTGTGTGGACCTGAGCAGGTGACTTAATTTGCTTTGGGCCTATGTTCCCGTCTGTGAGTTGAGGGTGACAGCACGGTCCCCCCCCCCCACGTGGTCGTTGTGGGAAGGTCAGGTGGAGGCCTGACCCCGGGGCTGGCGCAGAGCAGAGGTTCTACAAGCGTTTGCCCTGTTGTTGATGACGATGATGATGAAGATCAGGGTCCAGCTACTGGGAGACCAGCAATAAACAAGGGTTTGAACAGCATTTGGAGACACCAGGATGGGGCCACCGGCTGGCTCAGTCGGTGCAGGGTCATGAGTTCAAGCCCCACGTTGGGTGTAGCGCTTACTTAAAAAAATAGACCAGGATGGGGACTGTAGTACAGAGAGTCACCAGGGAAATGACATTAGGGGTGAGACCCAAACAAAGTCGGGGAGAGAGCCGTGCAGGGAAGGTGTTCCAGGCAGCGGGAACATCATGTGCAAAGGCCCTGAGGCAGGACCCATCTGTTGTGTTGGAGGGACAGCACGAAGACCGGTGTGGCTGGACCAGAGTGAGCGAGGGGAGGGACGGAGGAGGGAAGGACGGGGAGGGGACGGGGCAGATCATGCAGGGCCTTGGGGGCCTCAGGGAGGACTCAGTTATACTCGAGAGAGCTGAAATTCTCTGCTGCAGAAAGAATAAAGCAGGCAGCTCTGCTTGCACAAGGAATCCGTTTAGGAGCTGAATCATACCACCCATTTCCTCACTGGGGCAAAGCCAGAGAGGCCCCAAGTCCCTCAAACCAGAGGCCCTGTCCCCAGTCCCTGGGGGAGAGGACAGCTACCCTGGACCACAGGGAGCAACACAGGCTGGGACAGGGGCCCGGGGCACCCTCACACTCAGGGACTGGGGAACAGTAGGAAGCCGCCAGAATTGTGAGCTGGGCAGCGGGACAGGGGACCATCGGTCTGGCTGTCCTGTCCCCTCCTGGGACACAGCCTCTCCGTGTGCCGTTCAGGGCAAGAACACGGGGAGAATGACCTAGAAAAACAGCCTCCGAAGGAAGTTTGCCTTGGGGAGCGACTCGGTCCCGGCAACGCCCAGGTCAGAATTCAGGACAGCGGCAGGGGAGCGCACACCAGCTGCTGTCGCGCCCTCCCGCAGCCTCCCTGCCGTCGCCACCCGGGACCGGGACGGCCGGACGCCGGACCTTTCCTCACGGCGCTGCTCCGTGTGGTAGTGAGTCCCCCGGCGCTTTGGGGGCGCCTGCACCGTGTTCCTGCGTCCGCCCAACTCGAGGATCCGGTCGGGTGCTTCGTGTCCTTGGGTTGCGCCGTAAATAGGCGTCTGTAACAGTCTGTGCCGTCTGTAACTGTCTGGCAACCTGGGTTTTTAACCCCCGTCTAACCGCATCTCGGCGGTCTTCGCGGGTCCTTACGTGCCTCCTAGACCCCCACACCCAGGGGTCCCGGCTCACGTCGTCCCCGGCTGGCGGGCACGTGGGGTGGCCCCCGTTCCTGTCTGTTTCACGTGACACGCATCAAACCCCCGTCCGTGGAGTCCGCGTTTCCCTCAAGGATCCTCGGCGGTTCCTTGAAGTCTCGCGCCTGCGCCCCGCGGCCCCGGAACAAATCGCCACGGTTGGGGCCGCTGACAACGGTAGGAAGTTGCTGTGTGTGTCCCGGAGGCCAGACGCGCAAAGTGCAGGTGGCCCGGCGCTGCGCCCCCCAGCCCCCGGCGGTGGCGGCGATCGCAGTCCGGGGCTCCCTCCGATCCGCTGTCACGGAGCCCATTCCCGCGCGGCTGCGTCCGAATCCCCCTGCCGTCACGTGGCCCGTGGCGGAGCAGGGCCGCCCTGCCCCAGCGCGCCCTGGTCCTCGCGGGAAGCACCGGCAAAGCACAGACTGCACCCCACCCCCGTGACAGGGGTCCCCCCCGGCCTTACGCGGCAGTTACTCAGGGCTCCGCGTGTGTTAACTCCCCAGAGGGTCCAGGAAGGAGGCGCCGGGCAGACAAGGAGCTGTAGCCTGAGCCCCGACACGCGGGGTTCCCTGTGGGTACCGTGCGGAAACAGGCCCGGGGGGCGCGGGGAGCCTGGGGGGCCGCAGCTGCTAAGATGCCGAAAACAGCTGACCGGCTAATGGGGCGGCCGCCATCCCTGCCGTCTGGCCGGACCCTCCTCACCCACACCCCACCCTGACCCCCAGGGTCTGGGCTGCAGCCGAGAAGAGTGGGGGGGAGGAGTGAGGGGCGGTGGGGCCAGCAGGGGCCCAGGCGCCCTGCACCCCACGCACCACCTGGCCCCCTCCCCCAGCACCTTCACTCACTCCTTCTGCCTCGGGGCCTTTGCGCTGGCCGCCCCCCCAGCCTGGCCCTCCCTTCGCCAGGCGCCCCGGACGCTCCCCTGACCATCCTTCGTGTGTGCATCAGCCTCCTGTGGCCTTCGCAACAACACCCCACAATCGGAGTGGCCTGAAACAACGAGAATCTATTCTCTCCCCGCTCTGGAGGCCGAGAGGCTGAAATCACCCTGCGCCAGGCCCCGTCCCCTCCAAGGCTCCGAGGGAGGGTCGTCTGCGCCCCGTCCAGCTTTCGACGACTCCCCACGAGCCTTGGCTTACAGACCCGTCCCTTCCGTCCCCGCTCCGTGTGCACATCCGCGCGTGTGTCCCAGTTTCCCTCGTGTGACGGCACGCCCGGTGGAACAGGGTCCCCTTCACAGGTACTGGGGGGCCAAGGCCCACTTAGGACTTTTTGGGGGACACAAGTCGGGCCCCTGCCGGGTCTCTGCTTGCGTGTCACCTTTCCAGCGGCGCCTCCTTCCACCGGGGTCACCTGCTCTTCCTTTCCAAGCACCTCGGGCGCGACCTGTGGCCTTGCCGCCTGTGTTGATGGAGCCCTGAGGTCCATCAAGCAGGTGGTGCGCGTCACACACAAGTCTAGGCTCTGAGAAGCCGACAGTGACGAGTTCAGGTGCCTCGGGGAGGTGACGATCCATAGGGAGCAGACAGGCAACGGGCAGGGCTTTAACCTGGAATTTCACGTGCTGGTGGGACCCGTGGACACCCGTGGGAACAGGGAGCGGAGGAGGGGCGAGGTGGGCGGGGCCGGCGGGGGGTGTAGACCGCCTGTGCCCCAGGGGGTGGGTGTGAACCCCAGCAGCGCGGGGACTACATCTGCCTTGTTCTTCAGTGTGCTTGGAGACTGGTATACAGTAGGCACTCAATAAATGTTTGGGGGGCTGCACCCCAAAATGTTACACTATATTCATAAAGTTCTTCTCCAGTTCAATAAATGTTTCCTTTTATATATATATTTTTTATTGAGGTAAAATTCATATAACACAAAGTTTGCCCTTTTAAAGTACCCATTTCAGGGGCGCCTGGGTGGGGGGCTCAGTCAGTTAAGTGTCTGACTTCGGCTCAGGTCATGATCTGGAGGTTCGTGACTTTGAGCCCCGCGTCGGGCTCTGTGCTGACAGCTCGGAGCCCGGAGCTGCTGCTGCGGATTCTGTGTCTCCCTCTCTCTGCCCCTCCCCTGCTCACATTCTCTCTCTCTCTCTCTCTCTCTTAAAAACAAACATTTAAAAATTTTTAAAGTATACATTTCAGTGGGTTTTAGTATATTCACAGAGCTATGCAACCATCAGCACCATCTAAATCCTGAACATTCCATCATCCTACAAAAGAAGCCCGGTCCCCATCAGCTGTCATCCCCCCACCCCCCTCCAGCCCCCGCCCCCGAGAGCCCCTTCCCGCCCGTGGAGGAGCCTGTTCCGGACGCGTCACGCACGTGGACTCACACGCGCGTGGCCTCCCGTGTCGGGTTCCCTCCCTGAGCGGCGTGTGTTCGGGTCCGTCCGCGGGGCGGCGGGTGGGGGCGCCTCGCTGCTGCGCGCGGCCGAGGGCCGTGCGCTGTGTGGATGGGCCCCGCTTTGTTCATCCGTTCGTCTGCTGGTGGACACTCGGGGTGTCTGCACCTCTCGGCCGCTGTGGACGACGGGAGCACAGGTCTCGGGGGGGCCTGTGCCCGGGTCTCCCGGGTGCACACCGGCAGCGGGTGTGCTAACGCGTGCTAACGCGTGCTAACGCTGCCCCCGCCCCCAGGTGCCCGCGAGGATGGTGGCGAGGCCCTAGGCCCGCGCTCGCACCATGGCCGGCTGGCTGCGCGTCCTGGGGCTGCAGCTGCTGCTCCTGCCCGCGGCGCCGCCCCCCGCCGCCGGCTGCCCCGCCCGCTGCGAGTGCGCCGCGCAGACGCGCGCCGTGGCCTGCGCCCGCCGCCGGCTGACCGCCGTGCCCGACGGCGTCCCGGCCGACACGCGCCTGCTGGAGCTCAGCCGCAACCGCATCCGCTGCCTCAGCCCCGGCGACCTGGCCGCCCTGCCGCTGCTGGAGGAGCTGGACCTGAGCGAGAACGCGATCGCGCACGTGGAGCCGGGCGCCTTCGCCGACCTGCCGCGCCTGCGCGTCCTGCGCCTGCGCGGCAACCTGCTCAAGCTCATCCCGCCCGGGGTCTTCGCGCGCCTGCACAGCCTCACGCTGCTGGACCTGAGCGAGAACAAGCTGGTCATCCTCCTGGACGACGCCTTCCAGGACCTGCGCAGCCTCCGCCGCCTGGAGGTGGGCGACAACCACCTGGTGTTCATCTCGCGCCGCGCCTTCGCGGGGCTGCTGGCGCTGGAGGAGCTGACCCTGGAGCGCTGCAACCTCACGGCGCTGCCGGGCGAGTCGCTGGGCCACCTGCGCGGCCTGGGCGCGCTGCGCCTGCGGCACCTGGCCATCGCCGCCCTGGAGGACCAGAACTTCCGCAGGCTGCCCGGCCTGCTGCACCTGGAGATCGACGACTGGCCGCTGCTGGAGGAGGTGGCCGCCGGCAGCCTGCAGGGCCTCAACCTGACCTCGCTGTCCGTGACGCACACCAACATCTCCGCCGTGCCCGCGGCCGCGCTCCGCCACCAGGCGCACCTCACCTGCCTCAACCTGTCGCACAACCCCATCAGCACGCTGCCGCGCGGCTCCTTCCGCGACCTGGTGCGCCTGCGCGAGCTGCACCTGGCCGGCGCGCGGCTGGCCGTGGTGGAGCCGCAGGCCTTCCTGGGGCTGCGGCAGATCCGCCTGCTCAACCTCTCGGACAACCTGCTGTCCACGCTGGAGGAGAGCACCTTCCACTCGGTCAACACGCTGGAGACGCTGCGCGTGGACGGGAACCCGCTGGCCTGCGACTGCCGCCTGCTCTGGATCGTGCAGCGCCGGAAGACCCTCAACTTCGACGGGCGGCTCCCGGCCTGCGCCACCCCCGCCGAGGTGCGCGGCGACGCGCTGCGCCTCCTGCCCGACTCGGTGCTCTTCGAGTACTTCGTGTGCCGCAAGCCCAAGATCCGCGAGCGGCGGCTGCAGCGCGTCACGGCCGCCGCGGGCGACGACGTGCGCTTCCAGTGCCGCGCCGAGGGCGAGCCCGCGCCCACCGTGGCCTGGGTGACGCCGCGCCACCGCGCCGTGACGGCGGCGGGCGCCGGGCGCGCGCGCCTGCTGCCGGGGGGCACGCTGGAGATCCGCGGCGCGCGCGCGCAGGACAGCGGCACGTACACGTGCGTGGCCAGCAACGCGGGCGGCAACGACACCTACTTCGCCACGCTGACCGTGCAGCCCGAGCCCGCCGCCAACCGGACGCCGGGCGACGGCCGCAACGACACGCAGGCGGCCGCGCGCTTCCCGCTGGACCTCACCACCATCCTGGTGTCCACCGCCATGGGCTGCATCACCTTCCTGGGCGTCGTGCTCTTCTGCTTCCTGCTGCTCTTCGTGTGGAGCCGCGGCCGCGGGCAGCACAAAAACCACTTCTCGGTGGAATACTCGTTCCGCAAGGCGGACGGGCCGGCCGCCGCCGCGGGCCCGGGGGGCGCGCGCAAGTTCACCATGAAGATGATCTGAGGGCCGCGCCGCCCCCACGCGGGCCCGGCTGACCACCACCTATGCATCTCCCGGAGGGGCCGCCCCCCCGCGGCCGCCGCCCGGCGGAACTTCCCCTTTTTTTGTAGAGACCCGACCGCAGGACTTTTTTCATCAGGATGCACCTCTTTGCATTGTTTCGCAAAGCATTTTCTAAAGATTTCACCCCGTCTTCCTGCCCCTGCGGAGGCCCCGGTCTGGGCGGGGTGGGAGTTGGGAGTCTCCAGAGGCCCCCCCCCCTCGCCCCCCCGCTCCCCCAGAGCAGGTAGTTCACACCCCGGGGGGGAGACGGTCCGACGCGTGGAGGGCAGCCCAGCCCCCAGGGGAGGCACGTGAGAGCCCGTGCGGGTCCCACCCGGATGCCCCACGCCACACCCCGCATCCAGCAGCACATGCGCGTTCCCACCAAGGACACACAACCGGACACCCAGCTCCAAGAGGGAGCGCTCTCACCGCCTCCCCAGGTGATCCTGACCCTGAACAGGTGCCCCCCGCTGCTGAGCTCACGAGGGCCCGCAGGGCTCTCGGGAGAGCGCAGCTCACACCTGGGACCACCCCACGCACACTCAGGACACACGCAGCTGACACACACACAGCACACCCCAGACACACAGCTCACACTTGGGACGTACCCAGGCCACGCTGGGAACAGTCAGCCGCCAGCCAGGGCATGCTCAGCTCACACCCAGCCCCTGATCACTGGGCCGTCTTGGGGGCATCTCGGTGGCTGAACGAAGGTCTTGCTGAGTCGGCAAATGCCGCCCCCCCCCCCCCCCCCCCCGGGGCCCAGCACGTGGCATGCTAGCCCCTGGCTCCGCCCCCAGGCCCCTGCCCACCGGACACGCTGGCCCAGCAGGGTGGGCTGCCCACTAGGAGAAGCCATTTCCCTAGCTTCCTCCACCACCCCAACAGCTGCCGCCTGCTTCCTGTGCCGGCGCCACACAGGAGGGGCCGCTGCCCTGGCCCCTGGCTCAGGAGCATGGCTTCTGGAGTGACTTTCCATCCTGGGTCTACACTATACCTTGAGCCAGGCTCAGATGAGCCCGGAGGGTGGCCCCACTGTGCCTGGCCCCGGGACCCATCACGCATGTGGGGAGTGAGGCCAGAGAGTGGGAGGTTCTTGGGGTCCCCGTTAAGTGCATTACAGGGGCAGCAATGGACAACGAGGCCAGGGCAGGCTGCAGGGGTGTGGACCGGGCTGTTAGGAGCCGAGACTCCTCAGTCTCTGACACTCTGTGGCAGAGCTAGCACGAAAGATGAAGGGAGCTAAGGGCAGACTATAGCTCAGGTTGAGGAAGAACTTTCCCAAGGTCACTGTCCCGTTATTCTTCAGATGGCGAGTTCCCCATCACTGGGGGTAAGCAACAGGAGCTGAGGTTTTACAGAAACACTCAGACACCAGACAGGGTCTGTCCGTGACCCTGCCTCTCCCCAGGCTGATTATTGCCCCCGCCCTCCCCCTGGGCCAGATGACAGGCATCATTGGAGGAAGGGGCACAGGAAATGTGGGACCCCTCGACTAGTAAGGAGCTTGGCCGCCCACCGGGAGGCTAGGACAGTCTTGTTAGGGACCTTACAGCAAGGCTCCACACGAGCCCTCTTCCTGCCCAGGTGCGTAGTTGAACCTGGTGACGGAGCGCCGCCTGGATTACCAGTGTCCTCATCTGTAAAATGGGTCTGAGGCCAAATCCAGCGCTGCGTATATAAAGGCCAGGCCCATGGATGGATCATGACGGCCCATGACTTGGATCCTGGATCCTTCAAGATCTTTCTGAGATGAGCTGGAGAGAAAGCTGGGTCAACACTGGGGGTTTGAGCAAAGGACTCAAAACTCGGGAGGGGACACGGGCCGTGGGGCTGGAAACGGCAGGAGGCCCTGGTCCTTCTCCCGCGGCGGCCAGCGGGGTGGGGGGCAGGACGCCCCACTCGTGGCGGATGTAGTGACGGCCAGGGGGTGCCCTGCCACCCCACGCCCCACCGAGGTAGGCAGAACCGACTCGTTTTCTCCCTTCACACCCTCCTAACCTTGGTTGCCATAACAACCCCAAGGGCCCCTCAAAATGACATCCAAGTGCCTTTAGCGTCATCAAAGATGGGAGGGGCGTGTTCTCTCAGCGGCGTCAGGACTGGACGGAAAGTCAGCGAGTAGGGATCTCCCACTCCCTCAGGACCCCCACCCCCCACCCCAACAGGAACCAAGACCCCCCCAGCTCCCAGCCTCCAGCCCCCCAGCCCGTTGCCCCCTCCTGCTGTATTTGGTTGGAATCCAATAAAAATGAAGCTGATTTAATAACAGACTTCAGGGGTTTTTTGGTTTTTTTGGGCTTTTTGTTTTTAATTCTCACGGGAGGAATGAGGGCAGGAAGGAATGGCTGCTGGGGCCCCCCCGGGGGTGGGGTGTCAGGTTCCAGCCTCAGAGTGACCTGCAGAGATGACATTACAGGTGGCACTTCAAGAGTGCCCACGCTGTTCCGCACGCTGTTCCTCGGCTCCTGCCATGCAGGTGACATCTGGGCGCTGGGTCCCATCATGACCGCACTTCACAGACAGGCGCAAGGAGGGAGGGCCAGAGAAACAGCAGGCGCTTCCTCCTGGGGTGGGGGGGGGGGTGGCGCTGGGGGTGGAGGGGTCCCAGCAGTTTCCCTGCTTCTGAGGCCTCGGGGAGAAAGAAGCCAGCTTTTTTTTTTTTTAGAATTATTTTAAATGTCTATGCTCAAGGTGGGGCTCAGACCCACAGCCCCGAAATCAAGAGTCGCGGGCCCTTCCGACCGAGCCAGCTGGGCACCGTGAGCCGAGGCGGCTGGAGCCCCACCCCCCACCTGCCGAGCGGGGACGCTCGGGCCCAGAGCCCCGTCAGAGCTGGACACTCACGGCTCCCGAACACCCGTGCTCTTTCTGGAAGGAGGTGGGCCAAGTCGGGGTGGGCAGCCGACTCTGACCTGACCGAGGTGGCCGGGGACAGCCTCTCACATGCCACTCAGTGTCAGTCGGTCCGGGTCCCAGCTTCCCCATCTGACGCGGGGAAGGAGTGTCCTTTCCCACAGAGGTAGGATGGGGACGTGTCTGGGCTCTGGATGCCCCTTCCCTGCCTGGTGTCACAGGAGCCGGGAGTCGAGGGTGCTGGGCCACGCGACCCTCCCTCGGAGCCTCCCTTCCCCTTGAACCAGGTCCAAGACCCAGGATTTCCTGAACCCCGCCTTTTTCCTGGGGTGTGGCCAAGGGGCCCCCCATTGCTGAGGCAGCCGAGGCCCAGCTGATAGAGGACCCGACCCGTTGGTGGCTGGAAACCAAGGAGGGGCCCCTCAGAGGGTGTCTGTGGGGTCCCCCAAAACATAGGACACGGGTCCAGGTAGCACACGTGGCCGGTGACGGGGGCGCTGAATATCCCTGCCTCACTTTCCCCTCCCGGGCGGAGCTAGGAAGGAGCAGTTCCCTCTGCCGGCACCCTCTCCGGGGAGACCCTGAGCTGTGGCTCCTCGTAACAAACTTAGCGGCTTAAAACAACTAAGATTCATTAGCTGACAGTTCTGGAGCTCAAAAGTGTAAAATGAGTCCCGGCCCAGTTTCCCCGGGGCCCCAGGGAGCCCCGTCTCCCCCCTTTTCCTGCTTCCGGAGGCGCCGCATCCTTGGCCCACGGCCCCTCCTCCACCCTCACAGCCAGTGGCGCGGGGTCCGCCCGTCTCTCCGCCTCTCTCTCGGGAGGACCCCGTGAGGACGCTGGAGCCCCCCCCGGGGCACCCAGGGTCACCCCCACTGCATCTAACCAGCAGAGCCTCAGACGCACCTGCAGCCTCAGTTTCCCCATCGTGACACATAACAGGTTCACAGGCTGCGGACACCGGACGGGGACACCTTGGGGGCCATGACTCTGCCCTTGGCAAGACTCATGCCTCTTGGCAGATGAAAGACGGGCCTCACGGTCCCCAGAGGGCCTGACACGGAGGCGGGGTGGCCGGCTGGGGCGGGCCTGGGACGACTCACAGGCTGATGGCCAGTTTTTGTGGTGAGCGAGGCAAGTGGGCCCCATTCCTGAGCATCAGTGGGGAGGGTTGTCCAGTGGGGCTCAGCGGGTGTCCGTGGGCCCTGTGCCCCCCCCCCCCGCAGAGGGCCCCGGGGAGCACTCCCAGGAGAGGCCAGCCTGGGGCCGTCAGGGGATCCCCCGCATCCCTCCTCCTCACCCTGCCCTGTCCTGACGGGGAAGCCCCGGGAGACGTCGCCACTGTCCCAGCCTGGCCATCGCCCCGCCCCCCCCCTCCCCGGCCTGGCCACGCGGCTGTCACAGCAGGGCCAGGGCCAGGGTGGGGTGGGTGAGCGCTCACCTCGGGCACGGAATTTAAGGGGCACCTAGAACAGTCCTCAAGAAAAACATCCCACAAAGTCCATTCGTGTCCCGTGTGCACAGTGAACACAACAGTCATCTGTGAAATAAACACGGGGTCTGCGCTGGTGCTCACAAAACGTTTACGAAAACAGCCAGTCAGCCCGTGGCCATCGTTAGCCAGGGAGGCTTCCTCAATATTACATTAAAAGGTTATTTCTCTGGATCTCTGAGTGGGGTTTTTTTGGCATCACCTTAAATTCTGTGCCTGCGGGGAGTGCGTGACATGCCCCCCCCACCATCGTGGCTCAGAGCCGTGACCTGGCTGGGGACCCCCAGGGTCTCATGAAGGGAAGGACGGCCGAGAACTCACGATCGGGGCTCGGGCAGCGAGGAGGCCGCTGGGCAGCAGCTGTGGTCCCACGGGGACAGCCCCGGTTTGAGGGATCTAGCCCTGAGATTCCCTGGAGCCCCCACCCTGCCTCCCGCCGCCGCCGGTTTTGAAACCCACCCAGATCGCAGCTCACGGAACCTCCAGCTGGAAGGGCCTCAGGGTCAGCAGGTCAGTTTTGCCCCAAATGTGGCAGAGGACACGCGGGGAAGATGTTCACGGAGCGGCTTTATCTGCTCCACGCATCCAGGGCCGTGGGTGAGGACGGGGCACCCAGCAACAACCCGAGGACCTGTCACCGGGCCTTGACCAGCTGTGTGACCCCGCACGGATTCCCACCCTCTCTGTGCTCATTGCTCTTGAGGCCAACAGGAGGGGGCAGAGAGAGAAATCCAGCATGAAGTATAACCAAGCGGCTAAGCCTCTTCAACTTCGCACCCGTGGGGATTTCCCGGCCTCCCCAGTCCCTGGGGAGAGGCTGGGCTCAGAGCCAGGACACCCTTCCCACCAGCCGGGCAGGTCGGGCGAGCCTCCAGCCCAAACACAGCTCCAGGTCCACACTGTCTGCTCCCCCTGCATTGTCACTAGTCATGATTCTCCATGTATGGGATTATATATCAAAAGTCTTTTCTAGATAAATGTGTTAAGGCGGGGGGTGGGGAGTGAGATTCCATTAAAATTTATTTTTAATATTTATTTATTTTTGATGGAGAGAGACACGGAGCACAAGTGGGGGAGGAGGGGGCAGACAGAGGGAGACACAGAATCTGAAGCAGGCTCCAAGCTCTTAACCGACTGAGCCACCCAGGCACCCCCCACCCCCATTCCATTTTTTAAAGAATCCAGCTGGCGGCTGCCATGAGGCAGCACAAGGGAACCGCTCTCCTTTATTCTCTGGAACAGAGAGGGGTGGCGATTTGCCCAACGTCACACAGCAAGTCAGAACGGAGCTGGGCTCCATGGAGTGGCTGCACCTGCCCAGAGCGCAGGAAGCCGAGGGTCCTGGGACGGGCAGGGGGATGGTGTGCTGGGCACGTCTCAGACGCCCTGCACGAGGGGCAGTGAAAGCAGGCAGAGAAGAGCCACCCTGTTGGCCATTGCAGTGACCGGCGTTTCCCGCTGCCCAGGGGTGGCCGGGGTTCCTTGCCCTCCCGTGTGGGGAGCCTAACGGTTCTGGCTGCCGGGCCCCTGCTGTGACCCTCGGACCCTCGGACCTTCCCCTGTCGCCCCCCCTCACTTGCAGCCCTGGGCCCCCCCTTCAGGCCCCGCCTCCCGGTCCAGGCCCAGGCAGCGCCCTCTGCCTGGAATGCCCTTCCCACCTTTGGGGGAGGTGTGGGGGGGGCGGGCGGGGCGCCAGGCTGGGGAAGTGGTGCAGACGCACCCCCACGCCAGCCTGCGGTCTGACAGTTGCTCGGCGCTTCCGGGCCACCGCGGCTGTAGGGCACACTGTCCTGGCAGGCCGGGGCGGCGGCTGCGGGGAGACGGTCCCCAGGGCCCATCCCCTGCCCCTCGTCACCCCAGTCGTGCAGGTAGGGGCCCCTGGAGGGGTGCTGGGTGGGGAGGGGGCAGAAGCTGCACCTTGCGGGGGTTGCAGTGACCAGGAATCCGGGGGGAGGGGCGGGGGCAGGGGAGGCAGTCGCTCGCCCCTGCATGGCTGGAGGGAGTTCGGGGGGGCTGGGCTCCTAAACGGAGCCCCAAGCGGGTGTCTAGCTACTGCCGTCTACCACCAGCTGACCCTCTGCCACCAGCTGTCCCCCACCCCCATGGCCCACCCTCAAAGCTGGACATTCTATTCTGTCCATGTCACAGAGGCACTGGGTCCTTCCCCCTGCCCTGAAAAGTTGATGGGTGACATTCCTGCCTCTCCTGTGAGGACAGGAGTCCAGAGAGGGTGACACACCCTCGCAGAGCCACACAGCAGGTCAAGGCCAGGCGAGAAGACCAAAGAAGACCCACTGTCACCTGGGTCCCTGCACCCCCCCCCACAGCCATCGTGTCCTCCCCGACGCCCTGCATGGGGCCACCCATGCCTGCCCCCAACTCTAACTCTGACCTTCAGCATGAGCAGCCCCGAGCCGCCCACAGAGACGCCTGGACGTGAGGCCCCCACCTGCTCGGCTCAGCCCACCTACAGCAACCTTGGTGAGCCACGCTGGGGCCCCGCCGGGGGGACATGGGCTGGCTGGGGCGGGTGGCCCGGCTGAAGGGCTGAGCCTCTCTCATCACCATTTAGGGAGCCCTCTGCCCGGTGGCGGCTGAGCTCGCTTACAGTGGCTATTTCAACATCTTTCATAAAACCCTCCGTTAAGAAAAGGCTGGGATCAACTTGTAAAAATGAGGAAGTTGGAGTTCCCAGAGGCGCTCATCTGGCCAGAGCCACGCAGGAAACAGGGCCACCTGCTGCGGGCTGGACACTTCTCGGCCACTGATTGTTACTCCTCTGAGCCTCAGTTTCCTCCTCTGTAAATTGAGGTGGTGCTCATACCCCCCACGGGGCACGGGGTAGCTGGATGCTGGTGGGGCAGTCGTGGCTGATGGGCGGAGTCAGGTGCCCAGGGCCCTGGACTCTGTGAAGCCTCACCCCTTCCCTGCTCCCCCCTCTTTCCCCAGGTGAGGTCCGCGCCCACCTGCTGCCCTCCAAGGCCTGCCGGCCCCCCCGGAAATCTGGGTCCCCCCTGGCTGACCCACATCCCCTGCCCCCACCCCTGCCCAAGAAGACCCTGTCCAGGACCCAGTCGCTGCCCATCCACGGGGTCCCCAGCCACACCCCTGCTCCGAAAGGGCAGCCTCGGAGGGCCTTTCTGGGGTCCCACAGTGTGGACGAGAGCCAGGCGGATGACGGCAACGCTCGGCCAGCCTGTCCCCCCGCAGAGCCGGCCTTCAGCTCCTTCGACGCCTGGCCTGGCCTCTCCGGGCACGACCTGAACTGCCCCGAGGCCATGCACGCGGTCCTGGAGGCGCGGCAGCTGGAGGGTCTCCGCACCGTGCACGCCCGGCTCCAGGCCCGACTCCTGGGGGGCCACCCGGGCCCCTGCCACCCCGGCCATGGCTTCCGCCTCCTGGACAGCTCGCCCTACGTGGAGAGTGGGGATGCCCTCTACTACCGCATGGTGCGGATGAGCAATGGGGCCTGGCACCTCCTGGCGGCCAAGGTGAGCCCTGCCCCCAAGCCACCCCCTCGGAAGTTTCCCATTTTCCATCGTAACAACCCAGGCCACGCACAGCGTGGGCTCAGCTGCCAAGCGTGCAACAAGAGTGACCCAGCATGGCCCCCGACGTTCGAGTCGATGGGGGTCTCCTCCGGCCCCCACCCCCGCGCCTCTCAGGAGCCTAGGAATCTGCACTGTCACCCAGTCTCGGGTGAACCCGGCCGCTAGAAAGCCAAGGCCTTCCCCGCACTGAGTAGTCCTTGCCGGGAGCTGCCCACGCGTTCGGAGCGCTGCCTTTGTGCCCGCGCGTTGGGAGAAGCCCGGACTCCCGGGGGCCGTCCGTGTCACATGTGCCCTAAGGATGCTTCTGTCTTTTACCCACCACTCAGGGGGAAAGAAAAATTCCTCTTCAACCACACCCCCAAGGACCCTCAGCCCTCTGACAAAAGGTGCCAGTGCGCCCGTGATGTTGGCAGACGGAAGCGCTGAGGGGAGAAAGTTCTGGCTGGCTGTGTGCTCAGGAGACACAGCGGGGTCCTGGGTGCATCTCACAAGGCCTGGGGTGTGTTTAAAAATAATAATATTAATAATTCGAACGTCATTCCCAGAGCTTATGCTCTCCTGACCTTCTAGAAAGAGCTGTGTGCTGTCCAGTCTGCAGCCACGGACCATGTGTGACTCATGAGCACTTGAAATGGGGCCGGTCCCCCCCGAGATGTGCTCTGAGCATCAACCATACACCAGGTCTCGGAAGGCTTCGTATCTAAAAATCACTGTACTGTAAAACCCCTCCTTAGTAGATTTTATATTGATGGCCGGTGCCTGGTAACATTCTGGATAAAGCCGGTTAAATAAAAACCACTGTGAACATTACGTTCACATTTCTTATCGCTTTTTAAAATGCGGCTTCTGGAAAGTTTTAATTATACCGTGGCCTCGGTCGCATTTCTACTGCGCGGCCTGCCCCGGAGCCCTGGCTGCCCACCCCTGCCGCTGCCCCAGGCTGCACACTCTGACCCCTAAACACCGCCCCCCCCTCCCCGTAACTCTCCCTAAAATCACTTGGGCGATGAACATCCCAATTCACCTTTAACTCCCGCTTCCGGAAGCAGCCCACCCGCGCCGCCGCCGGAAGCCGCAGTGGGGGCGGGGCGGGCAGGTAGAGGCGCCCGGGGCGGGGTCTCCGCGGCCAAGCCCTGACGGTGCCCCTTCCCCCCACCAGGTGTCCAAGCCGGGACCCGAGGAGCCTCGCCCGTGGGGCCTGGAGCTGCAGGCCTCGCTGCCCCCGCACTTCAACCTTCAGGGGCTGTGCGGCTCGGTGCCCGAGGGCGCCCTGCCCGACGTGCCCTGGACGGGCCCCGCGGTGCTGGCGGCCGAGGTGCCGGAGCGCACGCTGACCCAGTGGCTGGCGGAGGTGGGCACGCGGAAGCGGCCGGCGGAGCTGGCCTGGGTGGCGGCCCTGCTGCTGCTGCAGCTGAGCGCGGCCCTGGAGCAGCTGGAGGCGCGCGGCGCGGCCCTGGCGGAGCTGCGGCCCGAGAACCTGCTGCTGGCGGCGCCCCGAGGCTGCGCGGCCGCCGGGCCCCCGCGCCTGCTGCTGGCCGACTTCGGCCGCGTCCGCCCGCAGCCCCCGGGCGCCCCGTGCGCCCACGCGCCTCAGCTGGGCCGCCTGCTCCGCACGCTCCTCGGCCTCGCCGCGCCCTCGGCCACGCCCTTGGCCGGCGGCCTGGAGGCCCTGGCGGCCCGGCTGGCCTGCGCCCGGCCGTCGGCGGCCCAGACGCGCGGCGCGCTGCAGGCGCTGCTCTGGGGGCCCGGGCCCGAGCTGCACCGCCAGGGGGCGCCGCTGGGGCGCTGGCTGCAGGTGCGCCGCGCGGGGCTGGTCCTGCACCTGGCCGAGCGCGCCTCCGGGGGCGAGGCGCCCGGCCTGGAGGACTGGCTGTACTGCGAGTACCTGGCCGAGGCCACCGAGGCCTCGCTGGGCCACGCCCTGGCACTGCTGTGGGACTGACGCCTCCAGGGGCCCCGTGCCTGTCTGTCCCGGGGGTGAGGGCCAGGGGGCACTGCGGGAACGTGGGCGCCTCCTCTCCATGCAGGAGACTTGAGCCCGAGTCATCCCCCAGGCAGGCAGGGGGCTGACGGCCATGGCCTCCGGAAGCTCCCTGATGCCGGGCCGGCCCGGCCCTCCTCCGGTGTGGACACTCGCTGGCCACCGTCTCTGCGGGAGTGTGGGTCCCCTCCGCCCGCCTTCCAGCAGAGGTGAGGACGCCCTCTAGTGCTGGAGTCTGATGGTCACTGTCTTCGTGAGAAGGTGGCCACTGTCCCTCCGACGGCGACGGCGTAGCAGAGGCGTCTCTGGGCCTGGAGCACCCCCTTGTGCCGAGGACGTGTGTGAACGTCCTTGTCAAGAACGGCTTGGGGTCTCGGGGGGAGGGAAAGCTCCCAGAGCCTGAGACCCCAGACCACCGGCAAAGCCCACCGCAGAGGAATCTGAACTCGCCTGCCCCGCCTGCCCCGCCGCCCCTCTGCACCCGCCGCCCAGCACCCCCTCTGCACGTCCCCCGGCCCTCTCGCAGGCGCTCCGGGAAATTAAGTCCTGTCCAGCCACCAAGCCTCTCGCTGGGCTGTCCCCTCTGCCAGACCGTCCAAATGTCACCTCCTCTAAATAAAGTTGCCCCTCCTGAGTCCACTCTCACCCCTCACTCTGCTCCCGCCCCCTCCTTCCAAAGCTCCTGTCCCACCTGGAAGTCTTTATGTCATCACCGGTCACCTGACCACCCACCAGGCCAGGAGCACCCTGAGGGAGAGGCCAGCCTCAACACACAGTAGGTGTTTAATTAATAGCATAGGGTGATGCAATAACCTGGCAGAGAAGACTCGTCAGGGAACCTAAGGAAGAGAAGGGACCTGTTTACACTCGTGAAAAATGGACACAGAAGCCCCGAGGAGTCCCACTGCCCTTGCCTGGGGCCTCCAGTCAGGCCCCTCGCTTTCCTTCCCCCATCATGGCAGGGCCCTCTCCTGCTCAAACATCTCCCGTGGCTCCCTAGTACCCTCAGAGTACAGTGGGGCTCCTCCAAACATTCCGCAAGCTCTTTGGCCAACCCCTCCTGCCACCCTGGAGCCTTCTGGCCTCCAGACTTTGCCCAAGTTGTTTCTTCCCTGCATCACTCTCCCCTCAGTGCCTGTGCTTCAGACTCCTCATCCTTCAACACCGCACCCTGAGCCCCTTGTCCACAGTTACACCCCCCACGCTGGAGTGTTGCCAAGCTGTCCCTTCACGCCTCTGAAGAGCAGCTCCACCCTCAGCCGCACATCCCTCCTCACCCCGGGACCCTCCAATCCCCCCAAGTACCTCGCCTGCTCCATAAAAGGTGCTCCCCTTTTCCAGTTGCTCTCCCGGCCAAGGCCTGGATGGGACTCCCTGGGCCATGCTCCTCCCAGACGCAGCCAGCGGGCGGCGCTGCAGTCCCGCCGAACTAACGCCTCAGGGGCCCCCCCACCCTGGCCGGCCCCCTGCTGGCCCCTCGGGCTTCCCCACCTTTGCCCCCGCCCCCACCCGCCCCCAGCACACAAGGCCCCCCCAACGGGGGCACTCCCCCAGCCTCAGCCAGGAAAGTCCCTGGGGCGGCCCTGGAGCCCTGGCCACGCCTCCCCAGGGCCACACCCCAAGCCACCAAAGCCCAGGAAACAGCCTCAGGCCAAGCGGAGAGGAGGCTTCAGGGAGGCCACAGGCTGCTAGAAGCACTGAGGGTGCGGGGCTCAAGAGACGGCCCAGGGGGCCCCCGGGAAGGCGGGACCTCAGCCTGGGCCGCCCCCACTCCGCCCCTGTAGAAGGGTCACTCAGCTCAGGACATGCGCACACCCACCGCCCCAAGCCCCAGGGGGTGGGGACGGGCCGGCTGAACACCACTGAGCCAACACGGTCTTGCAGGGATCATCACTTTTATTCAGGTTTTTGAGAGCACTGGAAGGGCTCCTAACACCCGTCTCCTCCAGAGAAAAGCCCGAAAATTTCCAAAAGCCTTCAAATAAGAAACTTCTCCAAGTACAGGGACAATCGGAATCATCTTAAACCAGCAATAAAAAAGTAAAATATAAACTTTTATTTAGAATTAAAGCAAATACTTCAGTATCACAAACACAATATTAAACTTCAAGAAATATACCGCTAATTTGGAGTGAGCATTTATTTGCACAATTACGACATGCGGACACACCCAGCAGAGGCAGCAGGCCTGCGCCCGCGCCCCGGGAAGCAGTCGGTCACGCCGGCCGCACGGAGCAGAACAGGCAAAGGGACCGAGACAAGGGCTCTGGCGGCAAAGCGAGGGCCGCGGGCGGCGCTGCCACTACTCCTCCCCCGAAGACTCCCTCTCAAAGGTGTAGGCCATGAAGCAAGCGTCGGGTCTCTTGGGGACAAGGGGATGCCCCGGTCTCACAATCTCAAAGCCCAAAAAGCTGAAGGTCCGGAGCAAGGCGGCTGCGGGGGAGACGCTGTCAGAGCCGCCGCCGCCCAGGCTTCCGTGCCCGACACCAGAGGCTCCAGTGCTCGGGCGGCGACCCCTCTCCCCTCACCCCTGCAGCAGCAGCCGCCCCCAGGGCAGACCCCTACCTCGGTCATCGCGGTTCTTGTGGAAGCAAATGAAGACGTGGTCGGCGTGGAGCTGCTCCTCCGCGAACTCGAGAAGAACTGCGAAGCTAAAGCGCCCCCGTGAGCCCCGCGGACCCTCCTCACGGGGCCCGAACCGCTGCCCAGCCCCCATCCCCCTGGGGGCAGGCTCCCCGGTGACACCCCGCCCTTACCTGTCCTTGCTCCCCTCGGGCAGAGCCCCGCCTGGGATCTCGATGTAGAGGCAGCCGCCGCTCAGCACCGCTCTCCAGTCGATGTGCTTGGAGCCCGTGAGCCTGGTCTGGACGTTCAGGACCCTCGTCTTGTTGTTAGACGTTAGTTCCTCTGTTACATTCAGCCGATTATCCTGGCAAAGCGCCCCCAGGCCGCACTTTAACCACGAAGTTGGAAGACCCAGAGCAGCGCCCCGCTCCCAGCGAACCTCCCCCCCGCCCCCCAGGCGCGCAGGGGTCTGGACGGAGGAGAAGGGGCTCGGGCCGGGGGCTCCGCGGGAGAAGCAGGTGCAGCGCCCCCTCCCCGCAGGGGCGGCGCGGGCATACTCACGGAGTAAAATAAATTAGCTGAAAGATTGCGATCCCTCTGACTATTCCCTCGCCCACCTGGGATCTTCAGGGGTGGGTGAGGGGCATCAGGAGCACCACCGAGGCCCTGGACCCAGGTTACTACAGCAGTTAGAAGCGGTGACGGAGGCCCTGGAACTGGAAGGGACGGCGCGGGTGAGCCGGGCCGTGTTTACACCGGGCGCCACTTCCGCCTGTCGGGGCGGCGCCCGCACTGCGACCCCGGTGCCGACGCCCGGCTCCCATCCTCCGCCCCCACCGCGACCTCCCATTTCTTCTCCGATTCTCTCCACTCCCCCGCCCTCCCTTCGTCGTCGACCGGCCCTGCCGGGCTCGCGGGGTCCGGGCGGCACCCCGCGCGGGCGCGGGGCCAGCGAGGCGCCCCCCCCGCCCCCGGGGTTGCGTCATCTCGGCAGCCGCGGCCCTCGGCCCCGAGGGAGGTTTTCACAATCGGCGCAGCCGGGGCGCCAGCAGCCATTTGCTGCGCGGCGTAAATAGGCCCCGTAGTCGCCTCCATCTTGCGCGGCTCCCATCCGGGGCCCCCCGAACCGCGGCCATCTACGTGGCGGGGTCCCGGGGGGCGGTGTCTCGAGGCCGGCCGCGTGGCGGGGGAGAGCCCGCGGTCAACGACCGCCGGCCGCGCCCGCACAGCACGGGCCTGACTCGGCCTCGGGCCAGCCCGCCCCCGACCCGACCCCTGACACCGCGCCCCCCAGGCCAGCCCGGGGCTCTCCGCGTCCCAAAGCGGACTGGGGTCTCTCGCGCCCCGCAAATCGGACAGCCGCCGGGGCCCGAAGGGCCGCCGAGGGGGGGAGAAGGGTGGGCACCAGCCCCGCCCCCGCCGCGATTATGGCCTCGACAAAGGGGCGGAACCTCGCGCTCCCCGGACTTCCGCGACCGGCGCCCCGCGGGCCTGCGCGGCCGCGCTTCTGGAAGCTTCGGGCGGGGGCGGGGCGCTCACCTCTCGCTGCTGCGGCCGCCGCGGCTGTGCAGTCTGAGGAGCGGCATGGTGCGGCTGGCGTGGACGGTGGCGCTGGGTTTATCCCCCTCCTTCTCTCTGGCGAAGCAGTGGCTGTTGAGGATCCGCTGCAGGGAGGATTTCACCATCCGGCCGCTGGGGTCCGAAACCAGAAAACCTCCGCTGCGCTTCTCCGCGCCGCCGCCGCTGCTCGCCGTTCGCAAAATGGCGCCGCCGCCGCCTCCCGCCTTTATAGGCGCTGTGCCCGGGCCACGCCCCCACGCTCTCCGGAGCGCGGCGCGCGAGTGGGCGGGGCCGCGGAGCCCCCGGAAACGCAGGCGTGCCCGCCCCTCTCGGCGTCTGATTGGTGGGCGGCGCGGGGGGTGGGACGGGGCCGCACTGGGTCCCGCCCCCCGCTGCTGGCGTCTCTCTGCGGCGCTCGGAGGGCGGGGCGCCGTGGCCCCCAGAACGCGTTGCGCGTCCCCGACCGCGTCAGCTGGGCTGGGGGGCGGGGCGCCTCGCTCGGTGCGTGTTCGGGAGGCAAGAGGCAGGGTCTCCGCCCTGGTTCCCCTTTCCTCGTCCCTTCCCTCAGCGGGCGCCCCTCCCCTGGCTGGTTCGGGGCGACTACAGAGCCCCCAGATATTTGCGGGAGGGGTCCCAGAGCCCCCCACAGGGCACGATTACCTGCAGGAGTCACCCCGCCAGGACCGGGCCTCGTGAGGGTTTTCTGTGTTTCACGTTCTCAGACGGCTGCCGTGAGCGGAGCTCGTCTGGTGGACTCGGGGGGCCTCACCCTCCGGAGCCCGGACGCGGGGCGCCCCCGCGGGCAAACTCCTGGTTTCGCTCGTGCACCAGGCCCGCCGCGGGCAGGAGGGCCGCTCCCCGCGCTGACGTGCGGGAGCGCGGTCTCTGCCGGCCTGACTCTTGGACGTACCCGGAAAATGCGGTTTCTTGCAGGTACTGCTTTGTTCCGGGGTTTAGGTTTCACATTTCAGCAGAGGCTCGGAGCGAAGCGTTGAAGCAGCTCCTGTTTGCTTCTGTGTCTTCACAACCCCTGCCTCCCCTTTTTATTTCCATCTACTGTGTCCGTTGGGTTTGAGCCGCAAACTTTCCCCCGAAGGGACGTGAGCGACTGCAGGCAGCAGGCGCCACTCGGGAGCGCCTTCGCCGAACCCCTGCCTGGCTCCCGACTCCCTTCCAGGCGCCGCAGGGTTTGTTCCTGACGAGGAATACACTGACGCGTATTTTTTTTTTTTTTTTTTTAAATTCTAGGAGAGAGAGAGAGACAGCATGAGCAGGGGAGGGTCAGAGAGAGAGGGAGTCACAGACTGAAACAGGCTCCAGGCTCTGAGCTGGCAGTCAGCACAGAGCCCGACGCGGGGCTCGAACCCACGAACCGCGAGATCATGACCTAAGCGAAAGTCGGATGCTTAACCGACTAAGCCACCCAGGCGCCCCAACTGACGAGTATTTCCGAGCCAAGGGTCAGAATCCAGACCTGCCACTGGTCACTGGGTCACATGGTGTTCCCTCCCCACCCCCATGCCTGGGGCCAGAAAGTGACAGAGGTCACAGCTGACCCTCAGCACTGCGGGTGACTGTCTTGTACCGGGGCAGAGTCTGGGGAATAAGGCTGAGTCCCCTTCAGCCCACAGAGAACCGAGCCTTGAGAGACCCAACACTCAGCTGGGGAGGGTCCCTTCGTTGACAGGCTTTGTGCCCTTTCTTACTGGCCAAAGTGCCCTTGTACTGTGGAATCATTGTGGGTGGAAAGCGGGGAGGGGGGGGGTATTGTAAGCTCTTGATAAAAAACAAATCACAGCATCTTGCAAAAGAGCAGAAGTTGGAGAGAAAAGGGGGTGCGTGTGGGGTCGGGCAGGACAGGCCGGGGAGAGCAGCCGCAGGGGCGCAGGGCATCCGAAGGCCTCCCCGTCCCCGGCACCCCAGGCGGGCTCTGGACCTGGGAGACAGCTTCCTCTGCCAGCTGTCAGGGAGGTGGGGGTGCCTGGGAGGAGGAGCATGTTCACGGGCTTCCCTGGCTGGGGGGGGGGGGAGCCCGCCACTACGCAGACTGGGAACACTGAGCCCAGGTCACAGCATCCTTCTGGATCTCGTGCGGGACGAATGGGCTTGCTTGCCGTGGGTCTTGGTTACTGTGTGCGGTATTCGGTTGCTGAGGCACAAATGAATCTCCATTATTTGGTCAGGCTTCAGGCTGGTCGGGTGTGGGGGCGTCCCGGACACTGGGGGGGGGGCTTGTTGAGCACATCCCTGGGCCCCACCACTTGGTGCCAGGAACCCCCTTGGTCGTGACAACCACAGATGTCCCAAGACCCCACCCCGTGTCCCACAAATGTCGTGTTTTCCTATCTGTCTACTCTGGGCGCGCCTGCAAATGTTGTCTGCGAGGAAGGAAGCCTTGCTCTCAGAAGGCTCTGGATCCACACAGGTGCTCCAGGGGGCCACCGCAGCTGGGCTTGCTGGGGAGCAAGACAGAAATCAGGCTGTCGGAGTCTGTGAGAGGCGAGGAACCCCCCGACCGCAGGGTGGGAAAGAGGCGTATCAGGGAGGGCCTCTTGGAGGTGGTGAGGGCTGAGCTGCTGGTAAGGACAGCAGAAGAGGTGGTGTGGATGGAGAGCCCAGGCCTAGTGTCCTGGTGAAATCGGTGTGGCAAGGTTAGGGATCTGGGGGCGCCCGGGAATCTGGGGTCTCACTCTGGTTTTTAAAAGGGATTTGTAGAGTTGGCTGATTAACAGCCTCCTCCCCCCCCCCACATCCGCGTCCTAGTTCTGGAATGTGTGGCTGTGTCACCTCACACGGTAAAAGGGGAACAAGTGGAGGCCCCTGAGGAGAGGGTGATCCCCGGGCCCCCCACCCTGCCCACGCCTGAGTGTTAGTTGGGACTTCTGGCCCCGGAGCTGTCAGAGAATCGGTGTGTGTGGTTTTAAGCCCTAAGTTGATGGCAGTTTGTACCTTTGGCCCCGAGGAACCGCCACTGAGAATGACGTGAGGGGTTAGCATCTGGGTCAGTGACGCGTGTGGTGTGCGGGGCCGTGTGAACTCCACCCAGATGCACAGATCTCTGGCTCATGCTCAAGCGCTTCAAAAGCTACAACTGACTTTGCGATAAAAATTTAGCCCCTGGGGGACTCAGTCGGTTGAGTGTCTGACTCTTGATTTCAGCTCAGGTCACGGTCTCAGAGTTCAAGGGTTCAAGCCCCACGTCAGGCTCTACGCTGAAAGGGCAGAGCCTGCTGGCGATTCTCTCTCTCCCTCTCTCTCTGCCCCTCCCCTGTTCACGCCCTCTCTCTCCAAAGAAAAGTAAATAAGTAAGAAAGGCTGTCCTTTAAAAAAAGAAAAAAAATAAAAATTCAGAAAGTAAGACAGGCGATGGAGCCGCAGACAGAGGGCTGGAGACCAGACAAACTGATCACAGCAAATGTTCCCGGTAGAATCTAGGTGGTGTGTGTGTGTGGGGGGGGGGGTTCACTGTAAAGTGTCCTCAACTGTTCTACACAATAGAAATTGTCATCATAGGGGCGCCTGGGTGGCTTCGTCGGTTAAGCGTCCGACTTTTGCTTAGGTCATGATCTCGCGGTTCGTGGGTTCGAGCCCCGCGTCGGGCTGTGCTGACTGCCAGCTCAGAGCCTGAAGCCTGTTTCAGAATCTGTATCTCCCTCTCTCTCTGACCCTCCCCTGCTCACGCTGTCTCTCTCTCTCTCTCCTAGAAATAAATAAAAATATTAAAAAAAAAATTTTCATCATATAATGCTAAAAAGTAAAAAGTAGAGCCTGAGTGGCTCAGTCAGTTAAGCCTCTGATTCTTGATTTCTGTTCTGGTCATGACCTCATGGTTCATGAGTTTGAGCCTCGCATGGGGCTCCGTGCCGAGAGCTAGAGGCCTGCTTGAGATTCTCTCTCTCTCTCTCTCTCTCTCTCTCTCTCCCCCTCTCTCTGCCTCTCCCCTACTCATTCTCTCTCTGTCTCTCTCAAAATAAATAAACTTAAAATAAAGTCAACAAGTAAAAGTAGAAAACGATCGAGTCTCCCTTCATCAGGCCCTCCTGGCTCCTCCTCACTCCTCGGAGCCACAGGGCAGAGGGTCTCGGCCGCTGCAGCAGGAACCCGGGGAGTAAACACTCTCCAGCCGTCCGCTCGCGGGACGCACAGCCCGGCCGCGTCAGGCCCACGGACGCTTCCAGCGGCTGGAATCCGGCCTCGGACCCACCCGCGCGCCTGCGGCCGTGTGATAAGGCGCAGGGCGCGGTGACCCCCCGGTAAACACGCGTGTTCAGAGATCGCAGGGGGCGACAACGCAGAAGCGAGCGGGGAGCATCTCACACGTCGAGCCGCTTCCGTCTCTCCTGTGACTCTTGCACGGCCCCGCGCTGCGTGCCCTCTTCCCTGTTCTCCCTGCCGCGTCGCGAAGGTTTTATTTTAGGAAGAACAACGGTCCGGAGGCTGTTTCCCTCCCCGTGTGGCCCACACCGCTGTTTTCACCACGCTTTATCTTCTCCGTTCATATAGAATTTCTGTTGCTAAATACAAGAGCAGCCGGGGTGTGACTCTTGATCGGGGTGTGACTCTTGATCTCGGGGTCTTAAGTTCCAGCCCCATGCTGGGCCTAGAGATTACCTAAGAAAATAAACACAGGAGCAGAGGATGCTCCCTGAGGAAATTAAATATGTACAGGCGTATTTCTTACAGACACTTCCTTCTGTGTATGTATATATATGTGTATGTAAAACATTCTTCATTATGTATTTTTTGATATATTTATATATTTGTGAATACGTACACATGTTTTGCTCTTTCTTTAAAAAAATTTTTTTTAACATTTATATTTGCGACAGAGAGAGACAGAGCGTGAGCAGGGGAGGGTCAGAGAGAGAGTGGGACACAGAATCTGAAGCAGCTCCAGGCTCTGAGCAGCTGTCAGCACAGAGCCCGACGCGGGGCTCGAACCCACAGACCTCAAGATCATGACCTGAGCTGAAGTCGGACACTCAACCTGGGTGCCCCAAACCATAACATACATTTAAGAGAAAATGTAGTTTATAAAACAAGATGTTCAGATCCTCACTGACGATGCTGGCTTTTAAGAAATGAATATGTAAATGATATTACAATGAGGTTTACGAAACATCTGAGGAAAGAACACCCAGATGTTGACCGTGTTGGGTTTGGACGGGAATTTGCGGGGCCTTCTCTGCACCTGTCTACATTTTCTAAATGTGCGGGTTTGTTGTGTAATAAGGAAGAACAGGTTCTGTTTTGGGGTGCAGGAGGCCGCTGGCCTCAGGTATGCGGATCGACAGGTTTGTCTGGTTTCCTGGTGGCTCCCGGGGGGACCTTATTCGCTCAGGCTCAGCATTTATGCTGGTGGTGACTCATTGCTCAAATCCACTTCCCCTTAGGGGTCCCAAAGTGGCCCTCTAGCTTTCCAGTTGCAACCCCCTGGGTACAGCTCTCAGGATGTGCCTCTGAATATGGAGAAGAGAGCCGAGAGCCCCCCAGAGCAGGGAGCCCTGTTTCTCTGCACAGTCACGTGGGGAGAAGGAAGTTTCAGGATGTAGGAGTTTCTCGCAGCTGCTATGACAAATAACCACAAGGTGGGGGCTAAGAACACCTTCTGGACGGCAGGTCTGGAATCCGGGCATCAGCAGGGCGCCCTCCTCCTCTCCCCCTGTGGGCCCGGGCAGGGGGAGCGTCCTTCCTGCAGCTCCCGCTGGGCGAGTGTCCCCCTGGTGGCCGTGTCTGCTGTGACTGCCCCCGCCCCCCCCCCCCCCCAGTGTATCTACATCTTCTCCCCGTGCATGTCTGTTTCCAAAGAACCTCAGGCTATTGTAAGAGAATGTCACAGATGGGGGGGTGGGGGGCTTGGAAGCAACAGAAATTGTTGTTTCCGGGCATCGGCAGATTTGGTGCCTGGTGGGAGGACCCCACTCCTGGTTCATGGACAGCTGTCTCCTCCCTGTGGCCTCAGGTAGGGGAGGGAGGGAGGGAGGGGGCTCTCCGGTCTCCTTCATGGGGGCATTGATCCCGTGCCCGGGGCTCCAGGCTCATGACCCAATCACCACAAAGGCCCCATCTCCGAATACTGTCACGCTGGAGGGTAGGTTTGAACATATACACTTTGGGGGAACACGCCTTCAATCTGCAGCGGACCCTGTTCCCAAGTAAGGCCACGCTCTGAGGTTTTGCGTGTTAGGACCTGAACTACTGTTTTTGGGGGGGTACACTTACCCCAGTACAGGGGTCAGAGGTGTGTCCCAAAGATCAACCTTTGTCAAGGGGCCTCGTGGGGTCTGGGGGTGACCGACTGAGTGCAGGCAGATTTCCCACAACTGTATGCCTTTTACAGCAGCCACGAGGCCTGGCTCTGAAAGTTGATTGATTCCATTCTGGGCTCTCGGAGCCCAGAGCCCAGTCTCCTAAGTCCTGCAGATGCTACCGCCCTGGGGACCTGTTTGCCCTGGGGAACTGCTGTGACCACCAACGTGTGTCCGGGGTAGAATCCACTCACTGGGTTCGCTTCTGACGGCGTGTTATATTCTACATTTTGACAATTTAAACAGGGTCTCCTCCAGGCGCTGCTGACCTCAGGGCGGGTGGCTCTGGGGGCGGAGCAGCGTCCCTGGCCCCACCCGCTCGATGCCAGGAGCAGCCTGTGCCTGCCACCTCCCCCATGGCTGTGCCTGTGATGTCCCCCCCGGGGCTCAGCATGGCGCAGAGTCACCCCGGCTGAGAACCACAGACCCACAGTTACAGAAACCAGGTCTTTTCACACATTTTAGACTATGTGGCTCGTCTAGAAGGTTCTGGATGCTTTCAAAACAAGCTTATGACTTTTAACTCTGACAGCTCATGCTAGTTACTCAGTTAGGGTCCTGTCTATGCAGACAGCTCCTGCGGAAGGTGGGGAAATTTTCTCTGGTCACTTGGCATGCCTCTTGGTAACTTCCAATGAATGTTTTGGTCAATTCCAGGTAAAGTGGTATTTCAAGATTCTTCATGAGCTTCTGGAGTCCCTAGGCCTCCTGTCCACTAAAACAGAGAGTAGATGGTGGGAGCCGGGGGGGGGGGGGGGCGGCGGGGGCGAGGAGAGTCCGTGCTTCGTGGGGGCAGAGTCTCAGTTTGGGGAGATGGAAACTTTTGGAGACAGATGGTGGGGACAGCTGCATGACAGTGTGAGCGCGCTTGATGTCCGTGGGCTGTGTGCTTGGAAATGGTTAAGATGGTGAACTTTATGTGTATTCTACCGCAATAAAAACTTAATGTATAAAAATCCATGATGAACAAAATCTCGACATTTTATAAAGACAGGATCTGACACTGGGGTGTCAGACGAAATACCTCCTCTCTGCCCGGTCCCAGCCCTGTCGGATGCCAGTGGAAGGATCCACACCACGCACACCGCGCACGCGCACGTCCCTCGGCCGCGAGCAGGAGGCGCCCCCACCCGCCGCCCCGCGGACGGACCCCGAACACACGACGCTCAGGGAGGGAACGAGACGCCGGAGGCCACGCGGGTGTGAGGCCACGTGCGTGACGCGTCCGGAACAGGCTCCTCCACGGGCGGGAAGGGGGCTCGTGGGTGTGGGGGCGGGGGTGGTGGTTAATGTGGAGGATGTTGGGGAGACAGATGTGCCCTTGGCTGTGCAGTGGGGTTTTCACGTGGATTCCAGGTGAGGAAACGAGGCCTCGCAGCTGGTGCCCTGTCCTCACGCCCCCGGGCCCCAGGCCCCAGGCCCCACCCGCTGCGGGCGCAGGGGTGCAGCTGAGCCCCGCACAGAATCGGTGCTTCCTAGGCCTGCTGACCAGATTCGAGCGTGAAAGCAAAGCCACTCTCTGTAGGTGCTCCCACCCCCAGGCCCCCCCTTCCTGAGGCTCAGAGACAGGAAGCACTGTCCCAGGCCACTGTGGCCGGCCCAGCGGCGGCCCTGTGCTGAAGTGGGGGTGGGGTCGCCCTTGGGCCAGTGCCCAGTCCTGCGCTGAGCATGGGGGACACCGCAGCAGCAGCCTCGCGGCACCCCCCCCCCCCCCCCCCCCCCCCCCCCCCCCCCGCCTGCTGAGCTCATTGGCCCAGGCCGCGGCCTCCCGCCACCTGCTGCTGTCTGTCTCGGGGCCAGCCTCCATCTGTCCACCGGGCTCACTGTGGCGGCTGTGGAGTAAGTAGGGCAGGGGGAGGCCTGGGCAGACGTGGGGGTCCCTTGGGTCTGGGAAGGGCATCTCTGAGGTCCATGGGGGCCCCCAACTCTTGTGGCCGCCCCCCTACATACCTAAGGGCACATACCTGCCTCCCGTCGGGCCCCTCCCCCAGTGCCCTGCTCCAGCCCCAGGGAAGGGTCACTTTTCTGGCCGGAGACATGACACACTGGGGACCCCAAAGGCATGGCTTTGGGAAATAGGCGGAACTGGGTTCGACCACAAGCTCCCTCCGATCTCTGGCTGATGGCTCTCTCCAGAGACTCAGTTTCCTCATCCGCCCTATGGGAGCAGAGGCAGGGGGAGGAGGCAGGGCCCAGCACTGGGATCAGGAAGCTCCCGGGGGGCCCTCCGCCCCCCTCCTGGCCAGAGGGAGGCCGGTCCTGGCCACTGTGTGAGCTTCTAGATTTAGGGGTTGTGAGAGGAGTGCCAGGCATGGCAGGCGAGGAGGGTCCAGGGACCCTGTGTGGGCAAAAGCCTGGGAGGGGCTGGCAGCACGTCGGCCCTTCCGCTGGCTTCCGGCGCCGGATAAAAATAGTCCCTGGTCTCAGAGAACATGAGCCGGCCCTGGGGCCAGGGGCCTGGTCTGGGCTCTTTTTCATCTCTGCATGACCTTGGGTGGGTCCCAGCCCTCTCTGGGCCCCAACAGCCTCCTGGAGCCCAGGGAGGGTGGGCTGTGGGGAGGGGGCGGGGCGGGGGGCTTGAGGACAAGGTGCCCTGGGAAGGCCAGCCTGAGTGTCAGCTGGCCAGGCGAAGGGAGCTCCAGGCAGAAGGGCCTGTAATGGCTGAGGTGGGGGGGCCAGTCAATTCGCATACACCCCCCAGGGCACCCCCCCAGGTCAGGCCCAGGCCCACAGCGCTACCACGCCTCTCATGCAGCCCTCCCCCCACCCCAGCTCCGGATCCCAGGCCTCTCAGACGTCTCCATGGCGACGAGGGCCTTGCAGGAGCTGGACGGAGGCCTGGGCAGCTGCCAGGCAGGCGAGGACCTCTCCACGCTGGCTGACCCCGGGCCTGCCCCGCCCCCCGAGGACAGAGTTCCAGGTACCCCCGGAGGTGCTGGGCCCCTGCACTCCCGCCGAGCCAGGCGGCTAAGCTTCAGAGACCAGGACTGACTCCACTCCCCCGTTGGACTGGCTTAAACCGTGGTCCCTGTTTGCAACCTCTGTCCGTTAGTGCCTTGGGGGTGTGTAAGGACCCCCAGAAACACGGGTGCTGGGCCATGTGGGTCGGGGTTCAAATCCCAGCTTGCCAACAAAGTGCTGTGTGCCTGTGGGTGGTGCTGCCTGAGAGCCGGTTTGCTTTCGAATCTGTAAAATGAGAAGGTGGGGTGGGCCTGGGGGTCTCACGACCTTGACTCTCTCTCTTCCTATGACAGCGATGCCCAGGCTGGCCGAGGCTAGCAGCTGGCCCCACGTGAGTAGCGGGGGCCCTGGGGTCTCAGCCTAGAGGGACCCTGGAGCCAGAGATGTGCTGGCCAAGGGGGTGACCCTGTGGGAAGGGCGTGGGCTCCCCCAGGGGAAAGAGGTGAAGGGAATGCCCCAGGCGACTGGTGACTCCTCACAGGATTCTCAAGAGCCAGCAGCCGAGGGCAGCCCCGCAGGCAGTGTGGATGCCAGGCCCAACAAGACAGAAAAGGAGCCTGTGACCAAAGTGGCCCTAGGAGCCGGGAAAGAAAGGCTGAAAGCTGGAGCAAGTAGGCTTGCAGAAGGCAGGGGTGAGGTGGGGAAGTTGGATGTGGCCCAGCAAGGGGGTCAGATCCGGGGCTGCTGGGTCCTTGGATGTAGGGGGAGGGGAGTGGGGCGCAATGGGGCTGCCGGCTGGGTTCTGTCCCAGGTGTCACCAGCGGCCACTAAAAGGGCTGGGATCCTCTGCTAATTCATGATACTACAACCTCAGCTTCAGTGAGTTACCTTCTAGATTATTCTCCCCATCCCAGGGAAGCTCCGAAGCTTGAGCGGGGGTTGAGTGTGGCCACGCAGGCCTGCCCCGTGGGTGGGGCTGTGCTCAGCCCCGCACTTGCTCTCACAGCGCCTCGGAGCCCGGCTCGCAAGAAGGCGCAGGCTGCCCCGCCCCCGCAGCGGCCGCCGCCGCCCCCGATCCCGGCCCCCAGCGAGGAGCTGCCCTGGGGAGACCTGTCCCTCAACAAGTGCCTGGTGCTCGCCTCGCTCCTGGCGCTGCTGGGTTCCGCCTTCCAGCTGTGCCGCGGTGAGCCCGCGCCCCAGGGAAGCGCTCCAGGGTGGGGTCTGCTTAACCCTGCCCCCCCCCGGCTTGCCCAGGGCTGGCCCCCTGCCCCCCAGTGTGGACCCGCTTTGCGCTGCTCGGCAACTGACCTTGTGCCCCCGCAGGGTCCCCTCTCCCTGCAGGCTTAGGGCGCCTCCCCCCTAGCCCCCCACCGGGGACCTTACCCTGGGCCCTTCCTCTCCCCAGTCCGATTTTGGCGGTCCTCACTCCCCCCCCATAGGCGCTGCTCCCCCCCAGGACTGGCCCTGTGAGCCCCCTTTCTAGTGTGTGTGCTCCAGGGAGCTCCTGCCAGAGAAACTTGACCAGCCCTTTTGCACCTGGAATGAGGGAGACCTGGAGGGAAGGGGCGCCCCAGCAGTGGAGACCCGAGAGCCTTCCCTTCTGAAAGCTCGGGAAGAGAGGGCTGGGGGCGGGGGGCGGGGGGCGCGGATGGAGTGCGGGTCTGCGCCTCGGCCTGGGCTGACTCCCGTCCCCTCCAAGATGCTGTGTCTGGGGAGGCAGATGCCCCTGCACCTGTCCCTGAGCCGTGGGCACCGCCCAGCTCGGCCCCGGAGCCAGCGTCGCCCCCGCCCCCGGTAAGCCCTTCCTTTAGGTGACGGCGGTGGGGGAAGGGGTCTGGGCCGGCAGGGGAGGCGTGCGCTGACCCCACCGTCTCACACCGCCGGCGTGGCAGCCGAGGCCCGAGGCCTGGGTCCCCCCATCTGGACCGCCCGCGCCCCCGGTGAAGGCGGAGAAGGCCGCTGGGGAAAAGCGCGCGCCCGAGGAGGCGCCTCGGGAGGAGAGGCGTCGGAAGGAGAAGCCGCCGAAGGAGCCGAGGCTGCCGAAGGAGAGGCCGCGGAGGGAGGAGAAGCCACGGGCCGCCAGGGAACCCGGAGGAGCCCTCCCGCGGCGCTGGGCGGCCCGTGAAGCGGGCCATCGGCATCGGGCGCAGGACCCTGGAGACCCCGGGCACAGGAAGAGGCAGGCCTGGGGCTCCCCGCGGCGCCTGGACGAGGACCGGCCTCCGGGCCGCCGGAAGCAGCGGGCTGGCAAAGGGCGAGACTGAGCCAGGCCTCGATTCTGTGACACGCAGTCCTGGGACCCCCCGCTCGGTGGCCCCCGCGGTTCAGCGAAATAAATGCAGCGCAGCAGCCCCGGGGCCGCCTGCTCCTTTGAGCCTGGACGCGGGAACCTGCCCGGGCCTGAATGGTGCAGATGGTAGCTCTGGGGGAGGTGGGGGGCGGCAGTCCGGGCAGTGAGCGCTGTCGGGGGTGACCTGGCCCCTGCCCCGCCCCTCGTGCCAAGGGAGAGCTGCGCAGGGGGAGGCCCCGGCCCGTTCCCCAACGCACACACACGTCAGCCAGTGTTTGCTGGTCTTTACTGGGGCGGTGATTGGGGTCCGAATAAATATGGGCGGGAACGCCACTCGGGGCGGGGGAGGGGGGGAGCAGGCGCGGGGGTCACCGGCAGCCGCACTCGGTGGCCACCATGTTGGGCACGTGGTGCGCGCTGATGCGCTCCTCCGACAGGCTGATGAGGAGCTTGCCCGCATAGGCCGTGGGCACGCAGCAGGGCGCGCGCGCCAGGGCGGCGCCGCGGGCCTGCATCTTGAGCAGCAGCACCACGTGGTTGCCGTAGCGCGGGTTGCGGTCGGACTGCGGCCAGCCGCACGCGCCCTGGCAGTTGTTGGCCTGGTACGTCTCCGGGATGAGCACCGAGCGCTCGGCGCGCAAGTCCACGCTCAGCTCGCGCAGCGCGCACGGCCCGTCGGCCGCCCCGGGGCCCGCGCTGCGCTGCGCCCGCGCGGGTCCGCTCTGCTCACGCCCGCGCCACTCCGCGCGCAGACCCTGCAGCGCCTTGAGCAGCAGCAGCGCGCGCAGTGGGCCTCCCGGGCCTCCGGGGTCCCCCGAGTCCGCCGAGTCTCCAGGGCACAGCGCGAGCAGGCGCGCCAGCAGCGGCGCGGCGGCCGGAGGCAGCCCCGGGAGCCCGCGCAGCTCGGCGGCCGCGGCCTGCAGCTCGGCGGCCACGCGACGCGCTAGACCCGCGGCCCAGGGCGCGGACACGGGGCCGTGCGGCGGCGCGGAGTCCCCGGCGGTGGGCGTGGCGGGTGGCAGCAGAAGCAGCAGCAGCGGCTCGTCGCCGTCGAGCAGGCGCTCCTGCGCCGCGGGGTCCGACAGGTTGACCAGGCCCTGCGGGAAGCCGGCCAGCGCGCCCGGATCCAGGGCCAGGCGCGGCGGCGAGCCCTGGGCTGGGGGCCCGCGCAGCGCGCGCACCAGGCGCGTCAGCGTCTCCAGGAAGGGGTCGGCGCTGGGCGGTGGCTCCTTGGGCTCCTGCTCCTGGGAGGGCCTGGAAGGCGGAGTTGGGTGGTAGGCGCAGGGGCAGGGCTCCCCTCCCCACACCCCGCATCGCGGGCCAGCGCACACCTGGGCGGCGGGAGGCGCACTTGGTCCAGCAGGCCGCGCGCGGGCAGCGGTGCAGTCGCGGGCCCGGGCAGCAGGAGCAGCGCCGGGGTCACGCGTGTGAAGCAGCGCGGGTCGGGGCCGAACAGCAGCTCCTGCCGCTGGGCGGTGCTCAGGGGCGCACCTGCGGGGCGGGGCGCGGGGGCCTGGCTGAGTGGAGGCCGGAGGCTGCCCACCCTTGCCGGATCCCTCTCTTCGAGAACCTACCGTGTCTTCGGGGTTGCAGGGTCAGGGTGAGCCCTGGGCTGCGCCACGCCCCTGCTGGGTGGTCCACCGCCAGCACCAGGTAGCGGGTGTCCCGGGACTGGCAAAGGGTCTGTGGAGACAGAGGCTCAGCCTGGCCAGTGGGGGGTGAGGGTACCAGCCCTGCTCCGCCCATCGCCCTTGACATCCCTTCAAGGTTCTAACCAGGACACTAGGAGCTTTTGTTCAGCACAGTTAAAAAACCCCATACCCTGTCCTCTGCTGGGTGACGGCTCCTGGGGCCCAAAACTACCCCCTTCAACACCCCAGTACCTGGGTGCCTGGCAGCCCAGCCCCTGTGACAGTGACCTCGGGGCCAGGCCCAGGGTACAGCACCAGCACCGCCAGCTCTAGGGGACCAGCTCCTCCAGGCGGAGGCTCCTGGAACTTCAGCGAGGGTGTTGGCTCCCATGTCACTGTGACCAGGAGGGACAAATAGGGAAGGGGGGGACACCTGAGCCCCCGAGGCCCCGCCCCCTCCCAGAGGCCTGTCTTGCAGTTCTGCGGGGAAAGCCCCACCCCTACTGGGAGGGGCTTGACACCAAGATTGCAGGCGCAGGGCCTTGCCCCAGTATGGGGAGCCGGGAGCACCCTTGGGGTCTCTGTCTGGGGCTCTCCTTGGGGAGGGGAGGCCGTAAGTGTCTCCTGGGAAACCAGCCACACAGCACGTTGCTAGTCACGTGGGAGAGTGGGCGGAGCACGGCTCTGTGGACCTGGGGGTGCCCTGCCCCTGCTCCCTTCCCCTCCTTCATTCGGAGGGAGGGGTGAACACCTCCCTGGAGGGCTGCAGGAGTGGGCCTGGAAGCCAAGCATCGGGGGGAGGGGTTGCGGTCCCGACACAAAGGGCCCCCACCTCCTGGGCCCTCAGCCTCACCCCTTCCCAGGGGACCAGGGTGGACCTAGAGTTGGGCTCTGGCAGGACCTGGTCAGGAAAGAGTGGTGGCAGCGCCCCCCCCCCCCAGGCCGTGGCCCCCACGTACCTTCCTCCAGGTGCAGCACCACCAGCCGCCGCCCCCCAGGCTCCCCCAGCCACGCCTGCAGCTGCCGCAGAGGGAACAGGGCAGACTGCCTGTCCCTGGGGGCGCAGACTCCGAAGGTGGCCAGGCTGCGGGGACCCCAGCGGGCCCGCTGCACAGCCTCGAGGAAGCCGTGCTCGTAGCCTCTCAGCGCCCCCACCACCCGAAGCGGGGAGCCGCTCCCATTCCCGCCCTTGTCCAGTGTCACCACGCACAGGGGGTCCTGGGGACGGCCCGGGGGCGGCCAGCCCCAGTCTGGGTGGAAGATGAGACCCCCCGTGCCTGTGGCCGGCTCTTCAGGCAGGGCCGGGGTGCCGGGGACATCCTCCCCAGGGTCCCCGGCCGTCAGCAGAGCCCCGGTCACCGACAGCACCAGGGCCAGCATCCTAGCTGCTGTGAGGCCCCGGGCCGCCCTGGCTTATATGGACGAGAGCTAATGTTTGTGCAAGAGCAAAACTCCTATCTCCTTCTGGGGGTGACCTTGGGGGCCAATGTCTGGCGCCCCACCGTGGGCCTGGGCAGGCAAGGGAGCCTCTCAAAGCCGCTTCTGTTCAGTGCGCCCCGCTATCTTCTCTCCCTCGATAGAGTGCAGCCTGTGACCAACCGGTTCAACAACTGTCCTTGACGAGCTCTCCCCCCTGCAGGCGGGAGTGGGAGCCAGACCGGGGAGTGACAACCCAGACTATCAACAGGTCCGGAATGGGGGTGGGGGGAGGGCCTGGAGGGCGCTGCACCGGGCTCTGATGGGGACCAGAGTCCTTGGGTGTTCAGACCACTGGGTGCGTGGGCTCGGCCAGAAGGTGGTCGCGCGGCAAAGCTGGGGCTCCCCAAGTGCTCGCTCACACTGCTTCCTGGCACCGTGGAGCGCAGGCCATCTCGGCCGGAGACCCCAAGGAGGGTGAGCAGCCTCAGGAGAGCCCGGAGCCACTGCGGGCTGGCCGGTCTGGCCGCCACCACCGGCATCCTGGGAGGACACAGGACACGGATGCCCCGACCCTGAGCCCCCATGTACACGGTGGGGGCACACTGTGGGTATTCACCAACGGTGCGTGAAGCCAGCACACCTACCGCCCCGCAGAACACCCCCCTCCCCGACACAGCAGGACACTCAGGCATCAGGGGAGGCTGTTTAATGATCGTTGGGGACACGGCAAGGCCTTGTACAAAAGCACCAAACTTAGCTGGGAGAGAAGACACAGGACAAGACCCCAAACTTGCCCAGAGAAGGAGCAGCTTTTCAGTTGGCTGGGGGAGGGGGAGGAATGTTCCCAGGACCCTCGGAGGGCAGCGGGGGCCTCAGCATTGGGGGCATGGGAGTTGGGGGGTGCACCCCAGGATTTGAGGGGTGAACTCCAGGAGGCTGGGGGTGGACCCCAGGAGCTGCAGGATGGACCCCAGGAGGCGGGGGGTGAACCCCAGGAGGCTGGGGGTGGATCCCTGGGGCTGGGGGGTGGACACCGGGAGCCTGGGGGTGCACTGCAGGAGCTGGTGGATGGACCCCCGGGGCCTGGGGGTGAACCCCAGCAGATGGGGGAGGGTGGACACCCGGAGCAGGCGGGTGGACCCCTGGGGCTGGAGGGTGGACGCCCGGAGCAGGGGGGTGAACCCCAGATGTTGGGGGGTGGACCCCGGGAGCCGGGGGGTGCACCACTGGTGCCGGGGGGTGGACGCCTGGTGCGGGGGGGTGGACCCCAGATGTTGGGGGGTGGACCCCGGGAGCCGGGGGGTGGACCCCGGGAGCCGGTGGGGGCAGCTGGGGAGGGCCTGGAGGCCCCGAGGGCGCAGGCCCGCTGGGCGGCATGGGCGGCAGGGGCAGGCCTCCTGGGGGTGGCGGGGGCAGAGACTCAGGCAGCGGCGGCCGGGGGGGCAGACCGTTCATCAGGGGGGGCGGGGGTCGCTTCACCCCGGGGGGCCCAGCAGGGAGGCTCGGAGGGGCCGGAGGTTTCTCCATCTTGAAGTGGAACTGGAGGAAAAACTGGACACACAGCGGGGGCTGAGCGGCGGCGCCCCGGGGAGGGGACAGGCCGGCCAGGGCAGACACCGCGGCCCCCGGCGTGCCGGATCCAGACCGGCTCACTCACCTGCTTGGTTTCCCGATTCCAGTGAGTCCAGAACTTGCCCTCGGCCTTATCGATCTCCCTGCTCGGCACCTGTGTGGGGAGGGGGGCAGAGAGGGGGCCCTGAGGACCACCGTGATATCACCACGATGGATCTGGGGTGGCGGCGGCTGACATCCCAGCCCCGCAGCCCTGGGGGGAAACTCGTGCTCTGCCCGGGACGGGGTTGGCGGAGCCCCAAACAGCCTGGCCACAGGGCATCTTCCCGCCGGGGCCACGTCAGGGTCTCTGCCCCTTAGTGGGCACCCACCTCTGGACACCCAGCCGCCAACCCTCGCTTCACACCCTTCCCTGGTCTTCCAGAGGCCGGGACCCACCGGGGAACACCTGCTGCGGGGGCACCTGCGGCCTCTACCTTGAAGGCGATGGTTTCGTAGGGCTCGGCAGCCATCAGGAGGTACTGCCAGCGCCGGTCCGGAGGCTCGATCCGTTGTTCGTAGGCGGACATGAAGCGGTGGCGGGGCATGATGCCCTCAGCGATCTCAGGGTAGTCGATCTGTGGGGACAGAGAAGGTGGCAGCGCCGCCGTTCGAGGGCATCTCCCCCTCCCATCGGGCTTCAGGCTTCCCCTTACCTGGAAGAGGAGGCTCTGCTGGCCCATCTCCGTGTCCCTCTGCTTGGTCACTGCAACACACGAGGGTCTCAGGCCCAGGCAAGTGCGTGCTCCCCGAGGCTAAGGGGCCGCGGGTGTGGACTAACACCGCCCGGGAACGGGAGGGCAGGACGCTTGGCCACGCCGTCTGGCTGGGGTGCCAGAGCTCGCCATAGGCCCCTGCCTGCAATCGCACGGTCAGGGGTATGTGTGGGCAGCACAGTGGGCCCTGGGGCCCTCACCTTGAGGCCCGGGACGCACCGAGCGGAAGCTGAAGAGGGGGCATGCTGCGCACGTGCGGTAAGTGGGGGGGGGGGTCTGGGCCCCTGCTTCTGGGAGGTCGCCCTCTGTTCTGCAGCCCAGCCTCCAGTGGCCCCGTTCCCGCTTGCAGACCACTCTCCATACGGCTCTGGGGCGTGCTGCGCTCCCCTCACACCCTCCAGCGTCTCCCCCCTACACTCGGGACAGAGACCAGATGGCCTACCATGGCCAAAGGGCAATTGGTGGCTGTCCTCTGCCCCCACACCTGTCACCCCAGCCCTAGCTTATCAAGCAAACCTGCCCCAGGGTCTTTGCACTGAGGTATCCTGCCTGGTAACTTTTTCCTTAACTCCCAGGAGCACAGTCCCCTAGGAGCCACTTGATCTACTTTCTGGCAGGTGATTCAAGACCCCTCCCCTCTGCCATCGGTTCCACTGAGTGGTTTCTTACACGAACCCTCCTCTCTTTCAGGCTGAAGCATCAACACCCTGTCCCAAGATCAAGGAAAGGGACCACCCCCTCCATGGTCACTCATGCCCCCCAAGAGCATAGCAAAGAACGACCAGCTCCCAAAACACTGGGACACGGGGCCAGAGGAGCCACCACCCCGAGATACGGCTGTTTGAGAAAGTTCACAGGAAAGGGGAAGCCAGGGCACCAACGGGCCGCCGGTCCCAGCCTGGTCCTTCTGCTGGGGAGCAGCTGGGGAGCGACAAAGGGCCAGAGACCGCAGTTTCTGTGTGGCCCAAGGACGGGGCTGGGGGGTCACGTCCAGTCCTGGCTGTGGGCCAGAATGCTCCCGACAGAATTACCTTTGTAGCCCGGGCGGCCGATCTTCACAAACTTCTTCACCTCCACCTTGACCTTCTCTGGCGCCGGCTGGGCGGGGGCCTCTTTGGCCTCCTTGGCGGCTCGCCGGGCCCTGTGGGCGGGACGGAGACGGCACTGTGGCCCCTCCACACAGGCCGCCAAGGCCACAGGCCCAGGTGCTGGGAGCTGTCCAACCACCACAGCGACCTTGGAGTCTGAGAGGCCAGGGGCACGGGGGTGGGGGGGTCCCAGGGTTCCCATGCCATGGGGCCAGGCCGGGCTCAGGGCACCTCTGTCCCCATCACGTTTCCCACTGCCCCTCACTAGGGGGTCTTCTGAGAACCCTCACCTCCCCCCGTGTCACAGAAGCCCACACTCCAGCAAGATCAGCCTGACCACTGGGGAGAGAGCACCCCCCACCTCTCCTGGCTCCACCCTCTGCTCAGCCCTGAGGCCCTAGGAGACCCTGTGGCCGGGCTCCCCGAGGGGCTGGACACTGGGCAGTGGAAGGGGGCCCGGTACTCACAAGTTGGTCTGATGCTTCTTCCCCTGTGTGTGCGCCAGATAACTCCCCTGCAGCGGGAAAAGCACATGGAAGGTTCAAGACCAGGTGAGCAGGGCGGGCGCCGGGTGCCTGCTGGATGAACGCACTCCAGCACGGTCACGCGAAACGCACCACCACGCACGCGAAGCCAGAGAGCGAGGCTGCGAATGTTCGCTGTCACAGCCTGTGGGACATGGGAAGGCTGGCCGCCCACCACTGGGGGGGAGGGGGGTCAGTGGGTCTGGCTGCACAGTGGGGGCTAGCAGCAGCTGGTGGCCCCGCAAGTGACATGCCCTGTGATCTCGGGCGTCCATTCTGACGACAGCCTAGGGGCCCTCTCCACAGAGTGGGACAAACTCTGTATTTCTCGACAGCTGGGGGGACAGCGGCAGCATCTGGGGAAATCTGTGGTGGTCCTGACCAGATGGGGGGGCGGCTCCTGGCATCGAGTGGGCAGGGTACGCCAATCAGCGGCCCCTGAGAATGACCTGGCACCGATGGCAGCCGTGCTGAGGGGGACAGACTGTACGGTTCGCGCCACCTGTGACTGCCAACAAACCGAACCCGCTCGCTCCCAAGTGGACCCACACGCCGTGTGTGCGCACCAGACTCTGATCTTCCAGCCGCTCCAAAAACCCACCTGGAGCCACGCTTATGAGATCCCAAAACCTGGATCCAGAGCTCCCCAGGCTGGGCCTGGCCCATGGCGTGCTCCTGTGGCAGTGGGGGGGGGGGGGGGTTTACAGCGCCTCGGGGGTCCGGGAGGTGCAGGCTGGGGCAGGGTGCTTGGCCTTGGCCTGGAGCACACGAGTCTCCCCTAAAAGACGTGTCCGTGTGTGTGCCCTGCTGAGTTAGCAGCCTGAGCCCCCTCCACCCTCGGGCTGCTCTGAACCAAGTTGCGGAACTGAGGGGGCCGCGCGGCTGGGCCAGGAGGCGGGGGCCCGACGCCCACCCCAGGGCCCAGGACGCACCTCATTGTTGTGCAGCGTCAGGCACAGCTTGCACTCGTAGGAGCCCAGGTGGTTCTTCATGAAGTAAGGGTCCTGGGGAGAGAAACCCCGTTAACAGCGATCAAGGCCATGGCCCCCACCTGCTCCGTGAGGAGCCAGAGTCTCCGCTTCGTCCAAGAAGCAGAGACGGCTGCTGTCCTCTGCGCAGGCGCTCTGAGGACAGGGGCCTGGGCTCCGCGGGGCCTTTGGAGGCAGCCCTGCAGGGCCACTGGGGTCCTGCAGACACAGGCCCCTCGGCAGGACTGGGGGCTGACAACACGGGCTCTCAGTTGCACCCTGGTGGCTGCTCCGGGTCCAGGGGAGAGCAGAGCCAGAGCGGCCACCGGGGGCCACCACAGGGGCCGGCCACTAACCTCGCCGGCTTTGCCAAGCGTCGCAGCACGAGCCTGACACCCGACACTGAAACCACAAAAGCAAATGGGTCACGACAGAGGCCCGTGCAGGCCCCGTCTGTGCGCGCGGGGTTCCCAGGCCATCCAAGCGACCGTCTGTGAATAGGGGCAGCAGCCCAGACCCGCGGGGGTTCAAATCCTAACTCCGCTGCCCAGTGGCCGTGTCATCGCCGGCAGTGACAGTCCTCCCTTGTCTCCTTGGGGAAATGGGGACAGAAGGGAGCTGACCTCACAGGCGAGGCCTGGCACAGGGTGAGGGCTCATGTCTCTGAGGGGCTCCAAGTCTAAGGGGAACCATCCGTGAAGCCAGGCCACCTCTGTCTCAGGGACACCGGGGGACGTCTGGGGCCATCTGCGTTTGTCACAACTGGGGTGCTCCTGGTACCGAGCGGGTGGGGGCCGCCTGGCTGCCAACAGTGCCCCCTGGCGATCTGGCCCACTCCCAGCTCTGAAGCACCGGAGAAAACGCTGCCCTCCGCTGCCTACGGCTGGAGCATCAGGCCCCCTCCTCGCCACGGCGACCCCGCAGCCCTCTGGTCAGTCAGTCACACAGAAAGCCTCAAGCAAGCTTGAACGGCAGGCGGTCTCTGAGCGGACAGCTGGCACCGCTCTAGGCAAGCTCCCTCGATTACAGACCAGGACCCAGGGCCCAGAGAGGCGGGCGGGGGGCCGAGGGCACCAGGTGAGGGCGTACTGAACGCGGCTCCAGGGACAGACGGCAGAGCAGGGAACACGGGACCCAGAGGGCTTCCTGCCCTCACTCCACCCACCTTGTTGATGTCGATGGTCTCCAGGGCCAGCTGCCGGAGGCGCTCCCGGCGGTCCCGGTTGCTCTCTGAGGAGGAGGCCACGCCTCCGCTCCCGGTCTTTCCCCCGGGGCGGTGCTGGAAGTCCATGGCGAGGGCCTTGGGGCTTTACCACACTCCGGAGAAACCTCTGCCGGGGCAAAGGAGAAAAGGAGAGGCTGTGACGGCCGCAGGGCATGGCAGGGGGCAGGGCTGGCGAGACCCCCCCCCACGTCTCCCATCCCTCCCCCCTGCTGCCCCCTGCCGGTCTCCCATCCCCACCCCTGTCCCCCCTACCCACTCCTGATGGGGATAAGCCTCATCGCCCCGCCCACGTCTTCGGGTAGACTGAGGGCCCAGGGTGGCCCAGGCACGAAGATAAACAGGAAGAGGGGCCCTGGGGAAGGACTGGAAAGGAGGCCACCACAGCCCACCAAGCGTAAAGGCTCTGAGACCCAAAATGCAACGGGGAAGAAGTGGCCAAGTCCTTAAGCCTCACCTCCTTCAGGAAGCCTTCCTGGACCTTGGCCTGAGTGCTCAGCGCTCCCTCCTCTGAAGGCCCTGCTTGTCTGTGCTCAGCTGTAAACCTGCTGAAAGAAAAGAAGATAACCTATTGTCCACCTGTTTCTCTGAACGCACAGAGACGCTCAAGACGGGACTGTGGCCCAGGAGGGCTCTGTTGAGCCCTCAACACCCCGTTCTGGCCCCTGCCACGGCGCCTCCCACGTTCTTTCAGACTCGGCTCAAACCCAACCCCCCAGCACCTCTCTCTGGTCTCTGAACACTCTCCCTCTTGACTGGCCAGCGTCCGCCCCAGGCCACTGGCTTACGCCCACGCTACCTTGTCTCTGCGGAGGTGAGCTCACGGGGACGGGCCCAGGAGTGAATATGACCCTACGAACGTCCCTGGTCTAATCCCCAAAGCGATAAATACAGAACCATATATGGCAAAAGGACCTTGCAGGTGCGATTAAATCAAAGACCCTGAGGCGGGGGTGACCCTGGGTTCCCCATGGCGCCCAGCGTCCTCACGAGAGGGAGGCAGAGAGAGGGTGGACCCTGCACTACCAGCAGTGAGGGTGGAGGAGGGGCTGCAGGCCAAGCATACGGCACCTCCGGAAGCCAAAGAAGGGGGGACACGGGGCTCCCTGGGGCCCCGGGGGGAACACAACCCTCCATTTTAGTCTTCTACTCTCCAGGACTGCACAGTAATACTCCCGTGCCCCTTGACCATGGACTCTGTGGTGATCTGCTATGGCGGCCACAGACAAGGAACACCCGGGGTACAGCCCAGTATGACCTGGAATCACCTGGCAACTCTAGAGGAACCCAGATCTGCCTGGCCCGGTTCTCACCCTCTTGACGAGCCTATGGAGGCATCACACCTGGGAGCCAGCAACGTGACCTTCCAGGTGGCTGCGGACCCCGGGGCGCTACACCCACCACAGGGTCAGGCCTCGTGTTACAGAAGGCCGCCCGGAGCTGCCACCTTTGGAACTGCGCCAGGCCCGGTGTGAAGGCCGAGCACCGCCAACCACCCCACTCAGTCCATCAAACACTCTTGCCCTGAGAAGGGGCAGAAGCGCCCTCTGCCAGGAAGGCAAGAGCATCGGCCCACGGGACCCTCGTGGCCTCACCCCTGTGCCATGTGAGGCCCACGGGACCCTCGAGGCCTTGACCCTTTTGTCTTCTATGGTCCATGTGTCTCTCGTGGCCTCACCCCTGTGCCATGTAGAGCCCACGGGACCCTCGTGGCCTTGACCCTTGTGTCTTGTACGGCCCATGGGTCCCTCGTGGCCTCGCCCCTGTGCCGTGTGCAGCCCACGGGACCCTTGCGGCCTCACCCCTGTGCCACGTACAGCCCACGGGACCCTCGCGGCCTTGACCCTTGTGTCTCGTACGGCCCATGGGTCCCTCGTGGCCTCGCCCCTGTGCGTGTGCAGCGAGCCCAGGGAGAACTGCACCCCACCCTCCCGGGGGCGTCCCGGCTGCCAGACCTGTTCACGGGCTCCGCAGGGGAGACCCTACTGGGGCCGAGCTCGGCCGGCACCTGCTGTTCCTGGGGGAGACTCCGGCGTTTCTGGGGGGAGTTGTGAGAAATTCCTCCCCAGGAGGGGGAGGGGAAGTGGGCAGAGGGACACGACTGGCCCTCGCCACTGCCCACAGCACGGTCGGGGAGGTCCCTCTTCCGTGGGTCTCAAGTGACTTACAGGCTTCCGTGGGGAGACAGCAGCCATCTTCCCAAGGACGCTACGGGAGGGCGCTGCTCGAGTCGGCAGCCAGGAGCAGACAAAAACGTGCCCAACATCACTGGTCCCCCGGGAGCTGCATATCAAACCCCCACGGACCCTCTGCCTCAGGCCTGTCAGCCTCTTCATTACCGGAGAGAAAACACAGGCAGCTCCCCCGAGTTTGTAGGGTGGAGGGGGGCGTGGCGGGTGCACACGGCTTTGGCTCAGGGAACCTGACTCAGATACTGAGTTGGCTGCCCCATTAGAGGCCCAAACTGCCAGTTCCTTCGTTCCTGATGGTGCACTGCACACACATCATCCCTGCCCCCACACTCCCCAGCACCATCCCCAAGAGATCGTGTGCCCAGATGCCCTCAATGGGCTGCTTGCACAGACCGCACTTTTGTTCTCAGAAGGACTGGAACGAAGGCACACTGCACCTGGGCTGGCACCGTCGGGCAGAGTCCAGGAGAGGAGGGAGGGCCAGGCTGGAAAGAGGGATTCCATCAAAACCAGCCCAGCAAACAGCAGGCAGGGCCCCCCCCCCCACCTTGCCCAGCAAGGGGGAGACACCAGCCCAGTGGCCCAGCAAGAGCACCAGAGACCGGTTCTCACACACCGTCGGCTGGGGCCTCTCACGCCCCAGAGAAAACAGCAGCTCCTTCCATACTCAGCAAGGGAAGCTAATAACTCACACTTAAACAGATCTGAAGAACCCCACCCGGGAGGAAGAGAAGGAGGAAGGCAGGCAGGCACCTGACAGAAACCTCCCCTGATGATGGTAGCGATGATGAGCGGACGAGGTAATACACCACGAAAGCGGGGCAGCCTGCCAGGCGTCAGCCAGGCCAATTAAAACCTGAAGGAAACTTTGGAAAGTAAAGATGGATCCAAACAAAAAACCTAATGGGAGAGCTTGAAAAGACAAATTAAACAAGTCTTTCACCAAAAAGGATTGATTAAAAGGAAGGAAGAGGTCAAATTTCAGAACACTGATGGAAATAAGCACGGAAATACTACCAAAGATCTATGAGAGCATCACCAGAGAAAAGAAAACTACCCCAGGGCCGAGAGAATCTAATTGTTCAGACAGAAACAAAAATGAAAAACAATTATGAAACTTTACGACACCCAGAAGAAACTTCAGTTTGTATTAAACAAAGAAAAAGATCAGGAACAAAAGGTCAGGCACCAGAAGAGAATCAGTCTCAAAATGAATTTTCCATCCAGAATTTTATACTCTAATTTCTATTCGTGAGTGTAAACAGATAACCAGGGACTCAGAATCAATTTCCTTGAAAGGTGTCTGGAGACACATCCTGATACCACAGAGGAAAAGAAACAGATGATCAGACTGAAAACAAGCCAGCTTAAGAGAGCGCCGAAAGAAAGTTCTAGACAGTTGCTGGGGGGAAGGTGAGCAACCCCTCCAGACGCAGGCCCGTGCCAGCCTCTGAGGGGCGGGGAGGCGGCGAAGGATGAAGAAGCAATTAATTTGCTTAAACCTAGGGAAAAATACAATTAATAGGTACTGAGATGTTGGGAGCTTCGAGGAAAAAAATTAACAGGCCAACAACACCCGGCTAATAGGAAAAATGAGTGTCAGTTAGTCTGGGGGGGGTGTGGGAGAAAAATACACAAGTGATCCCGTTAGTTGTCTTCGCAGCAGAAAATACTTTGAATCTCAGGAAACAGGTGTAATGACGTGACCAAAACTCAAGAAAACGCTCAGAGCGCGAGGGGGAAGCTGCGGGGGGCGGGACGCAGAAACCAGGGCCACCAATCGAGAGAAGTCAGGTCAGGCCCCAGACCCGCGCAGCCCGGAGACCCGCTCCGGACAAAAGCAAGGGCTCGCCTCGCTCACAGAGGGCAGGCGGCCTCCGAGGCCCAACGAGGGGGCGGCGCTCCCCACTCGGCCGCTGTTATCCCCACTACGGGGGCGCGCACGGAGGTCCCCTCTCCCCGAAGAGACCCAGGGCCGCACAACCACGACAAAGAGCCGCAAGTCCGTGCTCGCTGGGATCCTAGGGGCGCAGAGAGCGCCACGTGAGCGCCACCCGACCCCGCGGGCCTTCGGAGAGGACGCAGGACTCGTTTGGCCCATCCGCTCGCGGCCAGGGAGTTGCGGCCCAAGGGCCCCAGGAACCCCAGATTCGCCCAGCCCTCACCCGCGCCCCCCGCCGCCCGCATCCACTCCCGTCCTGGGAAGCCAGGGCCTCGGGGTCCCCGCCCTCACCGTGCGCCGTTCCTCGCTCCGCGCCCGCCGCCACCACGACTACGTTACGCGCAAGCGCATCTCATCCTACGGAAATACTTCCGGGGACAAAGCGGGCAGGGCCTCCCGTGTGCGCATGCCCGCCCTGCCCGGCGAGGTGGACCGGAGGCTCCGGAGGCGCGAGGAGAGGGGGCGGGACTGGGAGGATAGGCTGGGATTCGAAGCGCGCGTGCGCAGCAGCCTCTTAACGCCTTCTGGGTCGGTCTAATTCACTGGGTCAGGTATCGCGGGAGGTCGGACTGCGACTCGCCCCGCTCCGCCTGCTTCTGTCGCTTCGGTCAAGGGTGCCACTGGTCGTGAGAGTACCTTAATCTGTCCCCACCACGGATCCAGCTTATTGCGTAGTGTATACGACGACCGTCCGTTTCAATCACTGTCTCCGCGCCTGCGACCGACGGGGTGTGTGGTTCGGCTGCGCGCAAGCGCAGTGGGTGCGGCAGCGCTTCCGGGACGGCGCTGTGGGACTTTTTTGGCGCGAGGGCGGTCGACGGCCGGGAGGGCGCGGCCGGCGCTCGGTGTTTTGGGTCCCGGCGGCGCCATGCGCTATAACGAGAAGGAGCTGCAGGCGCTGTCCCGGCAGCCGGCCGAGCTGGCGGCCGAGCTCGGCATGCGGGGCCCCAAGAAAGGCAGCGGTGAGCGGGCCGGGTCGCCGAGGCGGGAGCGGGGGGGCGCGGGGGGGCGGGGGGGGCGGCCACCGAGCCCGCGCGAGCCCGCCCTGTGCTCTTAGTGCTGAAGCGGCGACTGGTGAAGCTGGTGGTCAACTTCCTTTTCTACTTCCGGACGGACGATGCCGAGGTAGGCCGGCCGGGGGTGGGCGGCGCCCGGGTGCGGGCGGGTGCGGGGCTCCCCGCGGAGGCTCGCCCCCAGCCTTCCCTTGCGCCCCCTCTGCCCGCAGCCCGTCGGAGCCCTGCTGCTGGAGCACTGCAGAGTCACCCAGGAAGAGCCCAGCGGCTTCTCCATCAGTGAGTGACGGGCGTGGCGGGACGCGGCCGGCCGCGACCCCCGCCCCGCCCGCCTGCGCCGGGCCAAGTCCACCGCCCTGGGCTGCCGAGGTCGGCGCTGGGCCCTCCCCACCCGCTGGGCGCGCGCCGCGGCACAGCGCCTGCCCCAGATCCGCTGGGACTTTGCCTCTCGCGTGGGAGCCCTGCACTCCTCGGGTGCCCGGCGTCCTCTGGGCGCTGCGTAGCATACTCCTGGGTCCTGAGAGGGTCCAGTCGGCAGCGAGAAAAGACGGAGTTGCTGCTACAAGTTTTCCGAGCTACACGCGAAGGGCTTAAATGGCAGGAACCAGGAACGGTGCTCTCCCAGATCTGGAGGGCCGAAGTCTGAGATCAGGGTGTCTGCACGGGTGGTTCCTCATTAAGAGGACGTTTTCCCAGGCTTCCCGGCTTCTGGGGGTCGCTAGCCATCCTGGATGCTGCTTGCCCGCACTTGTCTGTAGAATCATGCCTTCAGTCCCTGTGTCCATCTCCACGGGGTTTACTTTTGCTGTGTTTAAGCTATTTCCCCTTTTGACAAGGACAGTAGTCCATTAGATTTGGTGCCCGTTTTGTTGTAGTCTGATCTCATTCTAAGCAGTCACACTTGTAACGGTCCCGTATTCAAATAGGGTTCCGTTCCTAGGTACCAGACTTGAACGTGTCATTTGGATGCAGTTGCATCCACGGCACCGCTGGTGGGAAGCCCTGAGCCTGGGCTTGGACTGGAGGAAGGGACAGTTTTGGACAGAGGCCACAGGAAGCGGAGGCCTGGTGGGGGAGAGGTTGGGGGGGGGGTGAGCGAGTTACGAGATGGGGACTGCTCCCCTTGCAGGTTTCATCGAGGATCCGGAGAGGAAGTATCACTTTGAGTGCTGCAGTGAGGAGCAGTGTCAGGAGTGGATGGGGGCTCTGCGTCGAGCCAGGTGGGGGGGGGGGGGCCCGCGGGGGGGGGGGGTCTGGGGCGGGGGGGGGGGGGGGTCAGGGCAGAGCAGGAGTCTGAGCACACACTGCTTTCTCCCCCCAGCTACGAGTTCATGCGGAGAAGCCTCATATTCTACAGGAACGAGATCCGGAAGATGACTGGCAAGGTGCACAGAGGGCGGGGGGCGGGGTGGAGGGGTGGGGTTTCTGGGGTGGGGCTCACACCCCCTGTTCACCCACACAGGACCCTCTGGAGCAGTTCGGCATCTCTGAGGAGGCCAGGTTCCAGCTGGGTGGCGTGAAGGCCTGAGAGCTGGCGCTGGAACGCGCACCCCCCCATCGTCCCCAGGCCCGGGGTTCCTGGCACAAGCCTGGGTTTGCTGCAGCAGGCTTCAGGATCCCAGGATTGGCGGAGGTGGGCGGGGGCAGCTTGGAGGAACAACCCAGTAACTGGACTCTCCCCCCCCCCCCATCCTGGTGCCTCAGGCCTGCCCCCTCTCCCCCTCCGGACCGGTCTGGCACCCATTGGTGCCACATGCTGCTACCGGGGGAGAGGTGTCCCCTTCCAGAAGCTGGGGCCTGGCGGCACCTGGGGCTGCCGCAGCCCTCCTGCCCTGTGCGGGCTGAATGTACGGAGCTAGAAGATGCTGTGAAGGGCGTGGGGGCCGTGCCTCCTGGAGCCACTGTGAATTCCACTCCTGCCGATGGGGCAGGCCCTGGCTGGGCGCCTGCCGGCGCGGGGCTGGAAGCGCTCGGGCCGGCGTGCTTGTTCTGTTCAAATAAAGGTACCTCTTTCGTGGGATGGCAGCCCCGGTGCTTGGAACCTGCCCCCGGAGGAAGAGCAGTGCTCTCCAGGCGGGAGCAAGGGTGGCCGGCCGGCCGGAGCACGAGAGACCTAGAACCAGACCAGGGAGAGGCGGGGAAGCTGGGACTTTGGCCCGTGGGGCCTCTGGTGCTCACAGGCCCCGAGGGAGAACGGAGGTGTGGTGTGAGGAGCCCGAAGATGGCCCTGACCGGATCCCACTTCCGGCGCCCAGGCAGAACCTCAGGACATGTTTTGCCAGTGTTAGTCCTGATTTAGTTGGTTTGACTTAAAAAGGAAGTGTGCTGGGTGGGCCCAGCCTAATCGGGTGTAAGCACCAGCATGGTGGGCCCTCCCTGAAGTGGGTGGCCACGGTGTCGTGGCCATGTGGCTGCTTGAGGAGGCTTCTTCCGGGAGTCCCTGTCCTCGCGCCTCCCCCTCACCCTGTCCTAAGCAGAAAGAAGCGCTTCCACCAAACCAGGTTCAAATGGAAAGTATTTTATTACAGCGCCGAGAGGTGGAGATGCAGAGCGCGGTGGGGTCCTCGGGACAGGAGGGTCAGGCCAGCCCCGCCCCCGACCGGAACACAGTCTGCCAGAGACACAAAGCAAAGCCCCGTCTGGAGTCACAAATTAAGGTGGACACACAGGAAACGAGCCGGTGTGGCTGGGCCACGGGGTGGACAGGGATGGGAGACGAGCGTGGCCTGCTGTGGGGCGAGCGGTGTGGATCGAGAGGGGCGCGTGAGCCTCACACACGTCACAGTCCGTAGCTGCGAGAAGCGGCGACCGCCCGGAGGGCCGTCTTCCTTGCTGGGTTTTCCTGAGCAGAGCCACCCCGTGGGCCCACCGGGCTTCCCTGAACTTGCCCGCCGTCAGCAGCAGCACCGGGGCCCCGCACGCCACTGCCACGCCGCTACCCCTCCCGCGGCCGGGGGCTCAGGGAGGACAGTCCCTAAGCCCCACCCGCCAGGGCCGGCAGGCATGACCCCGGACCGCCTGGGGGGCGATGCCTGCGGTGCGCGCTGTTTCTATCGGGAGGGGGGTATGGCACGTCACTCGGGACCCCGCACCAAAGCGATGCAGTGTTTGTGTATGGGGTTGCCCTGTTCTAGACCGGGGACCCCTGCTGTGGCCTCTCCGCTGCCCAGCCTGTAGCTTTTGGGGAGCCTTGGGCTCCTGACATGGGGGGGTGGGGGGGTGGGAGGGCGCCCTCTTGGAGAGGCCGAGCAGACACTGCCCCGTCCAGAGGGCCAGGGCTCGGGGTTCACAGGGGCAAGACACAGCACCTTCATGCGCCTGGAGCACCGGCTCAGAGGGAGAGCCGGGGCGGCCAGTTACAGGACGACGGGCCAATTTCAAGAACCCATCACAAGCACCATCTTCTGCCTCAACTATCCTGGGCCAGGGATGTCCCCCCCCCCCCCCCCGGGGCAGGCAGGAAAGCAGGGCTCTTGCGGGTTCCTCTTGTGGAAACCAGGGTCTAGGCAACCTCCAAAACGGAGCCAGCAGCCAGACCTGCCCCGCACAGACCGGTCTGCCTTCCTGAGGTGGCGGGAGGCAGAAAACCGTCCTAAACCCCGCCCGCCGGAAAGGCTGGCTCCAGACCTGCCCCTGGGGGTCAGGAGGCGGCGGGGCTGGCCTTGGCCCACCGCACGGACCCTCCCCGGCAAGGCAGGAGCTCCAGGCCTTTACTGGAGCAACAAGTTAGACCGCAGCCCACCTTCGGAAAAAGGCAAGCTGCCCGTTTTCCTTGGCGGGTGCAAGCACCTGAGGATAGGGCTCTGACCCCTCACCCATCTCGAGGTCCTGGTGCCCTCCCGGGGCCTTGGCTGACTCTGGCCCTTTCAGGGGATGGAGGGCTTCGGGGGCGGGGGGACCCTTCTAAACACCATGTACCAGCACAACACTGGTCAGCTGGCGGACCGGAGACCGGTCACAGACTGCCATGCTGGACCCTGCTGGCAACCTCTGGCAACCTCTGGCACAACTCTCCTGGCTTTGCCCTGGTCGCCTGCCCCCCAGTGCATTCATTCCCAAGCACCATCAAGGCTGCCCCAGGGCGGGGGCTGGCAGAGGCCGGGAGCAGCAGTGTGGACTGGCCAGAGAGACTGGGGCAGGACGCGGGGCCTGTCCACTCCGCCCCAGGCACCGCGGGGACGCAGAGTCTGGGGCTGAGGGCCGGCCCTGGGCCCTTGCCATTGTGTGCACTTGAATAAATAGGTTTTCCCCTCACTTTTCTCTCTTTTTTAGTTTACTGTGCATTATACAATCTAAAAATAAATGAAGTCAAGTCTATGAAATTTATAAATTTTCATCACATCTCTATAAAATACTGTCACTCATCAGCGTGACTCTCTTCTGTACACACACACCAGGCACCCGTGACTAACCTGCCCCACGTCACCGGCCAACATGCCGTGAGCTTACTATGTGCTTTGGTGGACGGCGGCGTGAGCCCGACCCGAGCAGAGACGCGCAGACGAGAACGCGCCAGCCGCCGCACCGTCGGGGAGTCGGGTACCAGACCTTCCTCGCGAGCACCACTCAGAACGGGCTCCGTGCAGGATTGGGGGGGCCTGGCCCTCCCGCGCCCCCCGGCTGTTCCTATGCCAAAGGCGCTGATCCCAGGACCGAGGGGCCACCAGTCTGGGGGAGCCATTCACAGTGATGGGGAGGGGGCCTCTTCTGAGGAATGTCACAACAGAGCGAGCCACCCCCGCCTGGAAACAGCCATGCCTTTGGTATAGGAAGAGCGGCGGGGGACAAGCAGGGCAGGCGCCTCAAGGCCTGGGTTTGGCGTTGGTCAACCTCCAGTCAGCACCAAGAGAGCGAGGCGGCGGCGAGGCCTGCGTCGAGATAGCACCGGGACCGGCGGTCAGCGTGTCCGCGGGCGGGCCAGTCCTTCGGGTGGGCGTCTTTACATAGATCCTCTCATGTACAGTATCTACACTTCTCATAGAGCGCCTTTACGACTCCGGTGGAGTAAAATAAGTCAGAATGTTTATACTTTTTAAAAAACGATAAATACTTTATCTAAAACTATCGACAGTACGAGCTGGAGCCAGGCCCCGGCACCTCCCGCAGGCGTGCGCAGCGCTGGTTCACAGTAGAGCCTCGTCGCCGGTCCTCGGTCCGTCCCGCCGTCCCGCGGCCGCTGCCGCACTGCTGGCCCAGCCCGTGCGTGCATAGGTCTCACGGTTGAGGTAGAATCCTAGTTACCTGCGGAGACCAGCGCGGGAGGAAAGGCAGCATTAGCATTCCCCTCGGCAGAACGTTCCCCCAGGCCGGGGAGCCACACCTCCTACAGACAAGCGGCGGCGGATGGGACGGTCGGACGGTCGGACAGACAGGACCTGGTCGCTGCAGGCCCTGCCTCTGCTGGCAGGGACCCCTGGCCCACGCCCCCGGCCCTCCTCCCCAGGAGCCTGGGGGCTGAGGCCCTCCCAGGCCGCCACCTGCCAGGCACGGCCCGCCGTCCTGCCCCGGGGAGCACCGCGGGCGACGGCCGTGGGGCGGAAGGTCAGGAGGCAGCGGTGGGCAGTGGGCCAGGCCCGAGACTGGTGCCCAGATGCTTCCGCGCGCACACCCCTGACCTCTTCAGAGCCGGTCTCGGCCGCACAGAACGCCTGCTCTGACAGCATGAGACCATCACACTCGAAAGCTGCTCTGCCTTCTGGACTTTCCCGACAGGCTAAGGCACAGCCTGTCCCTGGACCGCAGGCCATCCACCAACCTGCACCCTGACTGGGAGGCCGTCAGACTCCAGCGGCCCCCCTGCCCCCAATCTGTTTCCACGTAAAGCTGCGGCCGACAGTGGAGGACAGCCTGGCCCGAGCACCCTGTTAGCGCCCAGCTTCCTTCCCTCAAGTCCTTGCCCCAGAAGGCCCCTCGCCCCCAGTGACGCCAAGCAGCACCAGCTGTGGCCGGGCCAGCTGCACCAGGGCCTGGCTTCCTAACGCAGACACACAGCCAGTGCAGGAGCAGATGGAAACCCTCCCTGAACAGGCCTCACGGCGATCTTCCTCACCAGCTTCCAAACACGGGCCCTTCCTACACTGCCCTCCACCGAGGGCCCCAAGGCGGGGGCCGTGCTCCTCTGAGCAGGGCTGTGGCCATCACGACCCACGCAGCCCCTGGCCCACTGGCCTGCAGGCAGGGGCTCCAGCTCAGGAGCCTGAGACTCAAGCACCAGCTGTGGACAGCCCCCTTACACGGTGCCTTCTCCTATGCCGTGCAGCGTGTGCCAGGGAGCCAGGCTGCGGAAGGCCCGAGAGCCGGCAGGCGGCGAGGCCGGGCTCCGACTGCCCCTGTGGCCCTGGTCCCTGGCTGCCGCAGACACAAAGCCTGAGGGCGACAGCAGGCTCGAGCCAGCCTGGGCACGATGGGTTGCCGGCCCCGCCCATCTCCTTCCTGGGCACCTCTGCTGGGCAGGGGCCCATGAGGCATGCCGCACAGAGCTGAGCTCGGAGGCGGCTGTTCAGCCGTCCTGGAGACCGGTACACACGGCCAGCCCCAGTTACCCTGGCTTTCCCTTGCACCTCTCAGAACCGACCGTCTCCACCCGAGGCAGAACAGCCTGGGTCCCCTCGGCCCCTCCTCGGAGCCCTAGCGGGCCCGTCCACTCTCTGTGGAAGGAAGGACAAACAGTTCAGGGTCTCATACGGGCCCCCTGGTTGGGCTCTAGCCTTACCTTACAGAATACGAACCGCTAGCTAAGCAAGGTCTTTATCGTGGCTTAACCCCCGCGAGGCGCGCGGCACACGGAGGCGGCATGCCAAGGGAAACCCACACGGCGGACGGGCCCGTGGAGCTGGCCTGCGGGATCACGGGCGCGGCCTGGGCCAGGGCCAGCCCGGGCAGGGGCTGGTGGTGCACCGTGAAGGAGGGGCGGGGAGCCTTGTGCGGGAGGGAGGCGAGCTTGACGGACAGAGAGGCGTTAGCAGGCTGCAGAGAGGCGGCAGAGGAGGCGGGTAAGAAAGCCTGGTTAGCCGGGAGGGACGCGAGGCTCTGCAGAAGCGCGGGCTCAGAGTTAGCGGGGAGCAGTGCGGGGGCGGGAGGCAAGGCGGCGTTAGGGGGAGGGGGCGCGGGGAGGGCGGGCTGCCCCGGAGGGGGCGGGGGCGGGGCGCCGGCCACCGCCTGCAGGGGGGTTAAGCTCAGCGTGCCGCTGCGACACGCAGCCCCGCTGCCGAAACTGGCTCCAAACGGATGAGCGGAGGCGGAAGGCACCGCGTGGTTAAAGACACCTGCAAACAGGAGAGAAAAACTCAGCTTCAACAGGGGGGCAAGTCTCCAGTCAAGCCTAGAGAGACGCGGCGACGGGAAGCAGACAGCGGCCGCAGCTCCGAGGGCGTCGCGGGGCGGGGGCAAAGCAGCAAGCAGCGGGGGCGCGGGTGGCCGGGGTGACTCACCTTCCCCGCCACAGGACGGGGGGAGGGGGGGTCCCGCCCGCCTGCGCCCGCCAGAGAGCCGGCTGGGACCCCGCGGGGGGCCCGGCCCGGCCACGCGGCTCCTCTCCGCCCTACACGGTGCCACCAGGCGGCAGGCGCTGCGGCCACCGGCTCTTGCCCAGCGCCGGCCCCCCACGGCCGCCCGGCCCCAGGGCCGTGTCAGCTCCGACAGGTGGCCTCCACGGGGACGAGACAGCCCTAGTTGTGGCGCCAGCTCTCCCGAAGGTACAAGGGGCGCCGTCACGGCCCGGGGACCTGACCCAGGCCGACTCACGCGTGAGTGCTCTGCCCACGCCACAGGCGCATCTGCAGCTCACGAAAAGGAACGAGGTGACGGGTGCAAAGTGGACCTGAGGGGGCACGTGGGCACAGCCTCTCGCCCGTTAGGGGGCCCTGCAAGGGAACCTGGAAAGCAGTTGTCATTAACCCGTCGGTCCAGGAGGGCGTCGGCGACGGCGTGCGGCCCGCAGGACCCAAGAGTCACACGAGAGAGACGCGTGTCCGCCTACCTCCAACTGCGCCGCCTGCCACCCCGGAGGGAAAGCTGCCCATGGCGTGCGAGTTGGTCAGTCTGGTTGCGGCGGATGAGACGTGCACCAGGCTGGCGGCCGGCACGGAGCCGAACAGGGACTGCAGCACAGACGAGCCCAGGTTGGCCTGAAGGGACATGGGGCCCAGGGCGAACTGCGGGCCGGGGGCAAACGTGCCCAGGAAGGGGCGGTGCGTCTGGGCGGAGGGGGCAGCGCTGGCCACCGAGGACGCCGCTGTGGCGAGGCCCGGGCCGCTGAGGAGGCCCCCGGGGGGCACGGCGGCGGCGGAAATGAAGAGGTTGTGGCCGTTCTTCAGGTCAGGCTCACGGTCCCGGCCCTTGCCCGGCTTGCCGTGCGCCAGCGGGGCCTTGTCCGGGGGCCCGCATGCCGCTGGGCCCGGCTCGCCTGCCTCCCTGCCCTTGGGGCCGCCTGCTCCGTCCAGCTGCCTCTTGTTCACAAAGGGGCCGGGCTCTGCGGCGCCGTCCTTGCCCCGGGGGGCGGGAAAGCTCAGGGGGGCGCCCAGGCCTGCCGCCTCTGGGGCCTTGTGGGAGAGAGAAGCACCATCACTGAAGCTGTGTAAACTGAGGTCTGCGGCCAGGCCCCCGCTGAAGGTGAAGCCGTTGGGAGGGTTGCCGCTTGGGCTCAGCCCGCCTGCCCCTGACAGGCTGCCGGGAAAGCTCTTCCTGGGGTGGGCAGCCAGCTTGGCGTCAGCCGGGCTGGGCTCCTCCAGCGGGGGCCGGAAAGTGAACAGGGAGCTCTGGCTCAGGGCGGAGCCGGCCTGCAGCGGGCTGTCGGCGCACTTGGCCAGGCCGAGGTCGGAAATGGGTGAGAAGGTGGACTTCCACTTGCTGCTGTTGGTGGGCTCGCTGGCAGGGGTCGGCTTCCTCCCGGCCAGGCCACCACCTGCCGAGGAGACGTGAAGCCCGTGAGGTGTGGGGCCTCTGAGGGGCCGGGGGGCTCAGAGCCACCCCTTCCACCCGAGAGAAGTGTGCTACGGTCCACAACCAGACCTGCCGGGGGTGGGTCGGGTGGTGCTGAGCAGGCGGACGGGGTGACGGGAGGGGAGCTGGGTGCACGCACAGAGTCAGATGCCAGCCTGGGTCGAGCAGGAGGGACGGCACTGCTGGCCAGCAGTGCTGGGACCAGCAGCCGTGGGGACGGCTTTCCAGGTCCCGCTGTCCATGCAGGTGGCATTCAACACTGGCCAGAAATATTTCTAGAGGCCAAGCGTCAAGGCCACACCCTGGGGCGGAGTCACCCTTGGCCTGGGAATTACAGGATGTGGAGGAAAGTTGCTCACCGTTTTCCAAGGTTTTCGGAGGAGATCTGCTTTCTAAGGAGATTGTGGCAATCTTTCTCTCAATTCTATCGAGAAAAAAAACAGATGGCAGATATTTGAAATCCATCTGCGCAGCAGGGGCCCTGTGTTCACGCTGCTGCCTGGGGCGGCGGGGAGGCAGGCGGCACACAGCCCACGGTCCCCAGACCTCTTTACAGGGACTGTGGCCACCAGGTCCCTCGTGCCGTGCAGGACGCCACCAGTGGCAGGGCCGAGGCAGAGGGCTCGCGCACAGGGGCGCCATCTCCCCTCACAGAGAGATGCCCATCCGTCCCTGCTGGGACCACCTCGGTGTGAACTTGCCCCTGAAGCTTTGTCCAACCTCAGTGCCCGCTCTGGCGCAGGCGCTGCTTCATCTCCGGAGGGCCACCTGGGACCCACGGCACGTGCCGCAGAAACCCCGGATCACAGAGCGGCGTGTGCCGCATGTGTCGGTGTTGGCAGAGCACGCCCTGAAGGGCGCCACGCCCTCCAGGAACACGGGAAAACTTCCGAAAGGATTTGGAAACTGCTAAGTTTGACATTCTCCACACAAAAGAAGAGCACTCGAGCGGGAAACTTCTAAAAACATAACTTAGGTCCGCAAAAGAGGAGCAGAATGAATTAGCCCGCACAAGAAACCAGAAGCGCAGGCAGCAGAGGTGGACGAAGGGAGACGGGACTGGACCAGAATCCACCTCCGCCCTTCAAAGCATCAACAGGAACCTGAAAGGAGAATCCAGGGAACGGAAGGAAACGTTCTCAGCTGACATCTGATAAAAGGTGGCCTGCAGGGTATGTAAAGAACTCTTATAACTTAATAAAAAATGACGTGACGACGCCGTGGACAGACAGCCCCTGAAGAGACTTTTCTCTGAAGACACACAAATGGCCACACGGCACACGAGAGGGCGCTCAACGTTACTGGGGACAGAGAAGGAACCCACAACCACGAGTCGCTGTGCCCGAAGGAATGTCCACTACAGTATAAAACAAAACCAGTCGGGGCACCTGGGCAGCCCAGTCAGTTAAGGTCCAACTTCAGCTCGGGTTATGGCCTCAGGGTTTGTGGGTTCGAGCCCTGCGTCGGGCTCTGTGCTGGCGACTCAGAGCCTGGAGCTGCTTTGGATTCTGTGTCTCCCTCTCTCTCTGTCCCTCCTGCACTCACACTGTCTCTCTCTCTCTCCCTCTCAAAACAAACATAAAAGAAAACAAAAAACCCTAGACAGACAGACAGACATGCAGGCAGCAAAACCAGAAGATCACAAGTAACGTGGAAAAACTAGCGCGTGGGAAAACCACGCATGGCTGGGAGAACAAGAAGGGGTGGCCGCTGCAGACAAACATCTGGCAGGTCCTCAAAAGGCTGAACACAAAGCCACAACGTGACCCAGCAATTTTACTTCTGGGTAAACAAAACATTTTGAAACAGAAACACGTGTGTGAAACTTCACAGCAAAACAGTCCTCGTTAACTACGAGCCAGTAACACCCAGCCCAGCGTCCCTTCGTGGACGAGCGACAAACACAGTGTGTCCATCCGCACGCTGGTGTGGGACCCAGCCCCAGAAAGGAAGGACATCCCGCCACCTGCCATCAGGCGGGGGGACCCGGAGGACACCATGCGCAGTGACAGAAGCCAGACACAAGACACATCCTGCGTGATCCCACTCAGAGGAGTCCTGTCCACAGAGACGAGACTGGATGGTGGGAGCTGGGCAGGGGTGGGGAGTGGCTGATAAAGGGGCTTTTTTTCGGGGTGAAAACATTCTCCGATGGAGACGAGTGACACTTGCTCGACTCCGTGAATGCGCCCTAGGCCCCCGGGTCGCCTCCAGGACACGCGCTCCGAGTCAGGCCCAGCGGGGCCTACGTGCTGCAGAAGAGCAGCCTCCACGGTCCGCCTCGCCGGGCGTGCAGCGCTCCCCGGGACCGCAGAGCTTGGCTTGCTCGAGCCGCTCCTGCCGCGGCCGCCTTGCCCCCTCCGTCTGTTCCCAGAGTGACGCGTGTGCCACGACGGAGCAGCCCCGGCCCCAGGGGCTCCAGGCCCAGGTGGCCAGCCCGGCCCCGGGTGCGGAGTCTCAGGTGGGAAGGCGGCCCAGGCCCTTCACGAGCGGCTTCTCACCAAGTACACCGGTGAACAACCCGGGGAAACCGTCCACCTGAGAAAGGCAGCTGAGGGGTCATGACCCCTGTATCCCCCAACTACCGGGAGCCGGACGCAGCCCGTCCTCGGCGCCCTGGGAGGTCCCCCGCCCGATCACGAGCCTCTCCTCGCGCGAGGCCCGCCCTGCCCGGCCCCACTTGCCTGGCGCTGCCCGGCTCGTCCTCGGAGCCCTGCTCCTCGTCCGAGGTCAGTGGGGAGTAGTGGGCCCCGTTGGTCTGGCTCAGGGGCTTCTCCTTCTTGAGGACGGGCGGCTGGTCGCTGTCCTGGTAGGGGACAGGGGAGCTCTTCAGGCTCTCGGGGGACGAAATGGCCGTGATTTCCAAAGGCTGGTTAATGTTGCTGACCTGAGGGACCAGCAGACACAGCACGAGCCCGTCAACAAGCCCCCAGAGCACCGACACCCAGGGCTGTGCTTGGGTCCCTCCCACCCGCATCTGCCCGGGAAGCGGCTGAGCCCGCCTGCTGCCCTGGGGGCCCGGGGCTGAGGCCTCCCAGCCAGCCAGGGAACGGAACCTGCCCTCCCTGCCCCCACTCCCAGCCGTTCCCGGCCTTACCATGGAGTTGAGGTTCAGGGGGGACCCTGAAGACTGTGTGAAGAGGCCAGCCACGGACGGCAGGGCCCGGCGCTTGGGCGACACGCCTGAGCTCAGGCTGGGGGCCCCCGCTGCCGCCCGCTTCCTCCTGCCCCGCTTGCGGCTGTCCTGGCCGTGGCCCTGGCTACTGTCCCCACGGCTGCCCGCGGGCAGGGGGCTGGGCTTGCTGGGCGGCGACTGTTTAGCACTGCCACCGCCAGCCGAGATGGTGAAGACGATCCTCCGCTTGGCTTCGCTCTCAGGGTCTGAGAAGCCGGCCTCAGATGGAAGGTCCCCTTTGCTGCCATCAGGGAAGGGACCCTGGGCGGCACTGCTGAGCCGGGGGCTGGCGCAGAGCGGGTGGGCGGGCGAGGCCGCGCCGGAGCCGCGGGGCTGTGGCAGCAGGGGCGGGTGCTGTGGGGTGGAGCCGCAAGAGCCCATGCTGGCGAACAGGCCGCCCGGGCCGGGGACCTCGTCAAAGGCGCCGGGCTCGACTCCGGAAGCCAGGGGCGCTGGGCTGACGGCCACCGAGCCCGTGTAGAAGCCTGCGGGAAAGGACAGGGCTTCTCAGGGGAGCCCAGCCCAGAGGGGCCGAGGGCACCTGTGCAGGTGGAGCTGGGGAGGGAGCCCAGCACCCGCGAGCCTGCCCTGCATGCGGCTCCCTCAAGCGCCCGGACACAGGCACCCGTGAACCGGGCTTGGCCGTGCAACAGATGCCTGCCCGGCCCTGGGTGTCCCCAGGGCTCCCTGCACTTGTGCATGTGGGGGACAGCAGGCGCACGCTGGGGCCCCCAGGAGGCTCACTGAGAGTGGGGAAAGTTCTTGCACGGACTGAGGCCCGGCTGCACCGCCCCCTGAAGCCGTCCCTAGTGCTAGAGGAGCCGGCATGCCAGACACCAGGGTCAGGCCTTTCCCTGCCCGGGGAAGGGCCGCCCGGCAGCCCGCGTGTTGGCACAGGGCTGCAAAGTCCGGCTAGCCGGTGCGTCCGGCGGTTGGCGCCGGGTGTCTCGAGTGTCACTGGCACACGCCTTCCAGTCCACACACTGTCACTGGGGCTCTGGTGCCACAGAGCTGCACAGGGTGGCAGAGACCCAACAGGCCACAGAATGCCACCTGGCCTGTACAGGAAGTCCGCGGGGCCTCCGCCGGCGCACGTGGCCTCAACCACCGGCATTCTCTGAGGGGGAACCAGCCCTGGGCCAGAAACACCCACGGCGGCGTGACAAGGATGTCACCTGGGCCCACCTTCCGGGCTGAAATACAGCCAGAGCAAGGTCATTTATGCCAGGATGCCGCGGGCCACGAGACCTGCGGAGGCCCACAGAAGCCCGCACCCCCGAGGGCAGCTCAGACCCCAGGGCCGGGAGGCGGCGGGCCAGCCGGGCCGCGGGGGAAGGGGCGGGGGCCCAGCAGCAGGAGGAGCACACCAACCTGCAGGAGCTGGGGCGGGGCCTTTGCCGCCAGCCCCGTGCGCGCTAGCGCCCATCTGCTTCTCAAGCGTGGAGGACTCGCGGGTCTGCGGCACCGGGCTGGGGGTGCTTCTCTGCGGAGACAAAGGACGCGCTGTCAGCTGAGCAGGCTGGCGGGTGAAGGTCAGGAAGAGTGTCCCAGACACAAGGTACAGGACGTGCCAAGGGCCGGAGGCAGGGAGACCGGCAAGTAGGCGCACAGAAGGGAAGGGACCTGCTCGGGTCTGAGCGCTGTGGGTGGCCACCAGAAGGTTCTGACAAGGTGCCTTGGGTTCCAAAGGATCACTCTGATGGCAAATGTCAGGCTGGCGACGAAGAGAGCAGGGAGAGAAGGGATGGACTGTAGCTGTGAAGCAGCCAGTGACTCTGCTCCTGTGTGGAGCGGGGGGAAGACGCCGCCCGCACCAAACCTGTGTGCGCACGTTCACAGGAGCGAGAGTCACAACAGCCAAAGGTGGGAACAAATGTCCACCCTTAGAGCAGCAGTGTGTCCACCGCGCACGCCCACATCCCTTAGGTGTGTCCACCGCGCACGCACATGTCCCTCGGCCGCGAGCAGGAGCGAGGCGCCCACACCCGCCGCCCCACGGACGGTCCCTGAACACACGACGCTCAGGGAGGGAACCAGACACGAGAGGCCACGCGGGGTGTGAGTCCACATGAGTGAGTAAGCCCGTGAACAGGTGCGGCTGCGTAACCCTGTGAACGTATTAAGAGCTACTAAACATACGCTTTACGTGGGCGGGGAGTTATGTGACGTATCTCCGTTAACACGGAGAAGGGCCCGCATCACGTGAGGCCCTGCCGTTCGCGGTGCGCACGCGGGAGGCGGGAGGAGGGGAGCCAGACCTGTACTCCCTCTCCGCCCGTGCACCACCTTCTACAAAACCAGATCTGAAATAAAAATGGGCAAACATTGCTGCGAGGAGGCCTGGAACTGGGCGTTCTGGTTGCCCGGAGTGGGCGGTGTGCCCCCGTCCTGCCACTGGAGCCGACTCAAATGATGGCGGGTCTCACGGGAGAAACAAGGTCCCCCCCCCCCCGCCGCAACTTCCCCGCACCGCACACGCAGCCCTGCAGCCCGAGGAACACAGCGCGCCCACTCACCACTCTCTCGGCGCGGCTGGGCAGCACCACGCTGGCCAGGGGAATGCTGACGGGCAGCTTGCTGGGCTGCACGGTGCTGAGCGGGATGCTGACCGGCAGGCTGGTGATGGCCTCCCCGCCGCTGGCATAGGCGCGCTCCTTCAAACCCTGTAGACACACCGCCAGGCCCTCCTTGCCCCTGCTGGCCAGGCCACAGGCACCACCCGGGGGGCCTGGCGCCCCTCCCGCCACGGGAGAAGGTCCCTTGTCCCGGTGACACCCCCCCCCCCAAACAGCTCCTCCTGAAATTCAGGGCCCCACCTCCAGCCAACTGGGGACCCTCCCGTGGTCTCTCACACGTGCCGCCTTACGCTCACAAATGAAATCACCACTCCCCTCCACCCTACGGGCCATGGCCCCCATGGGGGTGCAGCACCATGTCCCAGGCCTGGGCCTGGCCTTCTGCAGCCTGGCCCGGCCCACACCTGCACCACCTCCCCTAAGGGCCGGATCAGGACACCCACCGTGCGCCCCCACAGCCGGTGCCCCGCCCTCACCTTCTCGCTGGCCCTCTCCCCTGTCATCGGTAAGGCCACGGGGGACGGGGGCCGAGGGTCCTGAGGGCTCAGCTTGATGCCCGGGCTCTGGTACGCAAGGCCGTTCTCCTTGGCATGCTCGGCTCTGGAACAAGACCGTCTCTGGTTCCTTCTCTGGGGAGCCGCCAGAGCGGAGGTTCTGCATCTAGAGTTGGCGTCCGGGGCCCAGCAAACACCCCGAATCTTTTCCAAACTGCCGGGCTCTCCAAGAAGCCCACGGTGGCCCAAGGGCGCTGGAGCAGGGTGGGCGAGCTCCACACGCAGACTCACCGTGGGTGCAGCTCTCCGGAGGCCGCCTTGCCGCCGGCCGCGTGGTCCTGGCTCAGGTGGCGCCTTAGCACCAGCTTGGCTGGGGAGAGCCTGGTGTAGTCGGGCAGGGCCAGGCCGGACACCTTCTCGAGCCGTGGGCGGCTGCTGTGGCTGGGGGTGCAGGGCACGGCCTCCTGGTCCAGCGGGGAGGCCAGGTACTGGGGGGTGTTCTGCTTGGATGAGGGCCGGCTCAGCGTGCCGCACAGCTCATAGCCGGCCGCGTGGCCGTTCATGGAGAGCTCTGGGCTCGCGCTGCTGAAGTGGGGCAGGGGGAACCTGGAGCAGTCCAGGTCGAGGTGCAGCCGGCCGGGCTCCGCCTCTGGCTCCCGGCCCAGGGCGCCTTTCCCGCGCAGGTGCGCCGACAGAGCGTCGTCGGGCGGCACGCAGGACTTCAGCTGCAGGAGCTCCTGCTGCCGCTGGCTCTTCTCCAGCTCCACGATGCTGATCTGCAGGGGGGGTGGGGGGGTGTCAGGCCTGCTGAGGCCGAGGACCAGCCGGTCCGGCCGCGCCCAGCAACACATCCAAGGGACGGGTCAGGGAACGTGGGAAGGACGCCAGCCGGCTTTGTGGCTGATGGAGAGGCTGGCGCCGCCAGCTGCCCAGTACGGCTCTGCCGACGCACACTCGTGGAAAGGGAACAGGACACGGTGACCCCATGTGTGATGTAAGGTACATGTGCTCCGTCTGTGAGGAGCCCTCCCTCTGCGTTCCCTCTCGGTACTCGGGACACAAGACACCCCCACTAAGGCTTCCATAACGAAAGCCTCTCGCTCTTTACTACAAAGGAGGGTCAGCACCCAGCAGCCGCTCTCGAGAAGCGTCTCCTGCTGGCGTGACCGTGGAAACAGGTCCTGGCTCCGCCGGCGAGGCCAGCAGGCCTCTTCTCTGTGACACACACTGCCAGCTCAGCAGGAGGGGACACCTGGGCCACAACCCTCAGAGAGCACAGCTCGGCCTCGCAGCCCCTGGGCCCTAACCACTCACAGACCCACCCCGGGGAGTCAGGCTTTAAGAAGTATCCTCAGGGTGCCTGACTCTTGATTTCGGCTCGGGTCACAGTCTCCCAATTCCGGAGTTCCAGCCTTGTGTCGGGCTCTGCGCTCACAGAGCAGAGCCCAATTCAGACCCTGTCTCTCTGCCCCTTCCCTACTCATGCTTCTCTGTCTAAACTAAACATTTAAGAAAATAAGGAATATACTCAAAATGAATCTTCAGCATAGAGCAATTCGCTGTAGGGTCATTTTATAACAAAACTCCTGCCAGACCCGAGGGCCCGCTGACCGGGAGGGCTCCACGGGAGCCGCGAAGCCAGGCTGGGGGGCCACCCTGACAGGAGGCAGAGCCTTGCGAACGGGGCTTTCAGCGCCCAGCGATGCCCACGCCGCACGTCCTGCTGTGGTAGTGCGGTCACCCGGTCAGCTAGCGGCCGGGGAACATGAGGGAACGCAGACCTGTCTGCCCCCTCTTCCTTCCCACCCTGTGTTCCCACTGACCCGGGCGCACACATCACCGCCCTCAGCTCGGCTCCGGTGCCGGGTGCGAGGACCGCCCTCCCGGGGGCGGCTTCAGAGCCCACCCTGTAGGGGCATCGAGGGAATCCTACGTTTTGAATGGAGCCCGAGACGCTCCAGGAGCACGTGGGGCCCCTCAGATGCCAAGCCCATCGCTCCCCCTGGGGGTGAGGACAGGCTGTGAGGGCTGCCGTTACTGCAGTGCCACCACCAATATCCTGCCCTGGGGAGCAAGACGGTTTCGGGAGCTGGCGGCAGGGGGGGGGCACTTCCCACGTTCCTAACGCCGCATCGAAGCCCAGAGGGGCCCCCACGGCTCCGGCCCCCACCTGCAGCTCCAGACAGTGCCTCTGCTTCTCGGAGATCTGGCTCCTCAGGGCCTGCTTCTCCTTCAGCAGGCTCTCCAGGGACAGCGTCGACCAGTCCAGCCTCAGCTCCTCACACCGAGCCTTGAGCTGTGGGGACGGGGAGGCCGAGGTCGTGAGCCCCGTGGGGAGGGCGGGGTGGGTACCAGTCTGCCCGGCAGAGAGCAGATACTGGACAGGTGTCCCCGAGAGCCTGCAGGCCCAGAGAAGGGAACCCGCTAAGAGAAGTCGAGGCTGAGGAGGTAGCCCAAGGGGGAGACTGGGGTCCCTAGTAGGGACGCCCACAGGGGGCAAGGTGGGGTCCCACAGGATGGAACGAGAAGGCCCGTTAGAATGCGCCCCGGCCCCCATGGCAGTGAGGTCCCGAGAGCTCTGTGACCTGGCCCTGGGGCGCAGTAGGGAGTCCAGCATGGGCAGCAGAAGGGTGGAAGCCTGGGCCGCCTATAAACACACCTCTGGTGAAAGTGTCAGAGCCTTCACAAGGGCCCCAGACCCCGCTGGCTGCCATGTCCTCTGGGAGCCCAGAATGGGGCCTCAGGGCTCCAAGAATGAACCTGAGCCGGGTGGGGGTGGGGGGCCTGGAAAACCCATCCTCAGGAAGAACACTGGGCCCCGCAAGCGCCCGGTCATCCCTGCCTGTCCGGGGCGGAACGATGGCTTCCCAGTGCCCCGGGGCCAGGCACCCACCAGCTGCAGGCTCTGGCTCCTCAGCTCCCTGTTGTCCTTCTGCAGCTGCTCCGTCTGTTCCCTCAGCTGCTGGTTGTGAGCCGAGATCTCCTTCTGTGCCTGAATCAGGTCGTTGTAGGTCAGCGCCTTCACCCCCAGCTGCGGACACATGACAGCACAGGTGGGCCTTCACACAGGGCTGTGCGACGGCGGGCAAAGGGTGGGGCGAGGCCTCCCTGGGGCCAGAAAGGGGATGTGGGGTGGCGGCCGATGGCGGTCAGAGAGCAGAGAGAGGTCTGACGGTCGCCTGCGGGAGGGGCACGAGCCCACGCCAGCGGCCCTGTGACCACACTCCCACGTTCCAGATACTGGAAAAGACCCTTCCAGATCTCCACTCCCTAGGCTGTGCCCTGGCCCCCGACCCGCCCACCCCTACCTCGTCCAGCTTCTGCTGGAAGAGCCTCTTGATCTCCTCCTTCTGGGCCTGGCAGTGGCCAAACAGCTGCTGCGCAGCGCCCAGCAGCCGGGCGTTCTTCTCCTACGGGGACGGAGCACGGTGACGCGAGGCCCCTCCCCGCCATGTCCCTTCCCACGGCGGGACACACCCCAGCCCAGAAGGCCGACGACCTTCAGCCCAATCTTAGTGGTTGAGAGCGTCGCTGCTCAGTGAGGAGCAACAGACACCCCACACCCTCTCCGGACCCCGTGGGGACAGGCGCCCAGGCCTGCGGAGACCCTCACTGCTCCTATGGCGCACGAGCCCCCCCAGACTTGCGTCTCCGGGCCCAGGACACCTCGGCAGCTCTGGGGACCCAGGGGAGAGAGCCGCCCCGTGAGGGCGCCCAGGGCAGGGCTCACCTTCTCCTGGTCCAGCAGCTGCTGCAGGCTGGCCTTGTACTGGGCGGTCTTGGTGTACGCCAAGAACTGCAAGTACTGAATCTTGAAGGATTCTGGGAGAAGCCAAGCGACACAGGTCACTGCAGATGTGACCCCCCTGGGCTCTTCGGAAACCGTTGGAGAAGGGCGTGGCTGCTGGAGGTCACCTCCTGCCGTCAGGCCAGGGCCCTCGGTGCTCTCGGGAGCCCCTCAAGGCTCCTGGCCACCACCACCCGATCTCTTCCTCCCCACAAGACCACGTGGTCGTTACTGAGTCTGCGGCTTTCTAGGTAAATGCGGGCTACTGACGCTGGGCTGGGGGACCCGGCATCCCCCGAAGCACGGAAGGGCTTCCTTTCCCCTGATGTTCAGACACCCAGCAGGTCCACTGGCCCAGCACCGTGAGTGCATGCGCCCTCTGCTCACCCCCCACAGGCCTTCTCCCACCCAGCACTGTAGATACGACTCAGGTTGTTCTTTGTTTGGGAGGATCCTGCGGCACCCTCGGCCCTGCCCCCTCGATGCCAGAAGCACTCCAGGCAGTCCAGATAGCCACGGACGTCCCCAAAAAAGGCCCCACACGCCCTGGGCAGGGCCCTGACAGACCTGAAACCCAGGCGCCACCGAGCCTGGGCCCTGGGGAGCCCAGCGCGCTGTCCTATGGGTCAGGCTCCAGCTCACCTAGCAGCTTCTGCAGTGCGGGTGGGGTGGCTGCCAGCAGCGGCCGGTCGGGGGCGGGGGCGTGCCGCTGCACGCTGGGAGGTAGCTGATAGAACGGGCTATGAGGTGACTTGTACGCATCTGCGGGAAGACAGCACGTTCACGCGTCAGCGTGGGCTCTGTTCCATGGAGCCGCGGGTCTTTCTAAAGACACGACCGGACGCGGCTCCTAGAGTCCAAAGACATGAGCAGACACCACTGGGCACTTCCGGAAGCACAGACGCGTCCCCTCGTAACTAAGAAATCCTGGCTCTTCGCTACAGCCCAGGTCGGCAGGATGCTGTACAGACAGGCCCAGGGACACCCCAGTGTGCCCTCAGGAGGGCTTGGAGCTCGGGCACCAAGCCACTCGGCACATGGCACTGTCACCATGGCCTGTGCCCCCGTCACCACAGCCTGTGCCCCTGCGGGGACCGGCTCACCCTGGGGCGAGGGCGCCGCCGTCTGCGACGAGGCCTGGCCGTGCAGGAGGTCCAGTGCGGTCTGGCTCTTCTTGGGCTTGCGCTCGGGGTTCGCAGTGCTCATTTTCTTGGGGCGCCCGCGCTTCCGGCCGGCCATCTTCCGCCCCTTCTTGTTCAGCTTCTTCTTCCGAGCCTTGGAAGGGGACGGCTTTTTGATGGCGGTCGCCCCAGCCTTCTCCTCCTCGGCACCGGAATCCTAGCGGACGGCGGGGTGGAGGGACGTCAGGGGCGTGTGCTCCTGGGAGGTCCCAGGAGCCGCCCCCCGCAGAGCGCCGGGGGCCCGGGTGCAGGGGCGAGGCGAGCGCTCACCATGGGGGTGTCGGCGGGCACGGCGGCCTTGCTCTCGGGCACCTTGGTGGGAGTGGTCGTGTTGCTCTTGTTTTCTCGCTGCTGCCGGCGCCGAGCCGCCTCTTGTTCCTCCTGGAAAGCAAGCGCCAGGCGTGTCTGCGGACGCGCAGGCTCGGCCGGGTCCCCCACGCAGGGCCAGGGCTCGAGGTGCGCCACCAGCACGGGCGGGGAGACAGAGGCAAGGAGGACCCTGAGAGCGCGTGTGGGCACATGCCCCGCCCCCCCAATCTCTCAGGCAGACCGTGGGGCAGAGAAGCTGCCTGGCCGTCCTTTCTTGCGCACAGGGTGCGTGCGGGCTCCTGGCAGCACCGCCCTGAGAGGGATGGCGGGCCGGCAGCTGCAGGGCTGAGGGCGCTGCGGCCTGAGCACGGTAGGAAGGGCACGGGGCCCCAGGCGGCAGAAGCCGGGTGTCGGAGAGGCTCTCCTGCACGTAGACTCATCTGAGTCTCCAGAAAGAACTCTCGGACAGGCATACCGAACAAATGAGCAGCGGCTACGAGGCCCCAGGGGAAGGGCGTGAGCCCTGGAAGAATGGGGGAGCTGGGCCGGCTTCCCCCCGCCCCCCGGAAGGCAGCTGCTCTGCCCTTGGACAGCGACTCGGGTCGGGACAGTGCAAGCGCCACTTGCCATCCTTCAGTACAAATCCCCACGTCAGCAAATCCCATTTCAGAGACTCGCACCCATTCCCCAGACGTGCACAAGAATCGTGGCCCAGCCGCAGTGGTTGAAGTCGGGCGAGTGCGTGCGGGCAGGGGTGACCCAGAGCCCGGCACAGACCAGCACATGCGGTGTGGCCACCCCCACAGGCAATGCACGCACACTGTTCAGGTGACGGGAAAACAAAGACTTACCCTGAGTTTTGGATTTTTCAGACTAGAAAAATAGTTTTCAAGCTAAAAATACAAATAAGAAAAGAAAAATCTTATTAGAAGTCAGTCCCAACCCTCTTGGGATGAAAGCAATGTCGCGGACGCACGGACGGTGGGCGCTCTTGGGGGGCAGCACCGATCCCCAGGCGGAGTTCCGCAGGGGCCACCCGGCTCTGGGACCCACCCGACTCCAGGCTCCCAGCGTGTGGGGCCCGCCGCTATTGCCAGCTGCCTGCGACAAGGTTCACCCCACACAAGAGCTGAGTCCATGGAGAATACTGCCCCCCCTCCCCCGGCCACGCGCGTGGGGCACTCACTATGGTGCGGTCAATGGTGTGCAGGTAGTAGGAGACTGGCTTCCCCGTCCAGGACACGGAGCCTTTCAGGGGCGAGAGCTCTACGACGCGCATGATGGTGCCGATGTCTGCGCAGAGTGGCTGTGGTCAGGGCGAGACCAGCGGGGGCCCCTCTGCCCGGCTTTGTGGGGACTCCCTCCCTCCTCACAGGAGACAGGCGGGAGGCCCAAGTGAGGTGCTCACACAGGTCCCGCTCCTCCGAGGGGCTTGTCCAGGGAAGATAGTGACAAGCCCCAAAGTGGGGTCGGAAAGCATGTGGAGAGTGACTGAAAAGCAACACGTCTTGTCCCAGGGGCCTAGGGTGCAGCCCGCCCTGTGCAGACAGCCACCGCCGTGGCAGACCTCTCCCGCCAGGGACACCTACTGGGCCACTCTGCCCCCAGGGGACACGGGGCAGGTCTGGGGACATCTCAACCAGGGCAGTCCTGGCACTGGGGGTGAGGGCTTGGCCCCCGTGGTGCCCTGGACGCCCCCAGAGGATGGCCTGCCCTGATGTGAGCAGTGCGAGGGGACAGACGCTACGCTGACACAAGTCAGATGCTGGAAATCACAGGTCTTAATGCTTCAGCAGCCAAGCTCCTTACCGCTCAAGTTTCTGCTGTTTATTCTGAAGTTCAGAGGCGCAAAGGGCTTTGAGGACACGATTCTCCCACCTGAAACACAAACCCAGTTACTGCTGTTCGTGGGGAGGCACCTGCACGCACACAAAGGAAAGGGAGACAGTCGTCAGAGGAGCGAGGAGAAGCCGCATGAGAAGTGGGGACAGCGAATGCACGGACAGCAGGATGGAGCCCCACTCGGGGCCCATCGCCTCCTTCAAGGAAGAGCGATGCAAGGTGACGCCTTCCCAGTTTAACTCTGTCCCACCAGCTGCTCTCCTGCGACCATGTGCTCAAGGCCCCACAGTGCTGACCTGAGACCCAAAGGTCCCAGCCGGGGAGTCAGCCATCTGGGAGGACAAAGCAGGCAGGTGTGAGGACGGTGGCTGGCACCCCCCACCGCCTGTGTGCCTGTGCTACGTGTCCCACAACCAACGGCCGAGGCAAACCTAAAACCCCGCGCGACACGTAGTGGCTGGCCGCGTCAGTCAGGGCAGCCACACGGACTGCAGTCACCCGCAGGGTGCGGAGCTCTAAGGCGAAGACGACCCGCATTGGAACCCACAGGCTCATGAGTGAGTTCACGGTGCGTGCGCATAACAAACACTGTAAATAAACACATGCGCACTCCCGGAAGCCACGCTTCTCCATATGACAGGAAAAAAGGGCCAACCAGAGAAGTCAAGGAAAATAGTAATGTTACATTTAAATTGGAAAAGTCCAGGGCCACCTGGGTGGCTCAGTGGGTTGAGCGTCTGATTTGATTCTGGCTGAGGTTATGATCCCACAGTTCGTGGGAGGGAGCCCCTCATCAGGCTCTGCACTGACAGCACAGAGGCTGCTTGCGATTCTCTCTCTCTCTCTCTCTCTCTCTCTCTCTCTCTCTGCCCCTCCCCTGCTTGTGCACCCCCCCTCTCTCCTTCTATCAATCAATTGGAGAACTCCCTTTGCATCCCATTCAACAGAGTCACACAGATTCAGACGTGCACAAACATGCCAGCCACCATGACACCCAGACCAGGGAGCACCCAGGTGCTCCCCCAGCGGGAGTGGCTGGCTGCGCCAGGCCGCGAGGCCGCCAGGAGGCTGCATCTCGGCACACGGCCTTGACTCTCAGCTTGCCAAGGTTTAGAAAACACACACTCTTCCCTAGACGGCTCAGGCCAGACACAGTAGAGGCCCTCACGCCCACCAAAGCACAGCCGCACGTCTAGAAGCCTTCGAGGCACAAGGAAGACACGGCCCCACCCACACATCCTGAGAACAAGAGCCTGGGCTCCCAGGCCCCTCCTCGGCCTCCCCACAGCCATGCCGAGCAGCTCGAGTCAGTTCCAGGCTCACACACAGCAAGGAGTGGAAGGCAGAGGCAGCCAGGCAGGGCTGGGCCCAAACAGAGGGAAACCCCAAGGAAAGCCAGAGAGGCTAGCCTGGATGGCCTGGCGCCCTCACTGGTCGCAGGTCGGGCCAGCAGATAAATGGGGACGTCAGTTAAATGTGGGTTTCGGGCACAGAGTGAGCGACCCCTCAGCACAAGCCAGAACATCCCCGTGTGGAGAAGTCACTCTTCGCCTGAGCAAACGGGAACGTGGCCGCACGCCCGCTCATCAGTCTGGCTGCCCACCCGGGGCCCATCGGCGGAAGGCCCCTCCCGGGGCCGACAGACGCTCACGAGGGCTCCGCAACCAGCACCAGATCTACGGACAGACTGGGCGCGAGGGGACGACACCAGGCAGGGCTACAGGGAGTATGTTACCTTCCTTCATGTTCGCAAACCGCTCCTTCAGCTGGTGATCCACCTCAGGACCAAAGGCAAAGTTATTCACAAATATAACACTGCAAAATAATATTCCAGTTGAGTAAAACGAAGGCTCCATTCGCGTACATGTACAGAGTGCCGGGTGCCGCCTCCACCAGCTTCCCCAGCCCGGGAGGGGGGGGGAACGGGCCCGCGGGACAGGGTGGCTGAGCCCTGCTTGCTGTTAGCCTGACACCCAGGCTGCCTGCTTCTTTGGGAGAGGAGAGGTGGACACCTGCTGGTTGGGAGGGTGGTCCCTGGGGCTGAAATCCGACAGCACGGGTGTCCCTGGGGACAGAGGCACGAGGGAACTGATGCAGCGGGAGACCCATGCGCGCATCCCTGCCCCGTTCTCCCGTGTGCCCTGGCGCCAGACGCCCCGGGGCCCCCGGTGCAGAGACACCAAACGGGCGGTGGGGGAGGCCGCTGCCCCCACAGTGCCCGCATGCCCCTGCGCTACCCCTTCGTCCACCCAGGCCCGGCTCTCGCCCACGAGAGGAACTCCAGACGGCTGCACTCTACGACCAGTATGCAAGGGCCCGTCTGAGCCCACACGTAAAACAGCTCCGTGCTCAGCTGTGTGGCCTCGTCTCCCACGTAAGGGCCTCCAGATAAAATCTACGCCACAGCGAGAACTGGGCACGGATGCCAAGACTGCGGACGGGGTGGGGGTTGCTTTCTCACTTGAATGTGACAGAAGACAGACAGGGCTGATGGCCGTCCTCTCGCTGCTCGATTTCAATCTTGATAGTTTAAAATAAAGTCCGGAAACCTGGGGCACCTCAGTGGCTCAGTCAGTGGAGGGTCTGACTTGGGCTCAGGTCATGATCTCACGGTTTGTGAGCCCGAGGCCCGCGCTGGGCTCTGTGCCGACAGCTCTGTCCCTTCTCTCTGTCCCTCCCTCGCTTGCACTCTCCCAAAAAATATTAAGGAAAAAAAAACCTCGGGAAATGGTCAGTGCACCCGGTGACAGCAGGGCCCCGGGGGACCTGAGCAGGCCACAGAGAGACGGGCATTAAAGACGCAGAAGCAGCCCAGGGTGCCCTCCCCGCGCTGCCACGGGGCAAAGACAGGGCAGACGGGGGCCCTCGGGCTGGGGCACAGGCGTCCTTGGGGGCTGAGGGACAGAGCCCTGATGAGAGAGCCAGGCATGAGAAGCTCTGACAGAAGGGGGCTCCGAAGACAGCCACCCTCTCACATCTCAGAAGCTGCTGGAAGCTCACTGAGGCCAGGAGAAGCAGAGGCAGATGCCCTAATGACAAAGGGGCTGCTGGGGAGGGGCGCCCCTGCCCGGAAGCAGAGCACCGGGGGCACTTCAGGGGGCGCCCTCCAGTCCCCAAGGCCTCTTCCTGCTCTCCCACAGGATAAGGGGAGGCACGGCTGGGGGAGGGAGGTGCCGCACTGGCCGTGAGCTCTCACATCGCCACGGTGGCCAGACGGGACCCCTTGGCCTGGATCCTGCTACGCGGTGCCCAGTGAGGTAGGGGTTCCTCCCCACTGGAGAGCCCCCAGACCCCTACGGATGGGGACGCCCATGGGGTCAGCATGAGGCTGACAGGAAAAGAAGGAAGACCGGGGCGGGCAGAGGAGACCAGAGTGGACCCAGCTCAGATGGGGGCTTCTCGCAGGAGGGCCACACAGGGAGACGCTCTGGAAAGAACGGCCCCCAGCTTCTACCTGCCCCCAGGCTCAGACGCGGGGGCTCCAGGGCAGCAGGCGGTAAGCACGCCTGAAGGAAAGGCAGAGAGGCGCCACACTGCTGGGTCACCCAGGTGGTGGCCACCGTTGGCGAGGCTGACTTGTCTCCAGAAAGCCCTGCAAGCCCAGAGCCAGGGGAAGGACTGCAGACCAGCACCAGGGCCGTGGCAGGTCGCACGGGAGGTGCAGGCAAGGCTACAGCGCCCCAGCCACACGGGACCGGCTGCCGCCCCACAGGGCCAGGGCTGTGCAGAGACAGCCTCACGCCCCGCGGGGACAGGGGAGGGACAAGTGTGAGCCTGGGCCCGGCTCCCCGCCCGCCTGCTCTGCCGTAGGCCAGGGCCCAGGAGAGCCACGGACCCTCCCCCGGGGCGCCCGCCCGGCCGGACCCTACCTTGTGTTGGCAATCCGCTCCCTCCACTCCTCCGAGAGGAAGTCGCCTCTCTCCAGCTGGAAGGAGAGAACAGGAGCGAGGTTGACTCGTGAGGCCTCACCGGGGGCCCCGCCCGCCCGGACAGGATGAGATGAGCGCGGCCACTGGAGTGCGGAGGACGTGAGGCTGGGGCGGCGGCTCCTGGGGCCACAGGACCACACGCAGTAGGTCACTGCGCAGCGGCCCCGAGCAGGGACGGGGCGCACACGTGAGAGCAAGGACGGTGGGCCAGAGGCTCCGGCCACGCCAGAGGACACGCCGCAAAGTCATACAGAGCAGGCGGGGGGCGACCGAGAGGCCCGGCTGCTCCTGTCCCCGCCCAGCTGGCGATGCACTCGGGAAGCGCCCCAGGCAGGTCTCTCTGCCAGGGGACAGCATCTGCATGGCACACAGCAAGGGCGAGGCCCATGTAGGGGCGTCCTAGCGACCCCAGGCTGGGGCGGGCTCGTCCCCGTGCAGAGGCCCCCCACCGCCCCCCGTCTGCACCTCCCACACCGGCCCTCCCTGCTGCCCGGCTGGCAGACGGACGTGGGGACTTGGGGCGCCGGTCTGCCTGAGAGCACCCACATGTCCACAGCCATGGTGCTCCCCAAACCCGGAAGTCTAACTACGCTTCTTTAGGAAGACAGTCCTCACTGCTCCTCAGCCTTCGCCCGAGAGAACCCGTGACACGTGATCCCAGCAGCGCGACAGACTCAAAGGGCCAAACACTGGACACAACTCAAAACGTCCATCAGTGTGTCCACCACACCCAGGATAGTCCCTCAGCCTCGAGCAGGAGCGAGGTGCCCCCACCTGCTGTCCCGAGGACGGACCCCAAACACACGATGCCCAGGGAGGGAACCAGACACAAGAGGCCACGCGGGGTGTGAGTCCACGTGTGTGATGCGTCCAGAACAAGCTCCTCCACAGACGGGAAGGGGCTCGTGGGGTGGGGGGTGCCTGCCCTCTCCTGCACCCCTACACGTGCTGTGTGGTGCCCAGGAGCTCCCACCCTTCTCGAGAAGACAGCAGCCCGATGGGGCACGGGGCTGCAGGCTCCTGGAAAGGGACAGAAGAAAGACCCTGAGCAGGGACAGTCCTGAGTGCTGCCGCGCCAGTGTGATGAGGCTGTGAGCAGGGGCAGGAGCCGCTGCTCACAAGGGGAGACGCCCCCACCCCGGGATGGCCCGTGGTGCACGTGCCGTGACAGCGCACGGCCTGGGGATGGAGAGGGGGCAGCCACCCTAACATGCTCTGGCACCGTGGGGGGCCCACACACATCGTCCTGTCCCTGGACCCCTTCCCCACCTGTGGAAACTTCTTGAATCTGCACTCTCGCTGACAGTCCTGCCAGGCCTCACAACTGACTCAAGTCCCAAGTGCTCACTGTCCTGTGCAAGACAGAGCCCGCACGACGGGCCTGACACTTCCCTCCCCAGAGGCCGGCTCACCAGGCTGGCCCGCGGCGGCGGCGTCTGGAACTGGACTCCGGGGCGCCCGCCACCCTCGCCGGCTGGGGGCCTGTGTCCCAGAGCTGTCCGTGGAGCCACAAGGTTCGTGCTAAGGACCCGCTCCCCTCCTGGGGTCTGGAGTCTCCACCCTAGCCAGGCAGAGGGGCTGCTAAGCGACCCCAGGTAGGAACCTGGGCACTGGGTCTCTACGCCCCCCTGGAGACCACCCCTCACACGCGGTCACGTGTCGTTTTGGGGGGATCAGGTGTGTCCTGAGGGACACTCTGGGAGAGGATCCTGGAAGCTTGGCCTGGAGGCCCCACCCCCCATGCCTTTGCCCTGAGATCATTTTGCCTCCTTTCTCTGTATCCACCATGGCTTGGGGAGACTGCTGAGCCCTGGGGTCCTCCCAGCACACCCAGCCTTGCGGTGGGGGGGGGGTCCTGGGAACTGACAGGGGCCTTCAGATGCCTCTTGCTGTGGCCAGGCCCCTGTCCTTGGAGGCTGGCTCACCGTCCACAGCACCACGTGAGCTGCGGCTTCCCGTCGGAAGCAGGGAAGCGGCCAGCATTCCAGGCTCTTCCCACCCAGCCCCCGCAGCCCTGCTCCAGGCACAGGCAGGCTGTGACCATCCACGGACAGTGACAGAGGGCAGTGACCGGCTGAGTCAGCCGTGCTGCTGGGGCCATCACTCTGGAGCTAACAGACGTCAGAAAGACATGCATGGCCTTCCCGTGTCCCTGCCCGGGGGACCCCGAGACCTCCTTCCACAAAGAAACGGGAAGACACGCGAGAGAGCCCCAGTGTGCACAGGTGCGGAGGGTTTCTGCCCCCACGACCACCCGTCCCCTCCCCTCCTGGGACCACTGATCCATGGTGGCCCGGGCCAGCCCTGCCCAGGCATCGTGCTCTCCAGTCAGAGGTGAAGGGCTCGCCTCCAAGAACAGAGAGATCTGGCTCATCCTCACCGGAGGTTAGTTAGGTGGCCCTGCATCTTCTGTCACTCTGTGTTTGTTAACCTGCCCAGGGGCAGCCAAGCACACAGACGGACGCGGCGGGACCACCAGTGGATCAACACAGACCACGACCAGAGAGGGGGTGAACCCAGCACGGGGCTCCGGCCTCCCCGAGGCCCACACGGCTCTGCCCACCAGCAGCACCAGGCCGTCCTGACATGGACAGGCCCGGACAGGCGGCTGGTACCCAGAGGGAGGGCCTGCACACTTCCTGGAGAGGCACCTGCACAGTCCACAAAGACACTGGCACCTTCCCCACGTGGCACTTCCACGGGGCCACAGCCACCCCAGGCACCAGGCTCGACACATAACACCTGCCGTGTGCCAGGCCCACTACCAGGCGCCAACAGCAGGTGGGTCTCATCGTGAACAGCATGGCTGCTGGGGGCACCCTAACGTGAGACAGACACGCAGACGGGAGCCAAGCAGGAGGGAAATGGGGGTTCTGACAGAGGAGGTACGTGGGGGTGTCAGAGGGGCCTGGGAACTGCTGGGCTGCAGGATGGGGGTGGGGACGGGGGCAGGGGTGGGGAGGTGCCCAGGCTGGCAGGGTGAACCCTGGCTGGGCAGCGCCTCTGCAGTGGCCGCACAGGGATCCATGGCCTGGAGAAGCAGGCTCGGGCCTGGAGAAGCACGCTGGGCTATTTTTAGACTCTGTTGGCTTTGTTTCCTCTCCAGTCCTTAAGTAACAGGAGCAGGGCTCCGTCCGCCAAGCAGGACGCCTGGTCAAAGCCACAGCAAGCTGGCGGGCCGGCCTCACCAGGTCCAGGACACAAGTTCCCGCCGGATCTGGGCGCCCACGATCAGCACAGCTTCACCACGCCCTGCCGGAGCCGGCAACAGAACGCCAGGGGCCCGGCCAGCTGCTCGCCACACACCCCCACTGCCAAGGCCGTGCCCAAGTGTCCTTCCAGCCAAGTCCTGGGGCCCCAGCAGGGCTGACGAGTTCAGTGCAACGAGAGCCCCCCGCGTGTGCCTCTGTCACACCGCCAACTCGGGACGGGGCGGGAGGAGCAGAGGCCTGCGTGGGGTGCACAGCGCCCCAGCCTCCCCCCTGCCTTTTGCTCCAGCCGTCAGAAACACACCAGACGCTAAACCCAGGCTCCAAACGGAGGCTGGAGGCTGTGCACAGATCACACGAGCCATCTCTGGGAGAGCTCAGAACTTTCACATGGTGGGCCGCCGCTGTTCAGTAGGAAGTGCTTGAAAACCCTAAAACCTGAGGCACCTGGTAGCTCAGTCGAATAAGCATCTGACTCTCGGGTTTTGGCTCATGATTCCAGGGTTGTGGCATCAAATCCCATGTCAGGCTCCGCACTGAGCTTGGAGCCTGCTTAAGATGCTCTCTCCCTCTGCCCTTCTCACCTCTCCCCTGTTTGTGCTCTAAGCTAAAATTTTAAAAAATAAAAATAAAACAAAATTTGATAACCTGTATTTCAGAAAGTCACGAAGTCTTAAGAAAACAGTAAGCCATTTGGGAACACAGCCAGCATGACAGCAGACACAGGGGGGTGCGTGGGAAGAAGTTTCCTGGAAACAAACCAACTGGACTCGCCGCGCACTTGGCCCAGACAGGAGACACCAGGGAGCCTCAGATACGGGGCCACCGGAGAAAGGCCGGACCGCTCGCCTTTCATGGAGCGTGGAGAATTCTACAAGAAATCCTAACAGGAGACAGGACGGGCGGTCCAGGCCCACAGGAAGCAGAGGGGGTGCCTCCTGGCTATGAGGCCGGCCTCACCCTGACACCAGAAAGGAGGACGCTCCCTGGGAAGGAAAACGGGGCGCTCTCTCTCAAGAACACGGGCACCCACACCCTCAACGACACCGGAGCGCCCCGGAAGTCCGACAGCGTGTGGAAAGGACCCACCTGGCGGGAGGGCTAGCTCAGCGTCCAAGCTCACCACCTCAACGGACCAAAGAAAGATCCCAGGCTCACGCCGACACGCACGAAGGGCATCTAACAAACCCAGGACACCCACCCGTGGTGAAGATTCTCAGCAAAACAAGGCAGAGAGAACTGCGTCAACTCGGTAACGGGCACCCATGGAGCTCCTGCCAATGCACTCGGTTTGTGCGGTGAGGAGCCCGCAGCTTCCCGGCACCATCGGGGCCAGGCCAGGGGCCCATCTCTGCGCGACAGCGCCCTGCACCATCCGCCACCCTGCTGGCACACACAGCAAGGCGAGAAACGCAAAGAAGGCAGACTGAGGAGGAAGGCGTAAAATTGCCTTTGTTCACAGACAACAGGATGGAAAGAATCCAGAAAACAAACCAACAAGCGAACCCGGAACTAAGGAGCCGTGTGGCCACAGTCATGGAGTAAAGGTATTACCGTCTGTGAGCACCACATACACAAGTCACCTGCTTTCCCATCAACCGGCAACGAGCTGGTGGAACTGGGGGTTACGAGGACGAGACCTTTACACGGGCGCCAGGACAGACAGACAGACTCAGGCGCAACCGTAACGGGACGTGCACGAGACCCACACGAGGCTCAGTACAAACCCTGGTACAGAGTCAACGGGTAACTTGACAGGCGGACAGAGGCCCCGTGTGGGGCAGGAAGGCTCAGGGCCGTTGAGACGCCGGTTCTTCCCGCCCCGACCTGCAGATGCCACCGATCCCCTGCGCCCCGTGTGCTGTGACGGACACCCGCGGACGTACTCTCAAGTTCACCGGGACAGGCACGGACAAGAACCAAGGCAGAGGACGGGTGGACGCCGCCCGAGCCAAGACTCGCCACAGAGCCGTGGGGCGCAGACAGCGCGGGCTGGTGAGGGAGACGGACAGTGGGACAAGACAGACGGCCCAGAAATACTCAGCTGACGAGCCTCAGAGCTGCTCGGGCAGAGCCTCAGGGCGAGGGCGGCCTGCAACAACAAGACCAGGGAAAGGGTCCGGGCGCCCACCTCACAGGCTCACAGCTCTACACGTCAAACACAGAACACGAGGGTCCCAGGAGGTACTGACGAGCAAGCGTGGGTGACCTTGGGTTCGGCAGCGGCTTCCATGCGCTGGAGCAGAGGCGCGACCCACGGAAGCGGCAGCTGTCAGGCTATCCTGAGGAGGCAGTAGCCTCCCTCCTACACGTACCCCGCACCCCACAGACCCCAGCCTGTCCTCACGTGACCCAGCCCGGTTTCCTAACGCGAGCAGGAAAGTCAGGTCCAGCTCAAGGTTCACACCCCATGATGGCACGCTCAGGGCTGGCGACTGCAGAGAGGGGAACAAGGGAACACTTGTAAGAAATCTCCAGAAAGGAAGAGCCACAGGGCCCACCGCAGAACCATGTGGAACCTCAGTGATCCAGGCCTCAGCCTCTGGCTTCCTGCAGGCAATGATCAGAGACGAGAGAGGGGTTTGAAGACACGGTTTAGACACACACACCCCATGCGACAGCCCCGCGGCAGCACCGCATCTGCAGCCACAGAGTGCACGGGACAGGTCGTGGGCCCAGACACATGTTCTTTTTTTTTTTTTTTTTCTTTTCTTTTCCAGACACATGTTCTGAGACGCAACGCAGATACGCTGGGCAGGAGCGGACAGAGGCTGGGGCCTCCAACCTGGCCAAGGGACCTGGGCGTGGAGAGGCAAGGCCACACAATGCAGGCCGAGGGGCGGCAGCCAGGAAAGCCAGGGGTGTACCCGCCCTGCACTGGCCTCACCAGGAGGGACTCACGGGCGGGGCCACGTACTGCCACAGAGGCAAGGAGGGGCCACAGGGCCGGCCAGTGGGCATGGGAAGAGGCCGCTCCGCCCACACCACGCCGCCAGCGTTCAGACATGTGTGAAACGGCGAGGAGGGCTCCATGGGACGCCGCCAGGTGCCTGGACACATGCGCGACGCTGTCCAGCTGACAACAGGGAGAGGAGAGCTGCCCCTGCTCAGCGCGCACAGGAGCCGCAGCCCCTGGTGGCCCGGGAAGAGGAGAAGAGACCAGAAAGGGCGGAGGCGCTCCCGTGACGCCCCACGTCCCACGCAGGGCATCCCCAGGAGAGAAGAGGAACGGCGGGTCAGGGGAGGGGGATGAGGCGCAGAGGCAGAGCTGGGCCGTTGGCCGCGGGGCGTGGAGCGATGGGCACTCACTGTGTATTCTGCATGCTTTTTTCCGTACCATTTCATCCACTTCCTGAACTCTCGGTCCATGGTCTGCAAGGGAACGGCCACAGCCATCAGCGGCTCCCCGCAGCCCCTGCCTACCCAGCCCCGTGGCACAAGCTGGGGCTGCTTGTGGGCCAGCCCACAACACGACCCCTCAGATGGGCAGCCCCAGGACAGACCGGGGCCTGCAGAGTCCCCGTGTCCCGGCCACCCGCTCTAAAGGGGTTTTGAGGGCGCAGGTACTGCCCCCACCCCGCCGGCCCCGCCCCAGGCAGAGGCCTCTCTGGGGAAGCATCCAGGGTGGGGCCCAGATACCCAGAGACCCAGCCCACTCTGTCCTTCCCTCTCCTGCCCCACAGGTCACAGCTAACAAGGGCTGGACCCCGCGTCCCACTCCAGGGCTGCTCACCTCCGCGTACTTGGCTGGGATGTCGGCTTTCTCCACGCCATAGTGATGTTTGCAATTGGTGGCCGCGGCGACCTGCAGGACGACCTGGCCCACTCCTTCAGAGAGAGAGAGGGTGGGGGAGGGAGAGGGAGGGAGAGGGGGAGAGAGGGAGGGTGATGGAAGGAGAGAGAGAGAGAGGAAGAAGGGGAAGGGGAGGGGGAGGGGGAGAGGGAGATGCCATCAACCCCTGGGACAGAGGCGCGCCCTATCCATGGTGCTGGCCGTGGGGGGTCAACAGGCAGAGGCCACAGGCTCTCCCAGGTCACTGAGACACGGCAGGGACCCAGACCACTGCCTCACGCAGCCAACACCCCACAGCTCCCGCGTTCAGGACTCTGTCCTCGGTCCACGAGACCCAGGTGTGGACACTGCTCCACAAGACAAGGGAGCACTCCCCAAGGCTCCCGCCACCCTAACCCACCCCCATCAGCACCGCAGATCAGCACCGCTGGCCACACCAGCAATCGTGGAGGGCACCTGCGCAGGGCAGCGGCTGGGCTCCAATGCGGGACCTCAGGGAGCAGGCCCCGCACACCAGCGACAGGGTCTCCAGGCCGTGTGTCCCAGCCAGGGGGCTGCACATACCACAGGCCCCATCATCCAGAGCACCGGAGGCCGCGTGCAGGCGCTACGGCACCAGAAAGCTTCTTCAACAACCTCTCCTCCTCTGTGGGGCAGTTTTGCATTTCAAATAACGTGTTGGGAGCCCTTGAGTTTCCATTTTAAACAGAATATATTCAAATACAAACAAGCAGACTGGGCACCTGGCTGGCTCGGTCAGTGGGGCATACAACTCTTGATTTCTGGGTCATGAGTTCGAGCCCCATGTTGGGCATAGAGATTAAAAAATAAAAAAATCTTCAAAAAAAAAAAAAGAAGAAAAACTGCATGCTACTTAGAGACAAAGGTAAACACCAGGGCCCACGGCGAGAGGACGGGAGGGTCAGGGTCAGGGACAGAGGGAAGGTAGGCGTGAGGGGCGGGGTGAGCGCTTTTCTAAACTCCCAGACCTCTCAGCGCACGGAGGTGAGTTAACTGACTTTTGAAGTACGTGCGTCCTTATCACAACACAATTGGATCGTGTGCTTGAAAAGTCTCAAACTAATGACGTTGAAAAGCTGTCCTCATCCACGCCTTGGACCCTTTTCCAGGCACCGAGGCCAGTTTGGGACGGGCCTTTCGAGTCTGCAGCACAAGGCTGTCACCTCAAAACAGGGTCCGTCCGGGTGGCAGAGCCGCCGAGGGCCGCTGGACACCATGCCAGCAGCCCTGGCGTCTCGGTGTGTCCTCCGAGAGTCAGGCAATCACACAGACACCTGCTAGGCCCCGCCCACAGGAGCCCCCACTCCACCACTGCCCTTATGTGGGGGGGCGGGGGGAAGGGCGGGCCTTCAGTGGTCACTGGGTCACCTCTGAACCTAGAAGGGGGAGCACGCGCCAGGAACAAGAGCGAGTCCCGCAGCTCCGGGAGGGACCCCTGGGAGCACGATGGGGCACAGGCTGGCTGCTGGGGGTGGGAGGGGGTTGCCATGAGGGGCTGTTGGCAGCAGGGGCAGCAACCGAGCCACCCGCTGGACCTCTGGGGGCCAGGGAGGCGGGCGTGCTTCTCACAGGACTGACCGCACTCACCGCTGCCCAGGTCCACAAATAGGTCGTCCTCCGTCATCTTGATCTCGTCGATCATCTGCGCGACCAAGTCAAAGGAGGTCTCCCCATAAACCTCCGGGGAGAAGGGCTCGTAGTTGTTGAGCTTCTCAGGGTCCGTCACCGAGTGGTTGTACACCTGCTGCAGGATGTGCCGCAGGAGCCCGTTGGACGGCCGGGTGTTCAGTTTCATGGGCTGAGTGGTCCCCTTCCACTAGGTTGGCAAAGGAAGCACATCACGCGAGTGACCCTCTACCCAGCACCGTGTACTCTGCCCGAGCCGGCTGAGGGCGCCCGTGCGCGTGGGACGTCCCGTGTGCACCCCTCACTAGAGAATCTAGGTCGTCGGCTGTGTCAGCTCTGCAGCTCTGGCCTCAGAACTGCGCCCTTACCTGAGAGCCCATCTGGGCAAAGAAATGGGCCGAGAGCCATGAATAGAGCTGGCGTTTTGTGGGCCCCTGTTAGGGCCCCCCGGCCTCGACCTCTGCCTCAGGGATCAGAACTGGACCTGCACCCCGTTTAGCTCGTGCTGGGCCGAAGGGGGAGTTGGTCCTCTGACCGCTCACAGTCCACCCCCTTCCCATGCGCAGCAGCCACCCTGCAGCCATGACTGGGGCACTGACCATCCCCGAGGGTCTTCCCAGCGGGGGGTAGGAGGGGCACACAGCTGACCCCAAAAAAACCTCTATGAGCCCCAGTCCCTTGCACAGGAGGCCCGATGCCTGACCACGCTTGCCTGACTCAGCACCCCAGCCCCTGCCACCATTACTAAAGGGGACGACTGCCCTGTTCCAGGCCCCGGTGCCGCAGGCCCGTCAGCCCGCCACAGCCTCCCCAGGAGCAAAGCACCTGCCAGAGAGCCCCACACACACCAAGAGCCCACACCGTGTGGACAGCAGAACAGCCCCTCGGAAACGGGAGTGATGTGCTCTTTGGAACTGCTTAAGCGGCCTGGCCCGGCCCCACTGTCCCTGCTCCTTGCAAGGCAAGGCCTCCCCAGGCCCCAGCAACGTGGCTCAGGGAGGTGAGGGCAGAGCCCCAGGCCTCTCCACAATCAGAATGTCCCAGAAGGATGGGGAAACGCTCACAACAGTGCTGGCTGAGGGGCAGGCACAGCCCCAGGAGGCCTCTAAGCGTGCCCGCCTGGCATCAACCACGGGGATGGGGCACCGGTGGGAAGGTACACATGCGCTTGCAAGCCCAGGGACGGCCGCATGGCACGCAGGGCATGAGGACCTGAGGATGCACCCCACTCCCAACGGCAGCTCCCCAGCCCCACACCACACACTTGAGCCCCTGCGGGGGTCCCTCAAGGAACCCCACGCTCCAGGAGGCCTGCAGGGGTCTAGGCTGCCCATTGTTAACACCCCCAGGATGTGTGAAAGGCGGCGGGCTTGTGCACCCCGCACGGGCCCAGGCACGGATCGGGCTAAGTGGAGGGCAGGGGCCGCCTACCAGCTGGTGGATGCTGTCGATGGCGCGGTTGTACTTGTCACAGAGCCTCTGCATGCTTTCGAAGCTGAAAGGCAAGGGAAAGGCGCCAGTCACCGCAGAGCTCAGAACGAGCCAGGGGGGCCTGGCCAGCCTCTCGGGGGGGACGGCCCACAGACAGGCAGAGCCAGCTCTCCCCTGGTGAAAAAGTAGAGGTCATGGGACACCCAGAACCACACATGGGGAATAAGGCCGAGCCAAGACTCTGGGGCCAAGGCAGTCTTTGGCTATGTGTCATGTGCTCAGGGCGGCCTGCAGAGGCCATGGCTCACAGGTCAAATCCAAGGTCAACGGCATACCCAGCAGGTGTTAGGAGAGAAGAGGAGTGGAGTGGGCAGGACCTAGGCTGGCCCTCCTTCCCCAGGGGCGGGCTGGACGGAAATCCCATCTGCTCCCACAGCGTGTACACGGGCCTCACAGGGTCTTCCTTCCCTGGCTGGAGACAGCCTCCATCTCAGCCCTAATCTGATGGGTCTGGGAACCACCTAGTGGCAGCAAGGGCCCCCCAGCTCTCCTGGGCACCGCCCCACACCTGCCTCTGCAGAAAGTTTCCACACTTTCTGGGGCGCCTGGGTGGCTCAGTTGGTTAAGTGTCCAACTTCGGCTCAGGTCATGCTCTCACGGTTTGTGGGTTTGAGGCCCATGTCGGGCTCTGTGCTGACAGCTCAGAGCCTGGAGCCTGTTTCGGATTCTGTGTCTCCCTCTCTTTCTGACCCTCCCCTGCTCACGCTGTCTCTGTCTCTGTCTCTCTCTCTCAGAAATAAATAAAACATTAAAAAAAAAAAAGTTTCCACACTTCCAAAGATGTAGGTAGCACGTGTTAGATGCCTAAGGACAGCCTGGCTGGGAGTTTTTCAGTGAGACTAGATTCTCCTAAACCTCACAATTTTTATTTCAAGTATGACATTCAATGAAATCCTGTAACCCAGGAGCCTCCCCCACCCCCCACCCAAGGCTGACTCTGCCTCCAGGGGACACTGCCTGACTTCTGCGGACACTCTGGGGCACTTCTGGCATCGATAAGGTAGGGCCAGGGACACCGCTCAGCCTGTGACAGGGCCCAGTAGGCCCCACAGAGAATGAGACCCGCCTGGTGTCAACAGCGCAGAGGGGATGTGCTCCAAGGGTCTGCGCGAACTCGAGGGGAGTCAGCAGGGCGGGGGAGGGGGCAGGCTCTTCCTACAACACCCACAAATTCACACAGCAGCAAGGAGGCTTCCCCTGGAGCGGGACACCAGGAGCCCGGGAGAGGCCCTTCCACACCTGGGCCACGGGAAGCAATGACCGTGCCGTGTGCGCCCCAAGCCGCCTGCCCAACAGCCCCCTGCATCCTCACCGCCAGCCCGCCCCTCACCCACAGCCCTAGATTTACCCCAAGAGCTCCTGCACCTTCCCTTTACAACAGAAGTAAAGGGATTCAACTCAGGGGCTCCCCCAGGGCAAGTTCAAGGTCACCAGCAGGGCAGACCCCTGGAAAAGAGAGGGATGCTCAGAGCAAGAGAGAACAGGAGACGCTACCAAGGCTCGAAAGACCCTCACAAAGGACAGTGACAACTGCAGGGCCACTGCCACGCGGTCGGGAACCCAACAGGAGAAGTGGGCTCTGCCACACTTCCCGGGCACGAGCCACCGGCACAGGACAGACACAGGCGGTGCAGGGGGGTCAGCCATCTCCCCGGCTAAGCGCCAGGCAGCCAGGGTCACAAGGAACCGGGGCCTGGCAAGCCAGGGCCACAGCAGGGCAGCGCCCTCAGCGCCCAGCATGAGTGACCTCCTTCACCCCAATCTGCAAACTGAAAGATCCAAGACCTCTAGCCCCCGCTTCCTCACGCAGCCCTCGGAAAAGCACAACTGCACCACTTTGTAGTTTTATTCCCGTGTATTTCCCTCACACTCGCAGCTGTAATCCGCGCAAGCCTCCAACTACCCTGGAGGAGGCCTGTCCCGGGGTTTTGGGGGGGGGGGGGGGAACGAGCAAACGGTGGCCCTGCCGTCACCGTGCTTGACGGGACAACGAGGGCCTCCCACCAAGCCCCTGACCCCGCAGTCCCGTGGGTCCCTCGGCCGGATTCCCCAGACTGGCCCCCTAGCATCCACTCCTAGTCTTTCCTCAGCCCCCTGAACACGGAAGGGAAAACATCTTGTAGGAAAACCACCCTTCAAAACTCAGGCCGGGCACAGAGCAATCGGCTCGTTTTTAACGGCGTGCTTCACTGGCCAAATGACTTCTGTGCAAGGGTCAGCGCCCACCCGCACCCCCGCCCTGGGCTCAGAAGGGGCGTGTGCCAGGCCTTGGCTGGGCCCCTGCTGCCAGAGGCACACAGCTCCAGAGCCCAGGGCCTGTGCGCTCGGGACCAGGGCAGGGGCAGCACGGCCCCCTTCCTTCCTTCTCAAATGCGTGCAGACCAGGGAACGGGGTATGGGGTCAGGGCTGGCTCAGGCTGGAAGCCCCTCAAACGCAAGAGTGAGGCCAGGTCAAGGACAGCTGGGTGCCAGGCCCCGTGAGGGGCTTCGGGGCTCCTCCAGGTGGAGCGATGGTCCCCATGATGACACAGTCCTCTGGGCTGACTGCGGGCCGGTTTCAGGCCTGCCCAGAGCTAAAATAGCAGGAGGGCGGAAGAAGAGGAGGCAGGCATTCCAGAGCCAGCCTCGCCCTTCCCCACCCACAGGACTCTCCTGTCCAGATGTGCCTCCGGAAGTGCCTGCGGGGAGCTGCTAGAAGCTGCTAGAATCTGCCAGTGGGCAAACCCTAGAGGCCCTGCCTGGAGCCGGCCGGCGCCCAAGGCCGGGGAGGCCAGTGCGCGGCTCCCAGGCAGGTGCGGTGGTGGGCACGGTGGCGGGCACAGAAAGCAGCACCTGCCAATTGGGGCCACTCCGCTCCTTCCCAACCACGTCCACGTCCACGTCCTCGTCCTCATCCTCACGTGGACGGCCCTGACGACGACACCTGATCAACGTTTCCTACCAACATAACCGCACGGCAGTGCCAGGCAGCCCTCACGGGAAGTCTGATGGAAAAAGAGCGGGTCGCAGGCTGTGAGCTGAGCCGGCGGGGGGCGGGGAGCGGGCAGGGGGGGCTCACCTTTTGGTATCGTAGTCGATTAAAACGTAGTTCTCCATAGCAAGCTTGAGGTCTGGGATCTCTTCACAGACCCACCTGAAACAAGTGCAGAAACAGTGGAGGAAACGGTCACTGATGCTCTATTTCTACTCTCAACAGTCTTAACCGCGGTTTACTCCCCAATACTTAACGTGAAAACAAAAACAAATCCTCATTACCCAACTCAAAATGCACAAGGGAGGCAATACTTCAACACATCGTGTAACGTTTAGTACGAACTTGTGGCCTACATGGCATACATGGGTTCAGTCAATGTCGCCTACCGGGGCCTAAATGGGCCTGCACATGACAGAGCCTGGAAGTCTACCTGCTCAAGTCAGAGAGCTTGAAAAGCAGCCAGTGGACTGGGGATTAAAGGCAACTATTTTTTTAAGTTTATTTATTTTGAGAGAGAATGAGCGGGGTAGGGGTGGGGACAGAGAGAGAGGGGGAGAGAGAGAATCCCAAGCAGGCTCTGCGCTGTTAGTGCAGAGCCAGAGGCAGGGCTTGAACTCGTGAACCGTGAGATCATGACCTGAGCAGAAATCAAGGGTCAGACTAAGCCACCCAGAGGCCCCTAAAGGCAACTACTATTTCACAAATTAACTGATCCCAAGACAAGGGGGCTTCTCCAGCAAACAGGGTGCAGGAAACAAAGAGACAGAGGGGAGCCTCCGGATTAAACACCAACGAATCCTAAGGTATGTCCGTTGTCAAATCCTGATGCAATCTTGACAAAAGTCACGGGAGGAGTCCCTGCTGTCGATCTTAGAAAATACGGGACATTGTGATTTCACAATTTAGATGAAATGAGCAAATTCCTTGAAACACAAAACTAGCCAAGACCTGACATGTTTAAGAACAAGTAACACTAACGAGGCTGGCATCACCCCGGTACCAAAAGCAGAGGGAGACAAAGTCTCATAAAGCAAACTCCGTGTAAAAAGGAAACCTACAGGCCCACTTCCCTCATGAACACAGATGCAAAACTCCACTACAAGTATCGGCCAACAAGTCAGCAAGTCAGCTCAGTCAGGGGCTTCACCGCAGGAATCGTTAACAGGATAGGGCGCCTGGGGGGCTGTCAGCTGAGCACCCGACTCCTGATTTCAGCTCAGGTCATGATCTCAGGGTCGTGGGCTCCAGCCCCGAATCAGGCTCCACGGTAAGCATGGAGCCTGCTTGGGATATTCTCTCTCCCTATCTCTCCCCCACCCTCCCTTCCTCCATCCCACCCCACCCCCAAAAAAGAATATTACGATCATCTCAACAGATGTGGAAAACACTCGAGACAAAACTCAATCCTCACGCACATAAAACCCTGGGGAAGCAAAAGGAGAGACGAGGTGTGCGGTGAGGGCTGCCGGCAAGCTGGGGGCTCCTTGCCAGCTCTGCTCCGCAAGGACAGGGGTCTCCTGGAGGAGGGAGGGCCACTCTGTCCTGTCCACTGTGTCCCTGTGTCATCGAGCCAGACTCCCTCACCTGAACAAGCAGCAGCCACTGAGTCCGATCAGCAGTTTCCTTCATGGTGCTGCCCCCCGGACCCCAACACACACACACACACACACACACACACACACACACACAGCGGCACTCCCACCCCAGACCTCCGGGGCCCCTCCCCACAAGACCCCTTCAAGCTCAGAGTCCCACCGCCGAGCATCAGCTTACCCGTGCTCTCTCAGACCCAAGGAGCACCTCTTTACGTGAAGTCTGTTCGGCAGCACACGTGGTTTATGTCAGGAGACCCGAGGGCACGGGAAGGTGTGCACCCTGCAGTGGCCGCCAGACCCGTGATGCGAGACAGAGAACGGCGGCAGGGCAGGCACAGGCGAAGGGCACTTCCCTTCAATACCCCACACACAGACCCTGGCCGGCACCGCAGCAGGAGAGGTAAATGAACAGTACAAAAACTAGAAAAGCAACAACAAAGTGTCTCTATTCACAGGCACACAATTTAAGACAGGCTAGCCTAAGGAATTTACACAGGAGCTTCTAGAACTCAGGTGGACTGACCAAGGTCACAAGAAATGGAAGACAAAAATGAACTATATTTGCGTATATACCAGCAACAAAGGATTTTGAAACCAATTTTTAAATGCCATTTAAAATCACGGTGAAACTTAAATAAATACCTGGGAATAATTGTTTCCTAACTTTTACTTATTCATTTTGAGAGAAAGAAGGTGAACTCATGAGCAGGGGAGGGGCAGAGAGAGAGCGAGCACGGGTCAGGAGGGGTAGAGAGACAGCGGGAGGGAAAATCTCAAGCAGGCTCCAAGCTGCCAGCACAGACCCTGACGTGGGGCTGGAACTCACAACCATGACCTGAGCTGAAATCAAGAGTCGGCCACTCACCTGACTGAGCCGCCCAGGCGCTGACCTAGGAATAATTCTAACAAAAGATCTGTGAGACCTCTACACTGAAAACTATAAAACACTGCTGAGCAAAAAGTAAAGACAAAAAAAAGGGAAACTCTGCTCATAGAAAACTCAACGTTGTTAAAATGGCCCTTCCCCCAGAACTGAACTGCCGACTCAAAGTCGTTCCTAGCGCAAGCCCAGCAGGCTCTCGGAGAAGCAGACAACCTGACTGTAAAACTGACATACGGGGCACCTGGGCGGCTCGGTCAGTGAAGCGTGCAACCCTGGACTTTGGCTCAGGTCACGACCTCCCGATTAGTGGGTTCGAGCCCCATGTCAAGCTCTGTGCTGACAGCCTGGAGCCTGCCTCGGATCCTCTCTCCCTCCCTTTCTCTCTCTGCCCCGACCTTGCTTGCATGTTCTCTCTCTCTCTCTCTCAAAATAAATAAACGTAAAAAAATATTGACACACTAAAGACTTCCTCTAGTCAAGATGCCATTAAAACCACAAGCAGCTGCACTATGTGTAACAAAGTATCTCATGAGGCACTCACAGCCAGAGTATGTCAAGAATTCTCACAACTCAGCAAGGATAAGACAACTCAATCTCAAGAAACAGCACTGCGGCGCCTGGGGGCTCCGTCCAGTCCGTTAGGCATCCGACTCCGGCTCAGGTCATGATCTCACAGTTCGGGGGCTTAAGCCCCTCGTCGGGCTCCGTGCTGACACCTCAGAGCCAGGAACCCGCTTTGGATTCTGTGTCTCCCTGTCTCTGTCTCTCCAATGAAAGAAACCAGAGCTCCTCAGAGATGCTGCTGACTCGAAGGTTTGGAACATGGGAGATTCAAGGCGACCCTGGAGCACCTGTGGTCCCAGGGGGCAAGGACGTGCTCAGGAAGGCAGGAGGCGCCAAAGGGACACGGAACAAGCGGAGAGAGTCCGCGACGGCCAGCACGGGAACAGTCTGAAAAACAAGACTAGGAACAGCCTTGGTGCATCGTAGCTCATGGGATGAAACACGAAAACAGAGGCGTTCCAATTAATAGCTGTGGAGAGAAGGAGGAACTGTCACCATCGGACCTCACCGCTAAGCAGTGGGGGCAGCTGAGAGCCACCTGTAAGCACTAAAATCAGCGGGCAAAAGTCACGGAGAACCAGGGTCTCTGCATAGTTTCCAAGGCCCTCCCCCAAGGTACTTATTAATTAAAAAGCGGGAACTACACATCAGAAGACTGGTGCACACCACCTCAACCAGGTCGTCAAGCTTAATGTCACACCACAGGAAGTCAAAATTAGAGGCCATGTGCCTGTGGCACTGAGAGCTCTTACCAAGAATGAACCCTTGTCAAAACCATTTTCCACACCTGTTCCACAATATTCACTAGCAGGCCACCAACGTTCCAATGTTTCATTCCTAAGTACATCAGCATTCCTCGTAAAAGTGACAGACTGTTTCCTTTAACACAACTACAATGCTGTGGGCACACCTAGTAAAAACAACATCAGGAATAGTAGGGAATTTCCTCAAATTCATACATGGCATCTATGAAAAATCTACAGCTTAGGTCATCTCCATGAAGAAAGGGTGAAGGACCTAGTCACCTCAGTAAGACCAAGGAAAAGAAATTAAATCATGAAGACTGAAAGAAAAAAATAAAACTGCCCCTACTCACAGATGATACAGCAAATCCTAATATATCTACAAATCAAATACCAGAATCAATAAATTTAGCAAAAGATCATGGTTAATGTATGAAAATCAATTGTGTTCTTTCTTATGAACAGCAGGTAACTGAAAAATAAAATTTAACACAGAATCCCATGTACAGTGGTGCCCAAAGCTTAACTGCCTGGAAACAAATCTAACAAAAAGTATCCTGGACCCCACACTAAAATAACAGAGCAGTGCTGAGAGAAACAGAGAAAGACCTAAGTAAGTAGAAAGATATACCATGTTCATGGACTGAAATACCCAATACTGGAAGACACAATGGCAAATCTTTTTCAAATGACCTATCAATTCAATGCTATTCCTAACAAAATTATGCAAAAACCAACAAGCTGATTCTAACATTTATATGGAAATGTGGGGCACCTGGGTGGCTCAGTTGGTTAAGCGTCCAACTCTTGACTTTGGCGCAGGTCCCGATCTCACGGTTTGTGGGTTCAAGCCTCCAGTCGGGCTCTGTGCTGACAGCTCAGAGACTGGAGCCTGCTTCCAATTCTGTGTCTCCCTCTCTCTCTGCCCCTCCCCTACTTGCATTCTCTCTCTCAAAAATAAACATTAAAAAAAATACAAAGGAAGTTGAATAACCAAATAAATATTTTAAAAGACAAAGAGATTACTCTACCCACTTCCAACACTTACTATACAGCTAAAGTAACCAAGGTTTTCTTTCACCAAAGGATACAGCTGTGGGTCAGTGAAACAGAACCAAGTCTAGAAATAAACCAACTCCTACACTGTCAACTGACTTTTGCAAAGGAGACATGGATATTCCACTGAGAAAGGACAGTGTCATTAACAAATGGTGCTGGAACCAGTGGACACCCACATGCAAAATAATACACTTTCAACTCATCATACCCTGTACCATATGTAAAAACGAATGAAAAATTTTCAAAAGAAAACTTAAACCATAAAACTTCTAGAAACCATACGAGAAAGCCCTTGTGAGCTCAAGGGCAAATATTTAGGCAATATTTAGGCAAATATTTCTTTTAATTTTTAAATGTTTTTTATTTCTGAGAGAGAGACAGTGTGAACAGGGAGAGAGGGAGACTGACTGAGCCACCCAGGTGCCCTGGCAAATATTTCTAAAGAGCCAAAAAACACAAATTATAAAAGAAAAATGTGAACAAGTTGAACTTCTATTAAAAATTAAGCTATAAGCTACCTGTTCTTCAAAAGACACTGTGAGGAACATGAAGAGATAAGCCACAGGCAGGAAGAAAACATTTGCAAAATACAAACCTGACACTAGACTGGTAACAAGAATACATGAGGAATGCTCAAAATTTGGGGAGCCTGGGTGGCTCAGTCAGTTAAGTGTCTGACTTCGGCTCAGGTCATGATCTCATGGCTTATGAGTTCGAGCCCAGCATCAGGCTCTGTGCTGACAGCACAGAGGATTCTGTGTCTCCCTCTCTCTCTGACCCTCCCCCCTCACACTCTGTCTCTGTCTCATAAATAAATAAATGTTAAAAATTAAAAAAAAAAAGAATACTCAAAATTCAATAGCGAGGGGTACCTGGGTGGCTCAGTCAGTTAAGCCTCTGACTTCGGCTCAGGTCATGATCTCACAGCTTGTGGGTTCGAGCCTCGTATCGGGCTCTGTGCTGACAGCTCAGAGCCTGGAGCCTGCCTTGGATTCTGTGTCTCCCTCTCTCCCTCTGCCCCTCCCCCACTCGCACTCCATCTCTGTCTCTCGAAAATAAACATTAAAAAAATTTTTTTTTTAATTCAATAGTGAGAAAAAAATCAGTTGTTTTTTTTTTAAACATTTTTTTTTTTTTTTAACATTTTTTATTTATTTCTAGGAGAGAGAGACAGCGTGAGCAGGGGAGGGTCAGAGAGAGAGGGAGTCACAGACTGAAACAGGCTCCAGGCTCTGAGCTGGCAGTCAGCACAGAGCCCGACGCGGGGCTTGAACCCACGAACCGTGAGATCATGACCCAAGCGAAAGTCGGACGCTTAACCGACTAAGCCACCCAGGCGCCCCAAAAATCAGTTCTTAAAAACAGGCAAAAGATGATGAACGTCACCAGTTATTAGGAAAATACAAATTAAAACCACAAAGGGAACCTGAGGGCTCAGTCGGTTAAGCCTCCAACTCTTGGTTTCAGCTCAGGTCATGATCTCACAGTTAATGGGTTCAAGCCCCAAGTCAGGCTCTGTGCTGACAGTGTGGAGCCTGCTTGGGATTCTTTCTTCCTCTCTCTCTCTGCCCCTTCCCTGCCTGAGCTCACTCTTTCTAAATAAATAAACATTAAAATACACACACACACACACACACACACACACACACACACACACACACTGAGATACCACCACACAGCTCAAATCAAAAGCAGCAAAACCAAACCGTATCACCACCACGCGCTGGTGCCCGGAGGGCCACACGGAGGTCCCCTAGCTGGCAGCATGGTGCAAAGCAGGCCAGCCCCTTTTGGAAGGCACCTCGGTAGTTCCTCTTCAAGTAAGTTGTCATAAAACCCAGTAACCCCGCTCCTGGGTATTTACCCAAAAGAAACAAAGACATGTCCACACAAAATCCCCACGTGGATGCTCACAATAGCTTTCTTATAATCACCAGAGTGGAACATGACCCAAACGTGACCATCACGTGGGGAATGGATGAACAAACTAGAGCCTATCCAACGATGGAACACTCCTCGGTAACAAAGAAAAACGACTGACACACACACAATCTCAAAATCATGTGCTGAAAGGAGTCAGGAAAAAACAGCACTACGGAACGAGTCCACATATGTCAAATCCTACAACACGCAAAGTAACCTACAGAGGCAGAACGCAGCTCAGGGGCTGCCTGGGGACAGCGGTGGGGAGGGGAGCACAGGTCAGAGGACACAAGGGGCCCTGGTCCTGAGGCTGCCCTGCGCATGCACACGCATGCCCACGCCCGTCAGAATGTGCACCTTAACCTCTGTGGGTTCTCATACGGCCACTGTGTCTCATTTTTTTTAAATTCTCCTAATCTTTTTTTAAACGCTTATTTATTTTTGAGAGAATACGAGTGGAGGAGGGGTGGGGGGGGTGGGGACAGAGGATCAGAAGTGGGCTGTGCTGACAACAGCAAGCCCGACACTGGGCTTGAACTCACGAACTGCAAGATCATGACTGGAACCGAAGTCGATGCTCAACCGACTGAGCCCCCCAGGTGTCCCTACAACTATGGGAAAGACTGAAGTGGGTGGAGGTACAGATGACACTGAAGCGGCGATGAGCTGGTCACTGTCGGGCTGGGTGATGGGTACCTGGGTTCAGTATACCCTCTGTTTACCTCCGCACCTGCCGGAAATTGGCCACTGCACAAAGTAAAATGAGAGAAAGGACGACGTGAGGTAACGACCGTCTTGCCAGTGGGCAGAACGAGTCCGCGGGGACAGGAAGGAAGAAGGTGAAGCTGTTCTGAGACCAGGAACGCGAGGCTCAGGCCTGCAGGGCGGCCCTGGGAGAGGGCGAGGCGGCTGGGGCTGCAGACAGAGGGCCGGTGCCCTGCTCTACAGACGAGAAACACCTTCCAGGGGCGCCTGGGTGGCCCAGTCGGTTAAGCTTCCGACTTGGGCTCAGGTCATGATCTCACAGTTCGTGGGTTCCAGCCCCGCGTCGGGCTCTGTGCTGACAGCTCAGAGCCTGGAGCCTGTTTCAGATTCTGTATCTCCCTCTCTCTCTGACCCTCCCCTGCTCACGCGCTCTCTCTCTCTCTCTGAGAAATAAATAAAACATTTCTTAAAAAATTAAAAAAAAAAAAGAAAGAAACACCTTCCAGGCGTCCTGACTCGGAGCCGGGCTGTTAACCACGACGCTCCCGCTTCCTAACCAGCAGCCGTCTTTAAAAATAACGCAAATCAAACTAAGCCAACCAGTTAACCACTACTGATTGGTTCCAGGCCCGCCCTGCAAGATTTATACAGATAATTTCACCTAAAATTGCAAACACTCTTGCAAGGAGGCATGGCCTGGCCTCAGGAGCAAACCAGACGGGCCTGGGCAGCTAGGACCACGCCAGACCCCCGTCCTGGCTTTCTCCCCAGCCCAGCACGGCCAGCGGCCGCGCCAGGTGCACGTGAACTTCACGGCTGCGGCCCGGGCAGGGGCTACCTGCCTCAGGACTCTGAGGAACAACACGGCGAGAGAGGCGGCCGCCGCGCACAGACACCAACGGCCGTGCCGCAGGAGCTCAGAGAAGAGCGGGGTTTCTGACCGTGGAACGCGTAGAACAAGAGGCGGTTCAGCCACGACGGCACTCAGCACACCGCTCGGGACCCCAGGCCAGCGCGGGGGGAAAGCCGGCCAGACACAGATGGGTTCTGTCAAGGCCGCCAGCCACTGGCCCAGGCGGGCCCGGGCCCCGGGGGGCTTCTCTCTGCTCACTCGCGGGACAGGCCAGCAAAAGGCCGTGCAGGGCACTGAGGGGAAGACCAGCCTTGGAGAAGCAGAGTCAGCACCAAATCCACGAGGGAGAGGAGAGGGAAGTGAGGGGTGTGGGGAGGAGGGGAGAGCCCCCGAGAGCCCTGCCGGCTCAGCGTTTCCCTCCCCTTCCCCAGTAAGGCGCCAAGTGTCAGAGGAGCACCGAGGCCTGCTGGGGGCCACACGCGGACGACCAAGTGGTCACCCGCCTCTCAAGGCTTCTGGAGGTGCTCCCAGGAGTAGCCACCCAGGGCAAAGCGGGGTCAGCCTGCAGACCAGATGATAGCCCAGAGAGCACAGGTGGGGTGGCCTGAATGGGGGGCCCACCCCACAAGGCCCCGCCCACCTCGGAAAGTGGGGCACTCACCGGATGGTCTCGATGATTTCGTGAGCAGCATCGTGGTGTTTGTCCTGAAAGACAAAGGGACAGGTTTTACACCCTCTGGTGGCGCAGGGTACGGGACCAGGCAGGGCCTGCCAGCCGGTCCTGGCTCATGGCCCGAGCTGGACCTGCAGCTCTCCCTCCCTGGCGGGCAGTTGGGGAGGGACCTTGGGACCCTTCCCTCCCCATCCTGCATCCCCGCCTCTGCTGACTCCTCACCCACACCCCCATGTGCCTCTGCAGCCTGGAAGCTGCAGGCCTGGCTGTGAATTACTGAACCTCTCCAGGACTCTGTTTCCCCATCTGTAAAATGGGGAAGCACCAGGACCACAACCATGAGGAAAGCTCACAGGGCGGACACCTCTTAACCCCACACTTAATCACGCCAGGTCCCCGCAGTGCCAGCCACATGGGGGGCTCACTGCTGCTCCTTCCTCACAGAGGAGGCCGAGGCCTCGCTCCAGGCCTCTCACCAGGCTCTGGGCAGCCCACTGACCCCACATCTTGCAGAAAGTAGGACCAGATACGCCGAGGGGCCTCTCTCTGGGCCCATGCTTCTCTGATACGAGCACGGCACTGCTGTAGCGCAGAGGAGGCGTGCACGGCGCTGAGAAGTCGGGCTCAGGGCCACCAACAGTTTCTCCGGCAGTGACCATGCCTCCCAGGTCAGGCTTCACAACAGACACCGGGGCTGGGGGCAGGGGGGTCCTAGAGCAGCACCTCCCGTCCTGCCCTCAGTGAGAATCAAAACAACCCCAAGGACCTTGCGCCCTGACCTCACTTACAGTGACGGCTCTCTGGGGACGGCATTCCACCAGAATGGAGCTCACGCGCTCCATGTACACAGCCCACTGGCCCTTCTTCAGGACTTCCCGGGCTGTGCGGCCAATGCACAATTCCAGAACACTCTCGTCGCCCCAAACAGCTACCCCATCCCCACTAGCTGCCACAGCCCATCTCCTGGCAATCACGGACCCACTTCCTGTCTCTCTGGATGTACCTGTTTCTGGACATTTCACGTGAAGGGAACCACACACGATGTGGCCTTCTGTGCTAAGCCTTATTTTCCTTTAAGGTAAAAGAACCAACCTTTCTTAATAATATCCTCCAGTTGATGAAGGATCCAACGACTAATATTAATTGTCTTCATATGGCAGGGGGCAAGAGCGGTCACAGGCAGGCCAGCATGGGAGACGCCACACAGGCCAGTGGTCCCCACCAAGGGGAGCCCGACCAGCAGCATGAGCGCCACCTGTTGGACCAGAAACTCGGGGCGGGGGCGCTAACAGGAACTAGTGGCCGGGACACCTCATGGTAAATATCAGAAGACAACTTGGGGCAGGCCGCTGGGCACATGAGGTCAGATCTAGCCCGACCTCACAAGGTCTTCCAGGAATAACGGGAACTGGCAGCAAGGAGAGCCACCCAGAGGCGGCGGGGACAGACAGCCCTGGGACAGACGGCCGAGGCCCGGTGCAACAAGCCCCCCCCCCCCATTCTGGGGAGGGAACACGGAGCCAGCAGGAAACCCAGGCCTCAGACACAGGAGCCGCCCGCCCGCATGCACCACCCTCTCCGGCCCCAGGTGAGCGGGAGCACACCCCACGGTTCTGACTCCCCAAAAGGCTGTGCAGGGTGAGGAGCCGGTGACACTACAAGGAGTCACGGCAGCTCGTCTGCTGCCTCAACCTCGACTCCACACCACCTGGCTCACCAAACACCGAGCTCCTTTCAGCTGAGCCCCAGAAGAACCCACCCCGCTGCCTTCAGGGCCCCCACAGACTCCTCGCGGGCATTTCCCTGTTTGGCGACACAGCACCCAGAGCGGGAGGGCCCACAAGTCCGGCTGCTCTGACTGCTCACCCGGGAGCTGCCCCAACCCTGCAGCACTCAGGCCCATCATGGAGCCGGCCTGTCCGCTTGGCCCTGGGCCCTCTAGATCCACACCCACCATCTGGGCACCCAGAGGCGGAGGGTCCGACAGCCACAGCGGCAGGAGGTGTCCACGGAACTCGGGGAGAGTAGACGACCCGTGCAAGGGAGTAGGCACCAAGCTCTCTCCACCTGTGGCCAGCCCTGCTCCCAAGTATCAGTCCACCCTGCAGATGGGGACACTGGGAGCTTCGGTGACAGTGGGAAGGGCCAAGGGGAGGGCAGCCCAAGTCCCTGCCTGGAGGCGCCACGCCCACCCCCAGAACCATGTGTAAACCTCCAGAGGAGGAAAAACAGATGAGAAGCTGCGCTTCAGCAAAAACATCCACAGAAGTCACGCTCCCTAACATTAAAAGCACCCCCAACCTCAGCAGGAAAATACCAAGCTTGTAAGACACTCACATGACGAACCTACTCTGTTGCTGCTCAACACGTAACAAGACCCAGCATGCTGTGTCACGAGGTCTTTCGAAGAGGCCACCAAACTCACACAGCACAAGGACAAGCAATTACAGAGGTGATGAGGGTAGTTAGTCTAGAACTTTCCACAGTTCTCTCTCGGATCACGTTCTAGGGAAGCCAGCTGTCAGGTCACAAGCAGCCCCATGACCAGGCCACACGGCGAGGAGCTGAGGCCTCCCAGCAGCCCCACGAGGGCCCTGGCATGAACGGCTCCTCCCGCCCCGCTCCAGCCTTCAGATGACGCAGCCCCGGCGGGTCCGTGTTGACCACAACCTCGTGAGAGGCCCTGAGCCAGAGCCACCCAGCTAAGTTACTCCCAGGCTCCTGACCACGGAAACTGGGACCTGATAAATGTGTGTTGCTTCAAGCTGCTAAATTTGGGGTAATCTGCTATGCAGCATAGCTAACCAATACAGACTTGGCGTTAGGCTAAGGGACCCTCCTGGGAGCCCTGGCTATGAGAGAAACCCTAGAAGTGCCCCTCACCACAAGGCCTGATTCAAGTCCTCTCCACAAAGTCACAGAACGAGCCGCACACCCTTGTGAACCTGCTCCTGGCCACAAGGCGGGCACTGGGCTCACAGCCCACCGGGAACCCGCCGGAGCCCACCGGGCTGACCTGCCTCACACCAAATCCTACAAACCCGGGAAGGTGGAGGAGCCTGGAACGTGGGCTCATCTTGTGAGAAGAGGAAATGTAGCAGAAAAAAGGAAGGAAAAAAGTCGACAACCGTGCCTCCAAAGACTGCAGACGCCCCTCCAGGGACTGGCAGCCGAGAGACGTGTTATTTAAGAAGCACTGAGGGCGCCTGGGGGTTCAGTCGGTTAAGCGTCCGACTTCGGCTCAGGTCATGATCTCATGGTTCGTCGAGCCCTGCGTCAGGCTCTGTGTTGACGGCTCAGAGCCTGGAGCCTGTTTCGGATTCTGTGTCTCCCTCTCTCTCTGACCCTCCCCTGCTCGTGCTCTGTGTGTGTCTCTCTCTGACCCTCCCCTGCTCATGCTGCCCCTCTCTCTCAGAAATAAAGAACATTAAAAAAAAATTTTTTTAAAAAGAACCACTGATCACCATAAATGATTCAGAAAGTCCGACTTCTTGGATGCGGCCTCCTCTCCCTGCACCTCTGGCCCTCGGGGAAGAGGCAAGAAGCCAAGCCATGAAGGGTGCGCTGAGAACAGCCCTAAGGAAGCCTGGACTCAGGAGCAGCCCTTGCCTTGTTACCCAGGGACACCCGTCCCCCATCCTCCTCGTCTCCCATCTCAGGAGCCCCGGAACCCCAGGTCTGTGCCCCAGGCCCGGTCTCCTCGTAGGGACCCCCAGACACACAGCACACATCCCCAGCCCGGTGCTGGCCCACAGCTAGAATGTCTGCTTGCTGCGCCAGGGACTGACCCGCTTCCTTGTCATTAACCACATCCAAGAGGTTCTTCACGTAAAGCCTGTCTGGCAACGCCACTACCTGGGGAAGCTGGCAACGGGCACGCGGCCTCACTGGGTCCCCCGCTCTGGGGAGTGTGTGCAAACACCCGTGATAAGTACAAGCGCTCGTGTCTTCAAGTGCACGCCACACGGGGCTGGGGGGCAGTCACCACACCCGAGATGACACCACCCCTCAGCTCCCTAATGGAGTGCCGGGGCGAGGCCCCAACCCCACTGTCCCCAGCAGCACGCGGCACACATGGCACACTGAGTGCGGGTGCGGGGAGCCCCAGGTGTCCGCTGAGGGCAGAGCTGAGAAGGAGCAGCCCTCGAGTGTCACCGCAAGGCATCTGCACAGAGGGGTCTGGCACCCTCGCTCCCTCACCTCATTCACTCTACGTGCCAGCACGGCTGGTGGGGGGTCTGTGCCCAGGGCGACCAACGGGGGGGGGGGGTAGGGGAAAGCGACACGCACGCAGGAGCCTGCCGTGGACGCTCTGCGGACGCACTCCTGCGACGAGCCCACCCACCAACTCCACTCTCCTGATCCCCGTTGGCAACAGGAATGACCCAAGGAGCACCTCGCTCCCATCAGGAATCACGGTTGGAGGGCAGACCCCGAGACGTCCTGGGAGGCGAGGGCTCGTCAGACACGGATGAGGCCCACCCACCAGGTTTCCGAGTCAGGGGTCTAGGAGGCTGCCGGCTCGGGGACCCCACCCTCCGAACCACTGCCCTGAGGACGCGGGGGGCTACATTCACGCACCCCGTGATGCGGGAACGGACGCGGACAGGAAGGTGATGTGTGCACAGAGTTTCAAATGTGGAGGAGGACAAAGAACGAAGGTGGGTGATGGGACGCCGCCTGGCTTTGGTGGCAGACATCTGCTTGGAGGGGGAGAAAGGACACGGCGCAAAATCAACAGGCATCCAGAAAACTCGGTCCGGGAGAAGGCCCAGCGCGACGGAGGGCACAGGGCCCGGGGACCCGGCTGGGGCGCTCGGCCTCATCTACCCCGAACGCCCGTGTGCGGGAGCCGGGACAGGGAGCGGTGGCCAGGCCGGCTTGACGCGGCACCGCAGGGCGGGCCTCAAGCAGGGGAAGGCTCTCGTGTGAACGTGTGAACGTGAGGGGACTCACGTGGCCGCAGCAGAGAACCCTACCGGCTGGGTGCCCCGTCAGCCGCGCGCGTCTGCACGCCCCCTGCGAGGGGCGG